GTGTGTGTGATAGAAAAAAATCTTTTTCTACAAGCGTGCGTGATTCACCCTATACCCGCACGCAATTTAGTTTGGAAAGTGTCATTTTTCCGCAACAGTACGGGAAAATTTTCCCACACTAGTGCGGGAAATTTTTTCCCGCACTAGTGCGGGAAAACAAAGATGGAATAATATGAAAAAAATCATGCCAAGCAGAATATTGTGTCTTCTTATTCATTCTTATTTAAACACACTGTGTGTGTGTGATAGAAAAAAATCTTTTTCTACAAGCGTGCGTGATTCACCCTATACCCGCACGCAATTTAGTTTGGAAAGTGTCATTTTTCCGCAACAGTACGGGAAAATTTTCCCACACTAGTGCGGGAAATTTTTTCCCGCACTAGTGCGGGAAAACAAAGATATGATATAATCGCTAGTAATATAAGTGGTTGGTGATGGAATATAAAAGTTTAAGATTGTTTGTTGCAGTATTAAGTATGTATGTTCAGAATCATCCATCAAATTGCACTATTTATTGAAAAAATTAAGAAATATTGAGAAATAAAAATGGATTATTATAAAAATCCCCCTATAGATTTGGATTGATCTGACGGGAAACGTCAATTTGTCATGCCAATCAAACCCCAAATAAGTTTGAAATTGTCGAAGTGACAGACACAGCGTTACTGTCATTTTCGATTCAGTGGAAATGCCACAATGTGATCAAAAACTTCTAGCTATAAGGATTTGATACAGATGCGTTAATATCACCAACGAAGTCTTAAGAAAGGTATGAGAAGCTATACACGCGTTTAATTGAATGGTGCAACAATAAAGAAATGAAAAAACCGAATGAAGAATAGGTATTTTTGGCTCATTCCATAGAAGTGTCTGGAACCTAGAGACCAAACTCCTAATGGGCCTGCTGGCTTCCGCAATGAACCAACATAATGCGTCAAACTGTAAGTTCACAATAGCTATTACTAATAATTAGTAGATAGATATGTAATATATTTCTCTTGTTAGCTGTTCCTATTTGCATGAATAATTAATTGAACGAAACAATCAATTTCCTACGCTTGTAGAAAAAATATTGTTCCTAACTCATGCGGAAAGTGTCTTTCCCGCACTCGACTGCTTGCCCGAACTCCGCTTCGCGTCGTTCGTGTCAACGGCAGTCGCGTGCGGGAAAGAATAACTTTCCGCACTTGTTAGGAAAATTACTATTGTCTAGCAAATTCGAATGGCTTTAGACATTTTGTGGCTGGCCATCCACGTTTTTAATATTAATTGACTCCCGTTGGTGTTTTGTAGCGCGCCCTAAAATTTCAGCAGAGTCGTGGCTGGAAGACGTGGCTGCTTTCACGCTGGTCTGAAAATCACTGGTTTACGCTAATTAAAAATTTTTCAGGAATTACTGACACTTTTACAAATTGCAAAATGTCATATTGAAGAGGTTCAAATTAAGCAACTTTTGTCAGATTTAATCAACTTTTTATGCCTTTCTGTTTAGGAAATAGCAATACCATTCCAATTAGTTCGGCGGGACCCTACATGAAAAATTAGTGGAATTTGATTTATGTACTCCTATTACTAGTCCTACCATTAAGTCATTATTCACAATCAGAACTGTATTTAATCAATTACTTTCTCAATTTACTTATTCTGAAGTTCTCTCAAATTTGAAATATTTTTCAAAATGTTGCGAAATTTTGTATGAGGATCAAAGGACATACAGAAGAACTGAATACTATTCATATAATATGAAGAAATATTCCCAGCCTGTATATTTTGTCAGTCTAGATCAAAGTCCATATATATTCAATGTATATACATGCATTGTACATGTCACTATGCATTGCACAATAAAAGTTTCAAAAATCATTTCATGTCAAGAAATGTGGACAAGTGTATCATTCTATCTCAGCATATTTTATAGCTTAACTCTGCCAATACCTAGGCTGATACCTACTAACTATCCTTCTTTTTTTGATTTGGTTGACAAAAAAAAATTATTACAGTGGTGAAATGTTGATAAGAAGCAGAGATCAACAACTTTGCATAGCCACAGGCACACCATTCAAATATGTTTGGAAGATATACAACTATTAATTTCAACTTCTTTAACATGCAATAAAATCATATCAAAACTGGTCTGGGATTGCCTTCAAAGCCTGCTAACCCTGGCTAACCACAACAAGGTAACTCTTCAATGGGTGCCAGGGCATAAGGGAATTGAAGGCAATGAAGCAGCTGACGCTCTTGCCAGGCAAGGGTCTGTGACGTTGTTTATGGGACCGGAACCTGTATTCGGTATCCCCAAAACCTCAATACGCCGCTGGCTGGCAAGGTGGATGCAAGAAAGACATCAGGCATACTGGAACAATGTCCCAGGACAAAGACACAGTAAACTGATGGTTGGAACACTGTCCAAAACAGTGACTAACGACATTCTGAGCCTAAACAGAAGTCAGATCAAACAAGTGACGGGACTAATAACCGGTCACTGCCCCTTGAGGAAACATATGCATCAAATGGGCATCTATACAGACACAGACGAACCCATATGCAGACTATGCAATGAGGAGGAGGAGGAGGAAACTGCCACCCATGTAATATTGGAGTGCAAAGCACTAGCCGGCACTAGCGCGTTGGAGATACGACCTTCTGGGAGCAGTAAACTCTCAAGAGGCATTTTCAAAGAATGATTTGGTGAAGAGGCTGCTAAACCTCATCAAGGTAGCGAACCTGTTCACCTAAGTCAACAGCATGATCAGGAATACAATAGGCCCAAAGGCTGCAGTGTTTTGGGCTTCAAACCCTGACTGATCATTCTGCTAATAATCAATCAATCAATCAATCAATTTCAACTTGCTTACCTTCTGAATTTAGGGGAGTAATGTTGGTGGTTGAGGTGGGAGCCAGTGCAGAAAACTTGGGGCAAAACAAGCCCCATCCAATGATCAAAGGCCTTGGTGTACCTGGAGAAGCCTACAACCAAAAAAGCAATTTACTTATTACTGGACACATTTGAGGGAACAAATATCAAATATCTCAACAAATATTAAACAGAGTATTGAACATTAAAATATAGTTGGTTTGGTGACAGTCACTAGATAGGTATTAATTTGTTGTTTTTGATGAATATGGATAGGGTAAGTGGTTCATACTCCTGTTCATATTATGATAACAGAACTCATATTAGGTAAGTAGATATTTTGAGAGGTACTTAGGTCCAGGCACCTTGCACATTTTCAACTATGCTGAGCCTAAATAATATGCACCCTTTGACCTCAGTCACAATTCAGTTCTCACAGATACCTTGCTAGGTACCTTTAATTCTTCATGGAAAATGCCATGCATTATTAATTAAAGAAACGGTAGAGAATCGAGGAATATCTACCTAAGCAACCTACAACACTGATCAAACCAGATTGAACCGAGGAACATCAGATCTTTCCGCTTGAGGCAACAAAGGCCACCAACTGTGAATACCAGATTTAAGCATTTCTTGCACTTGATGAGTCACTAAAACTGAATGGATTACTTACCTCGGTGGATTCACTGACAAAAAACCAACTAGCACATAGTTTTTCTTTTAGAGTTCACTAGAATAGTCACCTAGAACACCAGTGTTGGTAACGAACAGACTTCCGAACTTCAAAAAAAAACACTTATTTATGAAAACTAAATGTTTTCTCACTAGTGGGACGCGTTTAGAAATCAAATAATCAGTTAATTCATGTGTTCGAGTACATTTTCAGGTATTCTTTTCAGTAATACAAAAGTTTATTGCCAAAAAAACACCTCCATACACAATATACAATCTATCTACAATATATCGACTATTTTTAGAAAGAATTTGACATTGTTGACACTTGACCTGACATCTGTTGACAATGACATTAGGAAGCAGCGAAACAAGCGAAACAGTGCGAGACAGCGACGCACGACTGTCGCGCGATTGAAATGAAATGAAATCAAGGTTTGTAGAACTGACGGTTATTTTGTATACAAATTATCATCAGCTCTACCAACCTTGGATAAAAAATAAGCGTACGCCACCTATCGAAGTTGTTGAAAGCTGTCAAAGCGTTGATACACATTTGTTTTTCATTCGTGATTATGTCAAAGAAGACAGAAGAGGTAGAGTCACTGGATGATAAAAAGAGTTGAAGTGTTGTCATGAACGTTAACGTAAACGTAGAAATTGACAGCTACGCATGCGCATTTTCCAATTCTTCACGTTTGCGTTGTTAGTGGGCTTACGGGTGTACGTTATCTCACGTACCTTCACGTCAGCTTCACGTATACCTTAAATATCAACGTACGTCAACTAAACTATACTCGAAATATGACGATGAGTCAAAATTATCAAATTTGGGATCCCCAACGAGTTCTGCATCAAGGAGTCCTCTCATTTTGACAGGAATAAATGTTCGAATCTAAACACACAACCAAAATTGACCCATACAAACCGAAAACAAAATGTATTATTACGTTATGATGACAGTGACGAACAAAGTGGCGACTTCAACTCAATTTAACGACAATACGTAAACGTTATTTTTCGTACGTTAACGTCTTCGTGGAGGTCTACGTACAGTGATTACTTCAACTCTCTATTATTATTATTTATGAGAGCGTATATCTACCAAGGTCTATTAACATAAATAGCCTTGTATATCTACTACTGAATAAAATAATAAGACATATATTCTGCTCTTTATCTTTTTATTTTCCCTAGTAGCGCCTGATTGTCAAATACGATTTTAGAGGTTAGATTTTCTGTCAAATCAATCATTGTCGTAGAGGGAAAATTGAAATAGGGTATAAACACCAACTTCAATTTATATAGTGATGCATGAATCGATTTGCTTGAATTTGATATGATTACAAAATTTCAGTGGAAAGACATCCTCGGAGTATTTGTTGCACTCTGTTTCTTTGCGTGAGTCTACATGCCTCATTTCAGGTCAGATTGAATTCGTGCAGTTGTTTGTTTGACATAACAGTTGTCACAAGTTGTCACGTGTTATTTTATTTGTTTATTTTTCTGACTGGTGATCAATCAACCATCATCAACAATTCACTCATCATTAGTAGGTGTACAGATGATTTTAGTGTATTTTCATTCTCTTTTCTCAAGCTACAAGCTTCAAGATCACAATATTTTTGGAAAATTTTGATCATTTGAGTTTGGTTTCAATCACTGGATAAACATTTCCAATATGGAAGATATTTTCGACAAATCTGATAACAATATCAGGGGGCAATTCAGCTATGATCTCAATAGTACAAACTCTGACGATGATCATATTATTATGGATGATGATGAGGATTCTAGAGAGGCAGGCCTAGCCATAGAAGAAAATATACATAAGGATGAACACATGAGTTCAGAAGCTCACTACCCATGTGAAACAGTGGAAATAAAACAAGAAGATATTTTAGATTTAGGTACTGATGATATAATTTTACCACAAGCTTCTCAATCAAATTATATTCATCCACCCAAACCAAGAAGAGAAGTCAAATCTCGAAAAGAGTTAGAAGAGGAAGAAAGAGAAAAAATGCAGTAAGTGAAGGTGGTAGTCAGTGATTCATCATTGGACTGTTTGAAATTCCATGGTTACTATACACTAGTATACACTCTCTTTTTCAGGGTATTAGTTTCTAATTTTACTGAAAATCAGTTGGACCAATATGAAATGTACAGGAGATCAGCTTTTCCAAAAGCAGCAATAAAAAGGCTCATGCAGACTATCACTGGATGTTCTGTATCACAAAATGTTGTGATTGCAATGGCAGGCATTGCCAAAGTATTTGTTGGGGAAGTTGTAGAGGAAGGTACTTTATTAATGTGAATATGATTACTACCTGCTACATTATTGTTCCAGAGTTTCTCATATTTATTTGATAATTGATGCTCTGAGTGAAAAACTGAAAAAGTTGAATTCATCCATGTGCTTGAGACAACCTTTGAAACATGAACTGTCCCAATTTATTCAATATCAATGAATAATACCTATAGAAATCAATGAGCTTCTTGATACATATCTGCTGGAATCACTCTGTTTTCTGATTATTGGAAACCATTCAGAAAAAAATCAAACACTTGACAAAACAATTTGAATTTCAATTATCAAAGGGATCAAATTATGAAACTGTATTCTAAATATCAAAAAACTGCATGAGATATTTTTGTTCATTTGTTTTCATGACAATTTTAGAAAGTTTGCCACTTTGTATGATTGATATCTGATGTGTTCTTCTGTTCTTGTAGTCAGAAGAATTTTTGTTAAACAGTCTTTGTGTCACACATATCAATCATAAAATTTTTGTTTTGATCATTTCAATAATTATAATTTTATAACAGCTCATGTAGCAATGGAACAAAATCCAATAGATGTGATTTAATATGTGATTGCACTAAATAAAATATTGATATAAGATGCAGTTACATGAATATTTCTTAACCATATTTGAAGTGCAATAATTATCCTTATAGAATCAGAAACAAGATATTACATATGAGTTCAAATTGTTGATGAAGAATTATACTTTTTTTATCTCAGTCATATTATGACAACCTCTTGCTCACTATAAATATTTTAGGGCTTGATGTAATGGAGGAAATAGGAGATACAGGGCCAATACAACCAAAACATTTGAGAGAAGCTGTCAGAAGAATGAGAAGCAATGGAGGTATTCCCAGTGGAAGAGATTACAGGACACATTACAGGCTTTGAATCTGGAATCAGATGGTGACAAATGAATTGTGACCTTTTTGAAAATTGTCATTGTTTTATGTGAATGTGAAATATCTTCACTGAAAAATTGAATACCTATTTATATTTTATGAGTACAACCAACCTTCTCTTTCAGAGATATATTGAAGACACTAGTTAGTGAAAACCCTCATATTTATGTGATTTAGGTTTAGGTAGGTACCCAAATCAATATTTTTGAAGTGAAATCCCCTTGGAAATCTCAGAATTTGAATAGTCAGGAAGAAAATCTTGGCAAGATTAAATAATTAATTTTGTACTTTCATACTAGTATATTGTTCATTAATTAATTCTTGATTGATGACTATATACAATTTTTACATTTTCCATATGAGACCATATAATGTGCGTCACTCTGTACATTTATTATATATTATGTCAATATAGGTAACTTTTTTTGAAAAACTAATTTTGTATCACTACTCATTTACCAAATAAAATTATTTTTCTACTCTGCTATACTTCATTATGTATGCCATCTTGGACCTGATGAGGAATTGTTCTTCTAAAACAATCCTCCTTTTAGGCACATTCAATGTTCCACAAACATAATAGGGATTTTCTTTCATGGGCTCAAAAAAATCATCTATATGACTATGGTATGCCGTCCTTTTCTCCTTTGTTTTTCTAGCTTTATTTGTAGAATTTGGAACATCGTATATGCTCACTAGAGGGCACTTTCTCACATTTTGGGAATTTTGCCATCTGCCGGTTTTCCTTGAAATGACCCCAGGCAACCAGATGACATTCCAGTGACGTCTTTTTTACGTCACTTGAATGACCAAGGTGACGTCAGTAGTTGGCGTGGCATTACGTGATAATGACGTGAATAAGGCACAGCCCAATGACGTCGTATTGACGTCATTCACTCACCAAACTGTGACGTCATAATGACGATTAAATTTGGCGATGATACGTGAAAAAGATTTCTTCAACATGGTGTGATAAACACCACTGGCCTCTGATGACATTATATAATATTGATTATGCATTGTTGATTCTGCTTGGTGGGTCCCTCCTGTGTCATGTTCATTCAATCGCCTATTCAGCAGCGCTATCCTTCAGTACGCATCTCCATCAGAATGCAATCAGTTACTCGTATTTGTATAAAAAATTACGTAGTTTGTGTCGGCGAGATGTAAGCATCAAACAAAGAATAGTTTGATAGCAATGGAAAGGATGTTGGCGAATTTCGCTTCAACTTGTTGAATAATGTATATTGATGCATTCTTTGTCACGCAACAAAAATCTAAATATAGCAAATTATTGAAAAAATTTCTGAATGACGAAGCTCACCAAATTGGTACGTCACACCGACGTGATTTTAGGACGTCATAGATACGTCACGGCAACGTCATGAGAGTAACGGTTTCAATATAGGTATACCTTAATCATTTGGTTTCCGAGATATACAGTGTGTCAGTTTTTTTGGAAAAAATAGATTTCTCCTACTTTCCGGGTATATTGATAATTCCAATGAAACTTGCACGTTGATTTGCTTTCATGAGTTATACTTCTGTTTCACATGATGATATATAAGTAACCATGGTTTAGAGACGGTCTGGGAAAAATGGACGTCGACAGGACGTTCCTGCAACGTCATGAAACTGACGTCTTCTTTTAACCATCTAAGTGACATTCACTCGACGTCGAAACGATGACGTGATTATCACGTCTTAGTGGCGTCATAAATCGGTGTGTGACGTCTGACGAAAAATCACCAATCAGGGACGTCACAGTGACGTGATCGTTCGTCATCTGGTTGCCTGGGACATCTACTTTCGATTATCAAATGGAACACCCTGTATTTCATTCCATATTCGGTTAGAGATTAATATAAGGAACTCAAGGATATGGGATTTGATTGTGTTATTTCAAGTGATTACTAATTAATAAGATATTCACATTTGAAGTTTCCATATCATCAATGAAGGGTGTGACGGCGCAATATCCAAACTTCTTTCTCTGTCACACTTGATTCGATTTGACTGGAAATTTTGGTGTAGGTGCTCTCAAGGAAATCTATTGAGATTACTTTTAATAAACTTAATAAGTTTCATCTTGAAATATTGAGACTTTTCTGAAGGGGGTCATAAAAAAACAATTGAATCTTCCAACTTCAACATCTCGTGTCTCAATAAACGAAGCAACTTTCGTTACTAAAATATGACAATAAGTCACCACCTGCATTTTTTCGCACTTATTTATACACAACCTGAATAAACCACAATACAAAATAGTATGTTTCAGTTTGGCTTAGAAAAGTGTCTTCTCTGTACATTGTTATATATAAATATTAGTTCCATTTCATTCCATATTGTTTGTACTTATTTGTTATCTATCACTTTCATTTGATCCAAAAAAAAGAAATCAGAAATTCCCGTCTGATTGTGAAATTTCAGAAAATATTAGGTAGGGACTGATAACGTATTGTGGCTGTAAATCAGATTTATTCAATAGATATTATTCAATAATTATAAACCCTCTCAAATTTAGTTTCAACAAATAATCTTCATTTCTGGACTGTGAAGAAATTGAATTCTTGCTTGAAATGTTAATATTTATTCAACATTAAATAAAACACCCAATATTCGCCATCGAGAAAGTAATGAAACTAATAAAACTTTGAATAATTTAAATTAGTCATGATAACAGATCATCAGATCAATGAAAATCATTCCATAACTAAACACTCATCATAAACAATTTTGTATGTTATGTTATTTTGTGCTTATCTATTAGAATATCGCCTTCAGAGTGGGAACAGAGGGCAACGACTTCCTTATCAAAATGCAGAGCACATCTTTTATCTTTTAATTCTAACTGTTGAATGGGTATCTTGGTTTGAAGGGAGCTGCTGGTGCAGTTGCATTTTTTGTGTGTCAATTTGGGAATACCACCAAGTATGTTGGTCAGAGGTTGTGTGTTGTTATTCATAGTAATTAGTAAGTGTAATTAATTGTTATTTTTTTACCAAGTTTGAAAAAGTGGATATTGTATGTGTACCCAATCTCATGTGTGTCATTCTCTTGGATATCGAATATACCGGGTGGCTACGGAAGTTTTGCCTACGGAATATCTCAGTTATTGTATGAAGTAGGTTTGTGAAATTTGGAGCGTCGATATAATGACATAAGAGCTAGAATTTGAGCATATTGACATGTCGAAGTTAACTTCCGGTCTGACCGGAAGTAACATCAACTTTCTTATTTTAAATGGAAACTCTATTTTTTGTTCGCTTTATTCAGCATTCAATTCCCTTTCTAATGACATATCACAAGTTGGTATCTAACCAGAAACTAGATCAGAAAAAAATTAATATTGAAATTCACCGAGTAGGCTGTGGAAGCAAAATGAAAGCCAAAAATTGAAAAGTTGGCTATGGAAACCATACGTCACTTGATAACAGTTGCTACTACTGTGATATTTTATTTTCATTCGTCGGCGTTCTAAAAAGCCGCCAAAAAATATAGGAAAAATTGGGAAAAAACCAAATACTCTGTAGGTCCATAACTTAAATAGAAACATACAACTTTTTCTTGCCTGTACTATTCAGCATAACCATTCCTTTCTAATGATAAAATAGAAAGTCATTTTTTGGCTTTCACGGCCTACTCGGTGAATTTCAATAATAATTTTTTTCTGATCTAGTTTCTGGTTAGATACCAACTTGTGATATGTCATTAGAAAGGGAATTGAATGCTGAATAAAGCGAAAAGAAAAAAATATAGGGTTTCCATTTAAAATAAGAAAGTTGATGTTACTTCCGGTCAGACCGGAAGTTAACTTCGACATGTCAATATGCTCAAATTCTAGCTCTTATGTCATTATCTCGACGCTCCAAATTTCACAAACCTACTTCATACAATAACTGAGATATTCCGTAGGCAATACTTCCGTAGCCACCCGGTATACCAATACCTTCTGTTGTTGCAGCAGAAAAATGTAAAGAAAGTGCAGTCTTTTTTTAGTGTTTATTGAGCAACAAAAGATTAATGTTGACACAATAACTGTTAATAAATCCACGCATATATTACACCTACCTACTGCTTCATTTTGATTTTTTTTCAATTCACTCCATACGAATTTCGTGAATATTTAACTGAAAAACCCGCATGGTATACTTTTTTACTTTTATCCATACTGCCACTATACACCTAAAAAATGTGAAGGATGCGAAGTTGGTTACTTTATACTCTACTGTGCTTTATATAAAAATTGCCTATTTAGACCAAGGCTGAATGAAAATGGTAAAAAGTGAAAAATAATAGCGGTGTATGAAAACCGTTAGAAAAGGAAGAGAATATAGCAAAAATGAAAAGAAGGCGATCTGAGGTCGGGAAGTGGAAGGAATAATGAATTTTAAGGGTAAAAAACGGTTTATCTAGATTTTCGGCAAAACTATAAGTCCTCCCACGGAAAAAAGTTGAATAGCAAAGTTATAGGAAATGAAAATATCTATTACTTTAACTATAACTTTTATATCAACACTTTTTTCACATACCCTCAAAATGTCTATGTGAAAAATTCAAATAACCAACTTTTCTGTTTTCCTTTTATTTTTCTTTCACAATTTTTTTTTACGAAATTTGGTGAACTCATCTTTTTATATCTCAAACATACTGTAATTTTTTTGATTTTAAATATTTGTTTTTCCACTTAATTTTGACTTGATATTAAAAAAGAACCCTAATGTTCAATCGAAAATGTTCGCTTCACCATATATTATATGATTTTATCAAAAAGTCGGTGGGCTTATTGTTCGTTAAAATCTCTACTTGCTGAAGATGTAAAAAAATATACATCATACATATAATATGTTCTCATAAAATACAAACAAACGAAAAAAACTCGAATCTGAATATCTTTTTATGGTATATAGGTAATTTTGAGATATTTATTGAAATGTACAGTTCAATTTGAATACATTTAATACCTTATCTTGAATTCTAATCATTCATCCATCAGCTATTGTTTCTTTGATGGCATTTTTTCCTTGTTAGATTCGACTTCGACAATCCTTCCAGACTCTAGTAGATCTTCGAAATCTTCAAACCATCACCGTCTTCGTCTCCAATATTATTTCCCATCAGCATTGCTTCTTCATCCACAATTTCATATCTGAATCATGAATCCCCTCGTAGGTTTTTTCTTCCACATTGGAGCATTTTTGTGCATTCAAACCATGTTTCAGGCAGCCACATTTTGAACTGTTACAGCCAGTTATTTCACATATATTGAATATTTTCGTCTCAGCAAAATTCTTATTTTAGATTTGGGTTCCTTGAAACAATCACCCTGTACAATATTTAGTGTATTCTGTTGCAGGTATAGAATTATGCGAGGGATGCGAAACTGAACAAACGAAACAAGGATGTATGATCAGGAATTTAGTCTGCTCGTGCGGATTTGGATGCGTTTCGGACTACAGATATGACACAATCCAAGAATGCCAAAGTGCCTTAAAAGGTATCTATCCATACCTATTGCCCTCGCTATTGCCTAACATACACACACTGGCACAATTAGGGGAACGGGAAAATTCACACTAAGTTTGACATCAATTTCCTTTCGAACCGATCGCTCGATTCAAATATTTTTCTTCACGAAATGTAGCTTCATTCTTCACGAATACATCTGAGAAATAATTACCTTCAAACGATGAGTCTTTCCATCATATACAGGGGTGTAAAGAAAGTACGGATTTTTCGGTATTTTTTTAGACATCCTGTGGACTGAACCACTAATAATTGAAACGATTTCTCAACACCAAATTGGAGCCCAATCTATTCCGAATATTTTCGTTTTTTATTCATCTTGATATCTCAATTATTCAAGAAAATACAGAGTTTCAAAGGAAAGGTGGATATTGGTATCAATTTTACACCTCAAAACTCAAATTGGATCTGAAAATGTGTCGTTTCTTGACTAACCTAACCTAACCATGACTAAACCTCTGCCATAGGAGACAGAAGCAGTAAAATCAAATTGTTCATTTTGTTCACCTCGGCGATATAGTCTTTCCCTGCCATCTATTGAATTGGTGCAGATGCGGCTCTCATATGTCAAAAGAACATTGGCCTACTGGTCATTTTCAATTAATGCTACAGCCCTCGCCACATCAGTAGGAGTCAAATCTCTCACGTTGAATTTTCATTAATACAATAATTAATGACATTAACAAAATAGCCAACGTTGATTAACAAAAATAGCATTTCACCAAAAGAACATTGGAGTAACTTTTATCACCCCTGCATATTCATGAGAGTTTTCGTATATGTCTTTAAACAGTAAACTGATAGGTAAAACTGTGAACAATTCTCATCTTGAAGTAAAAATCCTCACAGAAACAAGTTGAAAAACGACACGACTTCCCCAGTTCGAGTTTCGAGGTGGTAAAATTAATACCAATATCCATCTCTTCTTTGAAACTCTATATTTTCTTGGATAATTGGGATATCAAGATAAATAAAAAACGAAAATATTCGGGATAGATTGGGCTATAATTTGGTGTTGGAAAATCGTTTCAATTATCAGTGGTTCACTCCACAGGATGTCTTAAAGAATACCGAAAAATCCGTACTTTCTTTACACCCCTGTATATGATATAAAGACGAATCGTTTGGAAGTGGTTATTTCTCAGATGTATTCGTGAAGAATGAAGCTATAATTCTTGAAAAACAAATTTGAATCGAGTGATCGGTTCGAGAGAAAATTGATGTCAAACTTAGTGTAAATTTTACCCGTTCCCCTAATTGTGCCAGTGTGTGTATTTTTTTCACTACGAGCGATAGTCCCATATAACGAACGATAAGTATTAGACTTCTACGGCTTCAACATATAGGTACCCAGCAAAAACTGGGCAGTAACTGTGAAGTACTATGGAAGTAATTTTGCAACTAAAATCCGCGTGCTATGTACGAAAAACATCTCCCGCTCTTATTTGCAGCGAAATGTTCGCGACATCAAATTATTAATTGTGTTGTTCAAATTGAGATTTGGAAAAATAGCCCAAATAAAACATACATCATCCGTATAGTTACTGTGGAAGTTTTTGAGACAATTGATGTCTCATGACATTATAATTGAAATAATTATAACTGCATCTTAGATTTTTTGTTAACAAAGCAAAGTTTCAAAGTTACCACGTTCCGAACGATTATGCGTAATCAATGAAACCATATTTCCTTTTGCAATCTGGGACTTCGGGAAACTGCCATGTGATGTAACGTGTTTGCTGGGTGACAGCGAAATGATATTAACATGTATAATATACAGGGTGGGTCACGTGGTGGATGGCCTATTAGAAGTATCTGGAGAACGAAAAGACAGAACATTCTGAAAATTGGGATGCTTTGATAATTGAACATTCTCTATTCGTCTAAAATGTTTTCGATACAGTGTTGCCACTTCTATCAGAAACAACTTTGTTATTTCAAATGGAACACTCTGTATTTTATTGCATTTTTAGATTCTTCCTGAGGAGCTGATTTCATCGATGTATCATACTTGGGGTCAAGCAGAAATGATTACAGAGATATAGGGTATTCAAAATCTAGATTTTTCAATTTCAGGATTTTTTTGTGTCGAAACTATTCATTATTGATCAAAACGGCGTACATGTCCCTGTCTTAACTTTTGATTCACTATCTACTGACATTTAATTGGAACAGATACAGGGTGATCAAAATTCTGAATCTTGGACCATCCTCTATTTTTTCCAATTAAATGTCGGTAGATAGTTAATCAAAAGTTAATATAGGGACATGTAAGCCGTTTTGACCAATGATGAATAGTTTCGACACAAAAAATCCAAAAGTTGAAAAATCTCGATTTTGAACACCCTATATCTGAAATCAGCTCTTCCAGAAAAATCTAAAAAACGCAATAAAATACAGGGTGTCCCATTTGAAATAACAAAGATGATGCCACTTTTTGGTGAAAGTGGCAACGCTGCTTCGCTGAAAATATTTTGAATCGTTAGATCACAAACGCTTATTAGAGTAACCAAATTTTCAGGATAATCCAATGTACCGTTTTCCGTATACGTCTAAGGTACCATCGACCGTGGGCAACCCTGTATAACACAGTGATTTAATGTTTTTTCCTAGGTAAAAAAAGGGATATCTGCAAAACGCACAACCCATGTATGCATAATGGTACTTGCATTCAAATCTCTCAACAGCCTGGATACCGATGTAGATGTGAAGGAACCGGATTTTTCGGATTAAGGTGTAGCCGAGGTAAAAAAATAGACCATTTGAAGATTTCTTTCTGATAAACTTTTGAATAAATACAAGAACTTTGTAACTGGAACTTAGTGTTCTCTTTCTCACGAACTTCAGATTAATATTATCCACACTGTCCTCATGATCCATAAATAACGTCAACAAATGATTGAATCAACTTCCGTGATATGAAGTGCAAGGGTTAGATAGAGCCAAGGATGAGTATTCTAATAATAAAGAATGAATTTTAAAAAAGTATCCCCTCAAATGAAACAAATATTTGATAACCTTTTCAACTGTTCTATGTTTGGTTTGAAATACAAATATTTCCAGCATTTCTCAACGGATTATGATATGATACTACAGTGTCTGTAGAAAGGAGGTCAATCTGTTGGATGCATTCTAACGGATTGACCTTCTTTTGTTGATTCAAAACTTCAAATTGTTTTTTTTTAGCTTGTCCTGTACCTGGAGCTGGAAGGGTGGCGACAATCTATCCCTATGAATGCATAGTAATATAACTCAAACCAATAATTATCAATATTTAATGTTGAAAAATCTCACTTGTACAAATAAAACATGTTTTTCAATAGTAGTCACTTATATATTTATTTCCTTCAAAATTAAAACAATTTACAAATAGAAGATAATCCACATTCAATATTTTGTAGTTATTTCCAAAAAACTGCATCACAGTACCCACATCAACGCATGTAAAAAAAAATAAAAATAAATTATACACTACATTAATAAAAACATTTACCGAAAAGGGAGAAACTAGAGCTGGAATTTTTCAAACATGTCAATTTGGTGGAGATGATGACAACTTTTATCACAGAAGAACACAGTAAGGATCATAGAATAGGACTATATATTCGGAAGTTTCAACATTTCCACTGCCCACTTGAGAAGAAATCCCTTTGAAATTTCAAGAAGTTTCAGGACAAGATACAGCTATTTTAAAACAAATACTTTTTGACCCGTCCACGAACCATCTTGAAATTTTCTAGGCCTCGACGCAAATTTCATTATGGATACAAAGAGCTGTTGCGGGTACTGACAGACTGCAAACTATCATTACACCTAAATGGAGTCTAAATAAAAATTACAAAAGGTTTCATTATAAATGTACAGATTACTCACGGATGCAGTCTTCTCTAGATCATATTCTAATACCTTAACTCTGTATCCTAATAATAAATTCATTGTATTTATATTTGTCAATGGATTATCATTTTTTTCTTGTTTTCAAGCAGCGTTTATTATTGGTTTAAATTCAAATTCAAGTTTTTTCCTCAATCAAGGGCAGCGCAACTTTGTTCGAATGTCAATTATGTATAAACATCAGCTACAACTAGATTGGTGTATATGTTAACGGAAAAAAAGTTCCTTGCCCATTTAGACTTGTCTGTTGCATATTTATCGGAAAATTATTCTAGGCAAGAATACTGCAATTGGGACTGAAAAAAGGAACAATTTATGAAGAAACATTTTCTTCTGAGATCTCAAGACAATGAAATGACATTTCTTTGTTATTTTTTTCAAATAGCCAGATATATATCTCCTTGCAGACAATTAAAAAATATATCCATGTTTCTAGTAATATTACTATTCCTCAATCTCAATTTTCATTACAAACCTCCATTTCAAACCTAGTAGAAGTCTTCAGGTGTAGTGTATATTCTTATAGGAAGAAACAGTTGAAACAATAAATTTATCTAAAGCAAAACTTGTAGCAACATAATTGTTTCAAATGACATTGTATTTTTTTTCACGTCAGCAATTTATCACACACAGACATAGTCTTTTAATATGCCCATATTTTTCAGTAAATTAACTATTACTCAAAGAATGAAGATCATGATTGAAAAATATAATATTCGATAACTTCAAAAAAACACATTATCAATTATTCTGAACAAAGACCTAAACTTTCGATTATAAATATTCTTGCCCAGAATTCAGGAAAATGTTCTCAATCAACAAGACCTAAATTTAATGAAATACAGTGTGTATAATTCCAACTCCATTCTAAGACAATAATAGTAAGTTAGTTGCTACCATGATTTAATAAAATGACTACGTTTATCTCGTACCTTCAAAATCAGTTCAAAATTAAATTGTTCTATTTTTCATTCCAATTCAATCACAAAATAAATCAACAGTTTGTTAGCACTTTTCATTCAATATCATGATGGCTCACACGAAATATTCCCATGTTACTAACAAAGAAAGCATTTCCGAACTTACTGCAAAAAAGCGACATCATCTCAATGTGGAATAGTCAGTTGATATTTGGAATTTACATTTGTACTTATTTGTTATAGTGGAACTTCATTCAACACCTTCAGCAAAGTATATCTCATCATGTTCAATGTCAAAGCTAGCACAAACACAAATATACAAGGTGTTCATTGAATGGCGCCCTGATGATATTGTTACTGAATATTTCAGAAATAATGTGACAAAATCATAAATATGGAAGGAGCTTTTCATGGATATGAAGGAATAATAATTTGATGATTCAGTTGAGGAGTTTGTCAGACAGGTTCGGACTGGGGTACATAATGCCAACTTTTTCTTTGCATTGTTTTCCTTTCGACCGTTCAGTCACAGACTTTTTGTTTTATATATGAGGGTCTGTTTGGTACCAAAACTATCAAACCACAATTTTCAAAATAAGTAATGTGACACATCTAATCGACATGAAACAAGAGTGCCCATTTTCTGGGAAAATTGTCAAAAATCATATCATTGGAGACCAGAATAAGAACAAGAAGCCTACAAAAAGTAAGGACCACAATTAACCTAGTAACACCCTGTTTTTCAATTGTCAGATGAATATTATGCTAATTACGGGACACCCTGTAGAATTCAAATAATATACAGGGTGGGTCACGGTCGATGGCACCTTAGACGTTTACGGAGAACGTTACATAAGATCATTCTGAAAATTTGGTTACTCAAGTAATTGCCCTTGATCTATCGATCTAAAATATTTTCAGCTCTGCGGCGTTGCCGCTTCTATCGAAAAGTAGCAACAACTTTGTTATTTTAAATGGAACACCCTGTATTTTATCGCATTTTCAGATTCTCTCTGAAGAACTGATTTCATCGATGTATCACACTTGGGGTCTAGCGGAAATGATTACAGAGATATAGGGTGTGAAAAATCGACATTTTTCAACTTTAGGAATTTTTTTTGTCGAAACTATTCATTATTGGTCAAAACGGCTCACATGTCCCTATCCCAACTTTTGATCAACTATCTACTGACATTTAATTGAAACAAATACAGGGTGGTGCAGAATTCAGATTCTTGATCACCCGATATATGTCCCAATTAAATATCAGTATCAGTATCAGTTAATCAAAAGTTGAGATAGGGACATGTAAGCCTTTTTGACCAATAATGAATAGTTTCGACAAAAAAATTCCTTAAGTTGAAAAATGTCGATTTTTCACACCCTATATCTCTGTAATCATTTCCGCTAGACCTCAAGTGTGATACATCGATGAAATCAGCTATTCAGAGAGAATCTGAAGATGCAATAAAATACAGGGTGTTCCATTCAAAATAACAAAGTTGTTGCTACTTTTCGATAGAAGCGGCAACGCCGCAGAGCTGAAAATATTTTAGATCGATAGATCAAGAACAATTACATGAGTAACCAAATTTTCAGAATGATCTTATGTCCCGTTCTCCGTAAACGTCTAAGGTGCCATCTACCGTGACCCACCCTGTATATTCTTGGATATATCGATTCGAAATCGGCAATGTTCTTGGCCTGCATAAAATCGTACTTTAAAGACTACTGGATGAGCCATAATCAATCTAACCAATAATACGGTTGCAGAATTGAAACCTACAGGAATTTGCATTGCAAAAGCTGAATGTTTCACCAACCATAATAACCAGATCATTCTCACCATTGTAGAGGTAGCAAAGTTGAAACGGATGAAACCAAATGAATCAATTTCATCAATCAAATGGCTCAGTATTCACCGCATGAGGAACGCATGACGTCATTGATAGTCACAAATGTCATAATCAGATATACAAACATGACAAATGTTTCTAAACAACCCCCTTCAATGTATAAAGAGCACACTGCCTTTACTTTATATTTTAAGGGCAGTTTCACAATCAGGGTCATGCAGCTTCGAATTTTTTCGACTTTTTGGACTTGTTAAGAAATCAATTGTAGAACAAATTGATTAATCATATAGAAAAAGGTGGAAAATAGGACATGAGATAATTATTATAGTCGAACCTGGTTTGTTATATTAGGAAGCTGTGGATCATGAAAATATGTACAAAATGGACATTTTCAACATGTTATTCATGTTCTCTGGATCCAAGTTAGAGTGTTAGCAATGCATCACAAAAATATCAGTACCTGCAAGGTATCCATCTTGACAAAAAAAAAATATCAATGATATTTCCTTCAATTTATAGGATTTGTTCATTTGTGTAGCCCAACTTCTGCTTAAGTTGTTTTTTTAAAGGTTATCTCTGTTATGATGTAAACAGAAAAACAATCAAGTTTGGCAGGTTGTGCAAACAAACAAGCCTCTATAGAGTCGAATAAAGATATATAAAACGTTTCCCGCCTTCTTGAAATGCCAGCAACCCACCATGGCGTTGGCTATATACAAGGTGTTGCGAAATTTGACAGACAATGCTTGACAGGTCGTAATTTGTTTATGACTAAGGTAGGAACATAGGGTCAAATGTTCAGTTCACGAGATACAGTGTGTCAACGATTTTAATTATTCAACTCCCAACACCCTGTATCTCTAAAACAAACCAATAGAGAACCTTATAATCATCATCCGAGGTCTATCACCTTTGAAGCGATGTAAGTCCAATTTCGCAACACCCTAAATAATGAAACCCAGACCTTGAGCTTTGGTTCATACAGCATACAGGGAATAAATGAGATCTACTTGATTGAGTGTTGGAACTGTTTCGACGAGATTTGCTTTACTGAAGGTGTGATCCCCTACCTTCCGAATGGATTGCGTGCAAGATCTGTCAGATGACCGACCCTGGCGGTAAAACATTGAAACATAACCTCACTTTTCTTTATTGTTTACAAAGGATTGAAATAGTTTTTCACAATGTTTTGGCATACGAATCGTATTTTTGGGCTATTCATTAATTCAAGCATGCAATCTCATTGTGCTGTTGTACAATGCACAGAAAATGCAGCGAGAGACGAAGAAATCAGATTTTTCAGGTAGGTACATTGTGATCTAGTCACTCACATATAGTTTGTATATTGACATTGTTCCATTTCTCATTGGAGTTCCTTCTGCAATAGGAGCTGATACAAATACTGAAGTTTCTAAACGAAGGCAAGAAGATGGATTCATGCAATCAAACGGGAGACTGGTCTGTCATGCTGACGACATATGATCCTGTACGTGTTGTAGACATTTTCACTCTGTTAGCAGTATTAGCTTCCATTGCAGAAGTGGCAGAAGGAATTATAATTGCATAATGAAAACTATGTGAGATCAGTATTTTTAACTGAAAAATCATATTCCTTCGTCTCTCGCTTCATTTTTTGTGCATTGTACAACAGCACAATGTGATGGCATGCTTGAATTAATGAATTGCCCAAAAAACACGATTCGTATGGCTAAAACTTTGATTCAAACAAATAAGAAAAGCAAGGTTGTGTATTGTGTTTCAATGTTTTGCAGAAAAGTGAGGTTGTGTTTCAATGTTTTACCTACAGGGTCGGTTACCGTGCACGCGACCTATAGGGACAATCCCTTGAAAATTTGGTGGCATATTACCGAATGCACGTTTCCGTCTCATCAGCCTAAAATTCGAAATTCCGAGTCCGAGAGAAACGTTTTCATCGTCACAAACAAGGACACGACTATTATGTTTTGTATGTTTTTTCTTTCGCATGTTCCGGTTTCGGTTTATTCCGGTAGGGTGCCGGGGATGCGCGACAATCGCAACTCCGGCGCAAAACCCTTGGAGCCGTCGGGGCCCTTCGGCTGACGCGTCACCGTCAACTTGGGTCCGACATCGTCCACCGATATCGTGCGCAGTCTACTGATTAGTCTTTCCGGTCTCGCTTGTACATCACTGGAACAAAAATGAGCGGTGCTCTTGAATAGGCTAGAGTCACTGGATGGTATTGGATGGTATTGTGGACAAGAGTTCGGAACTTCTGTCCTTTTCTATTTTCTAAATTACAATGGGGAAGTCTCCTTCAGATGAATTTTCATAAAATGACTTCGGAATTCTCCAGTTTTATGTCCACACTGTACAGGATAGCGACCGGTAAAGTCCAAGTCGTTTACATTTTCAAATTAAAGGAATTTATAACTTTCGGGGCAAACTATGACGTACTTTCTGAATCTAGTCTGAAAATAGATGATAGTGAAGAATATAGCTAAAGAATAGCTAACGAATGAAAAAATTGAAAAAGGAGTAAAACTGGTGATCAAAAACATACATAACCACGAATGCACTCGGAGCAGGAATTCAGAGGGTAGTTGGCTTCATTCTGACAGGCTATGGTTTTGTTATTTATGCATCGAAATATCTCGGATGGAGCTCGATCCTAAACGAAAATAGCATTGAATCATTGAATCATTATCGGCTGATTCCTAATTTACTGACATCGGTCAGAACAGAATGAAGCCGACACCCATGACGCCTTCCTCTTGTTGTGCCTGTCAGTATTCTGAGTGGTGTGGACGGACTCGAAGTATTAGGCGCTGTTGCAAGATATAATCTGCAACTTTCCAAGAAGATCCGTTTCATTAAGGGACGAATTCATTAGCAAAAAAATTACTGACAAGTTATGAATAACATATTGTAATATAACGATAGTGAAAAATTATAGGTACTATCGCAAAATATCATAATTTATCTTCATTAGTAATCAACTTCATTCAGCCAATGAGAGATTAATGGGAATTATTCATAATACTTGACAAAGTAGGATTGAAGAACCTATTATATCCCATTGCTGTTATGATATAGTTATTATGCATACAATTTTCGAAAATCTAGACATATTGATGGTGTTGGCTACGTCGTACTGGCACAGGGAATCGTATTTTAACTCCGTGTGAATGTGGATTTTCAGAAAGTGAGTCATAGGAATGGTGAAGGAGCCTAGTTCCTCTTTTATTCATTTTTTTCCGAAGTGAAATTTGATCTTACGAAAAAATACGTATTTATTAATTTTTTACAAACTTCACAAGAATAAGACACATATTCTGCTCTTTGTCTTTTCAATTTCCCTAGTGGCGCCTGATTGCCAGATGCGATTTTAGAGTTTACATTTTTTGTCAAATCAATCATAGCCGTAGATTGGGAAATATGAATAGGGTATTAACACCCACTTCAATTTATAGCGATATCGCACTTTTCACAGAACAACAGTTATAAAAATGAGAAGAATGCATGTTACATTTTATTATGACAGAATACACACATATAGATAAATTATATCGGTATTGGAAACGCCATTAAACGTCAACATTCAACGTACGGAAAATGTCTCAACGATATTATGTAGAGCTTCAAAAATGGGAATGAGAAAGTGTCTTCTGTTTTTCTATATCTCTTTAATTAACGTCAGAAGAAAATAATAATGATCCCCATGAGAGACAATCTTATCTTGGACACAGTGTATATCACGTTGCAATTCACTCGATTTCTTCAGTTTCGTTCTGCAATTTTCAATTTCATTACGCAGTTTTGCAATCGATTCCTCTTTCTTCATGATGATTTTGTTTTGTTTTTTGTGTGATGATAATAATAGATTTGTCTAGTCTGTTCTGTAAATGGATGAAACAGCACATTCTCTCTAAAGGATCTTAAAAACTCACTTTCAAAAATGATATGATAAGATATAGTTTCATTCTAATCTGTTGTAGTAAGAAGTGAATTTTGATGTACGTACCTCACAAATTCTGCTTGTCTTCTAATCAATTTTCCATCCAGGCCGTTTCATACATTCCTTTCATATGCGAATCGTTGATATTTCCTTTGGAAAATTTAATAAATGAAATCCATTCTCTTCAGAATTCCCACAATTCATTACACAGCAGGACATTTTCATTTATGCTTTCTTCCCAATAGTTTATAAAATTATATTTCAATTCTGACGTTCATGAAATGTATTGTCAAATTCAGACAATTTTGAATGGAAAAGCGCGGGACGACTATGGTGCTCTTGTCACAATTGAAGGTATGTAACTTAATAACTATAAACATTCAAAAACAATAACAGATGTCTTTTCTGTGTCCGAACTCTTATCAAACTGATACCATCCAGTGACTCTAAGATAGGCTAAACAACATTGGCATCAGAGGTATTGCAAACGACTTATTGAGATCCTATCTAAGTGGAAGAATGACTTTACTCCAATCTTCTTTCTCTTAATTCTAATAAGACACAATATTATATAACTCGCCATGGAAGAAATAAAATAAAAAATGAAAGATTGAAAAAAACTGCCTAAACCTAATACTTTGGTATTTGGTTTGAGGAAAAGTAAACTTGGGACAAGCATATTGGCATGCTCAAAGAACAAAAATCTCCCATAGTTGATGCCCTAAGATTATGTCCAAAACTTAGCCCAAATATAGCAAATACCATACATTCTATACTTTCACATCCTTAGTGAAACGAACTATCTCATAAATATTTGGGGTTCATATCAAGAATTATTTTAACAAAATATTTACTATGCAGGGTGACATAGAAAAAAGTACATTGCATAGTGCCACAACTGCCACACAATAGAGGACACTAAAATAAGAAAAATGTTCCCATGAACACAGGTCCGCAAGGCCTTCGGTTGAAAGATATGGGGTGTTGAATTTTTATTTTTGGGGTCTTTTGAATATCATTAGCCAGACGCAAGAAACGGAGAAAATGTGGCATATAGGGGTTTTTCATCATGCTAAATTCAAATATGATCCTAGTTTTGTTATTACTGTTGAAGGGCGCTACATACAGGGTTCCATCTCTATTGAATCGGTCGTAACTCATACTCAAGGAAGGTATACCTTGTCCAAGACACTAGAAGCAATGGTTCCAGTACAAATGCATCTAAAAGCCGACAATGCACGCAAATTATTCAAAAAGCGCCAAAGTAACCTTTGCAAAAACAATGATAAATAACAATTAAATAATGTGTCATAATGACACTTGTCAAACTAATGTAATAATTGTTAGAGGTATTTTGTGTTCTTGATTAAGTTTTTCTTGGTTTTCTCACTGATTATTCAAAATTTCTTCCAAAAATAGTTTACTACACTTTTGAAGAATACAAGGACATGATTATGTGTTACGGCGAAGCTAGATCAAATTCTTAGGAAGCTCAGATATGTCATTATAATCAACTATAATATCATGGCTTCCTCCTATTATGTTTTATTCAACGACATGACTATAACATACTTTTGATAACTTTATTCAAATTAATGAATTGACAACCTTGCTTCATGAGTGGGAATGGAAGATTATCTGACCAATAACGAAACAGCATAAAAACTGACGTCACCCTTTATTCGACGAATGGCGGCCATTACGGTAGGTTTGAAGTAAGCTCTGCAATTCAACGATTTTGAACAATGCATAGACTCATTATTTACATAAAGTGCGAGAAGTGTTGAACAAATCAATTTAGGTCCCTAACGGCTCGGTGGTCGAGAGCGTGAAGGCGCTGAGTTCATATGGGGACTTCCACCGAGACATAATTTCGAATCCTAGTTAGGCCATGGATGTTTGTGTTTGTATGTAAACCTAACCCCGCACAAGTTTCGACTTATGGGGCGTTTGGTCCCAGTGCTGGGACCAACGAGGTATGCAATTGCAAAAAAAAAAAACGACACAGCGGAGTAATTGATTACCAATAATTCATTATCAATCCACTCGCCCATTGTTATTTAGCCTGAGAGTGTGGAGTATTGTCACGAGTAGAACATACGGTATATAAGTAATTTCAAACCATGAGGGTTTTAAAACATAAAGTTAATCAAATCATCCGTTGACATTGAATTATGAAAACTGACCAAAGAACCCTCATGAGAAACCTGCGAATCTAATAAATTGATGTATATAAATAATATTGGATGTGACGGTTCCGAAGTTAGTCTGGTCTGGGGCTACTCTTGACTTGACAAGAGCTCGTCGTGATGGTCGTTATAATGTAAGTTGTTCTTAGGTCTTTAAATTCACTGTTGGTTATTCATATTTGTCATTGCTACCCATAATGTTACATGTTATAATACAAATTGTTATGTTAGAATATAGTCTCGTAGTTTCAGTTACCCCTAAACTATTAGTGCCTATTCGAATATTACCTTCTCGCAAACTATCAAGCCAAGCTAACCCCTCATAAATCGATAGGGATGGACTAACCATCTATTTTATCGTGACATGGTGGAAACACCCCTAATATATCGTGACAGTATGTTCAACCACCGAACATCAACTAAAGATAAGAAGGCTCACTTAGCTAAAACTGTTTGAAATAGCAAAAACAAAGGCGGCCCGCCACCCTTCTTCGGTGCCTCAGTTGAGCGGCAAGTCGCTTTGTGTATACGAGGACTGCGTTTATATAGGGATTGGTCAAAAAAGTAGGTAATCAGATAAATCATTACTTTATTCAACTCATTTATCATCACGGAACTGAATAAGCAAAAGGAAAAAAACGTGTTGTAGAAAGACAATGTTAAAATAAAAACGACTTCGACACTAAATAAATTAACTAACAAAATCTACCAATATAACAAAGGAAACAGGTGAACATTAAATATCCTATGGGTTGAAACCGATAGTTTTGGTGAATAAAGAGATGAATCATCATAGGTTCTGCAATATAGATAACTTTATATTTGGCTTTTCAATTTTTTTGTCTTTAATTTCACGATTTATAGATTTAATCGTAAAATAAATACGAACTCTAGTGTAGAGAGATACAAAATACTCGAATGGAAAATTTTCACACGGATGTGTGAATTGTATATTTTCAAACAAACCTTTGAGGGTTGCACCAATATTTTGTAGGTTAGCTATTTCATTGAAATTTTGAATGAAGATGTTCTCTAATCGTGTGACATATTCTACAATATCTGCATGAGGTACATTCAAGCCACCAATTCCTTTGTTATTATAAGCTTTTGCCTCAAAAGAGCGGGTCGCTTCCTTCTTTAAAGAATTTTGTTTGTTATATTCCAGACATATATCACATGAATGTTGCAACAAACATTTTTTCAATAAATAGCCTGTGACATACACCAATGCATTACCACCAGTACTGGACAAATTTCTGTAATCGCTCGTAAATACCTTCAAGGGATTGTGTGATACTGGGATGGATAATTTATTGCAGTTTTCTAGCAATTCGGGAGTAATGTTCATCAAAACTTCATTCATATCGTTTATACAGTTTGCTCCGTCGACTTGATCAAAGAATTTCAAGGCAAATAATTTTCTGAAGGCTCTTGAAAACTGTATTGGTGTTGGATTTCTTGCATTGCCGCAACAGTTTCTAACTTGGCCAAAATAGTTCTCGATACAATCCTGATTGAGGTTTCTGGTTAATAGAAAATTATAACCCCTAGATTTCAAGGTCTCCCATAAAGCTTTAACCGACTTGATTGTTAACTTCCATCCATAAATGAAATGCAATTTGTTGTTCAAACAAATTTCTTGATTGTCAACAATCTTTATAACTTTCAAATTGCTTAACATAGTTTCAATTTCTTCTAGAAATTGGAATTGTTTCTCTGTGCCCATGAATGCGTTGAAATTATTTAAATGGCAGGAATTTAATAGATCGAATAAATCATTCATTATTTTTATGAATTTTGCAGTTACTTTTGCTTCTGGTGGTAAAACTTCAAAATCTACGTAGGTATAAAGAGCAGCAGCCACAGAATGACTGAAGACTTGCGAGGCATATTTCACCTTCATTTTTTGAAAATTACTGGGATTCAAATGTTCATTAGTTAATTTGGGGCAAAGCTTGTATTGTTTTAGCTTGTCATAATTATAAAAAGTGTCCAGATAACTTTTCTTTATCACTCCCTCTGGCAACCGATAATTGTAGGAGAATAATATATATTATTATAGAATATAGAATAATATATATATATTATTTTTATTATTTTCACTTTTCGCATTTTGACTAAGCGAATGGAGGACGACTTCCTGCAGGTTCATAGAAAGAACTGATTCATCGAGATATACTCACTATTTTCACTGACGCCATTCTGAAGCAGATTAAGCGATGGAACCGCGCTTTCCAGAAGTTCAAGACTGTTTGTTGAAACATTCTTGAGGAAACTCTCTTCAGGAAAATGGATATTGCAAATTCGAATTCTGTTATAGCATTGCTCCGGGGTAAGATTTGCATATTTATGGGTGCCAACAAAACATAAGGCATTTTTCCACGTTTGACATCTGAAAAAGCGATCACGTGAGAAAATGCTACGATGGAATATAAAACAAAACAGTTTCCACAGTGAATTCCAAACTGTCGAAAATAAGCTTTACGATATAATGCAAAAATCTACTGTCATGAGTGTTCTATTGGAATTACAAATCAAAAAAATATGAATTATATTACCTTGGTTCCTTTTTCGGACAACGAAAAAAAGACATACCAATTCCTGGTTTACTGTCACAGCCATCAACAGAACAATGCGTCGGCATAATGAAAATTTGCACTCTAAAAGTTAAAACGAACTTCCGAAATCAATTCGTGAACCGATTCCCAATAGCTCACCAACAAGACACTCGGTATATCACGTCTACAACGACTCTCGCGCGCTCTCGACGGTCAATCGGTATATGCGTTGGTATTCGATCTTCCAGAATCGGAGGGAGGGAAAGGAGGGAGGTATTCGCGGCAGAACGGAGAGTGACTCTTCTTATCTTTAGTTGATGTTCGGTGGTTCAACCCAGTAATCATACCTGACTTTGACGACGTTACAGGCAGAAGACTTGCCGCTTCTGTGATTCGTGACGAGCACGAATTCGACAGTGTCGCCCACCTGCAGACCGACGTTGTCCTTCACTTCCGTCATGTGGAAGAACAGCTTCTTGCCCTCCTCCACCTCATAGGCCAAAAATCCAAAATGCCCCTGTTATAAAGATAATAGAAATTAGATGAGATTGCAGAACCATTGTCCTATCCTAGTATGCTACTTATATAGTGTGTAAAAGCCAAATGGAACGAACTCATTATTTCAGTTACTCTACATATTTATAAAGAATCCCTCAACACGTCAAAGGTAACTCATAAATTGAAATTCGCCAACGTGAAAATGCGACCCCATTTTTCAAATGGGAAGTATAGGCTTGTGATGTATCGTTTGAAATGTCTCTTCGTTCTCTCTTCAAAAATGTTATCAATCAGAAACGAAAACGTAATGCACAACGTAATATAATGTAAAACACTAAAAATAACTATGAATGTTAATGAAGTAGATGTTCAAAATTTTCACCGCGAACGTCATGGCAACATCCCAATGGTAAATAAAACTGTCGTCTAACATTATTCAACATATCAGGCGTGATCGACCTAATCGCCAGCGTTATTCGTTCTTTTTAGTAATTTAAATCAAAAGGTTTCGTTTTGTACACAATGGTCTTCACATATCCCCATAAAAAGAAATCTAATAATGTAAGATCAGGTGATCGCGGTGGCTATTTAATCGATCCTCGCCTCCCTATCCACCGATTGGGAAATATTATATCGAGGAACTGCCTGATATTCAATTGGTAATGTGGTGGTGCTCCATCCTGCTGAAACCATATCATATTCACGGGAACTTCAGGGTTGCCTGGATCAGGATACAAATTTGCCAAAGTAGGAATACATCATTTTGAAGTAGTGCCAAATAATGATCGCCATTCAAATTGCCCTCAATGAAAAAAGGACTGATGATATGGTTTCCAATAATCGCTACCCACACATTAATCTTTTGAGGGTATTGCGTGTGCTCTTCTCTCATCCTGTGAGGATTTTCTGTTGACCAGTAGCGGCAATTCTGCCGATTAGCATGACCGTGAAGTGAAAAAGTACATTCATCAGAAAACATAACGTTTTCTAATTGGATAATATTGTTATCCAACATCTCCATCATTTGCTCACAAAAGTATGTTCTCCTATCAAAATCGTCTTCCATGAGCTCCTGAGTTGGTATCATTTTGTAGGGATGCATTTCAATTTCTTTTAATATGTTTACTATCGATGTATGGCTAACATTGAACGTAGTGGATGCCTGTCTACTCGATGTATGTGGGTTTTCCTCAAATTCAAGTATCACATCTAATTTGATTTCATCCCTCAGTGCATTGGCAGCTTGTTTTTTCATCTGCCTTACATGACCAAACTCGCGAAACTGCTTCTCTATTTTACTTATTGTTCCTTGGGATATAGGCGGTACATCAGGAAATTTCTCATGAAATAGGCGAGTTGCTTCCTGTTGTGTTCGGGTTTTATCTCCGTAACCAATCATTTGTAAAAATATTAATGCATTCCCGTTAATCTAACCATTTTTTAGAATTGAAGTGAATGAATTTCAAACTTATAATACTGGCAGCATATGTGCAAAAATTTGCTAAGGTGTTTGAAACAAACTAACGGAAACTCTTTGGAGTATTTTTACTGGATACCATTTAAAAAGCACATTGCTATGGTTTTGTCTACTTTCTTATTATCAAGACCTAGGCGGGAAATACGTTTTGAGTATATTGTAATAAGTTTTGATTGTATTGTAGCGAATTTCAGAAACCACATGATTTCATTTTATTCTATCTAACTTGTTGCAATAAACTTGAAAGCGATAACATTTTTGAAGAGAGAACAAAGAGACCTTTCAAACGCTATATCACAAGCCTATACTTCCCATTTGAAAAATTGGAGGTTGTACCTGTCATTCGAAGGGGGTTGAAGGTAGGGGTCGCATTTTCACGTTGGCGAATGTCAATTTATAAGATACATTTGACGTGTTTCGGGATTTTTTATGAATATGTAGAGTAACTGAAATGATGAATTTATTCCATTTGGCTTTAACATACTGTATACTACGTATATGTCCACCCAACCGTGAATAGACAATAACCGCCAAGTTCACAAGTTGGTCTTATATCACTAAACTATACAGAGGGCTAAATGGGATAGGTCCATTATCCGTATTCATTACTCTACTACTATTCTTAAATATTATTAAGCTTTCATATGCATCCAATTTCTCAACATTAATGACTTGCTTAACTAATTTGAGGTTATTAATATGTGTTTTATGATTGTGATTGAACATGTGTTCGGCTACACGCGAATTATCTAACCTACCATATTTCGAATGTGCTTAGTGTTCTTTGAACCGTGTTTTTATGGAACTCCTGGTTTGACCTATATATGTTTAATCACAATCATTACAGCTAATTTAGTATATTCCTATCTTTTCAAGTGTGTCCATCTCATCTTTTGGATTACGTAATAAATTACCCAACTTTAACTCATACTGATAAACGCTTTCAAAATCTTAGTTTTTGAAAACCTTACCAAGTCCTCTTGTGTACTTGGGATTGAACGGGATTGGGACTTTTCTCGGATTGTTTTCATCTGCTTGAAAAGTCGTAGAATTCCTAAGTGTTAACTTACATTTTTGTCTATGTATTAATATATATACTATTTTGAGGTATGCATTTCCCTTTGTTGATATTTTGTAAATACCTATTGTATATTTCAATTAATGGAGTATTTGTTAAAAAAAAAAAGATAAGTAATCATATCAGATATAGGATTGTGGAGTTGGCGATACATAATTGTTTACATCTATTTCAATGAGCATGATATTTTCTGCATTTCCTAGCAAATTCCGAGGTTCCACCATGCAAGCACAACTTTTACATTTTTGACCGGTCAACCGCATCACTAAAATTCGCTCCCAACATCAATCTTACCTTTATAGCATCGACGGTGGCCCTCAACTTCTTCCTCACCGCCACTATATTAGCCGCCCTACCCGTAGCGTCCACCTGGAACTGCACCTGGTCCCCCACCTGCAGCAACTCCCGCTTGTTCACCAAGCCCATGATCCCGAATTCGTACTCCGCCATCTTACCCCCATCAGCCATCTTACCCCCATCGGCCATCTTACCCCCATCGGAATTCTCGATCTTCGTCCGTATCATGCCCGAGTACTCGGTCTGATCGGGATTGACGGAGCGCAAGGGCCTCGCGACGGCGCCCTCTAGGATGTCGCCGCTGTAGGGCGGCAGGGCGATGGTGCCCTTCGGGATGATTTTGACGTTTTCGGCCGAAGAGCAGGAGCCGGAGTTGCCGCGCGTGCCCAGATTGTATTCGACCTCTTGGCCCAGTTCCAGATTGGCGGAGTCGCCGTCGAAATTGCTGGAATGGGATATTTGGATGTGTAAAGAATGTCTTATTATGACGGTTCACGAATGTAGTTCAAATTTAATTTTTAAACACAATTTGAAAAAATAATCACTGAATTTTTCAAAATTCCTGTAAAATTTTATTGAGAAAACGCATAACATACAACTTAGCTGAAATGGACGGTTTTTGTGATATTTGACACGAAATGAAACCGTGCATAGTCATTTTCCCTCATAGAAAATTCTTTTTTAATGATAGAAAATATCAAAAATGTTTATTTTTTCTCTCTACATGGAAATGATTATTTGGAATCAACAGAAACTAAATCTTGCATTTACCAAGTTCACATTCATTAAAAACTTGATATATAATTTTAAATCAGCACCATGTATCTCAAGATAGAAACACACCTACGATCGATGTATATAGCATGTATACCATTTAACTTGACCGTAAAAGAAGAATCAGAGAATCACAAAAACAAACAACGAGTTTTCTCAATTAGAACAATTTTCAGTTCTTGATGTCTTTGTTGGCCATATTTACTTTTGATTTTTCCAATCAACCTTTGAATGTGGAAGATGTTTCTTGAACCTAATATTAATGAATATCCTAGTTTGTCCTACATACATTTGACGCAATCATTACATTCAAAGAATTCTCGATTTTCAAGTATGTCCGAGTTTAATTTCAGTAATATAGTCAGTAGATGCAAAAAACAAGAATTTTGTGAAAATCTTATCGTCTGTGAAGCTATTTTCACCAAGTAATATCAGAAATAATAGAAACAATGGGCCTTTCCACTAGTCGCGTTATCCTGACTACATATTTATCAAGAAAATCGAACAACAAATAAATTATTCAATATTGTAAATGCTATTTCAATACATGTGAATTCAAATGCAACTAACTGTGCTGTGATTTCAGTGTCTCCTTGCAATTTTATTGGTTGGTGTTTGTGACGGCTGAGAAGCACACTGCAGTTGTAAGGTCACTATCAAATCTTTGAATTGATCTTATGTGCAAGATGGTACAAGGAATGCCATGATTCAAAATTATTATGTACTAGTTGATTAGTAGATTGGTAATTCACTGTTGATCACATTCAATTTCCTCTGAACTCCGAAATATTCCATCAGTTTCAAGATTAGCTAAAGTCGCAGAGTCATGCTTCTCTGCGAAGAACACACAGTAGGGGTAGGTTTTTGATATCCCTTTCACTTGACAGTGACACATGACACTTCAATCAGTGGTATTTATAATATTTCTTACTTCTTCGTAATTAATCGGCATGGAAGTGCCAGAAAAGACACCTCCATCAACCTCTTTTCCAAAGAGTGTCCCGGTTGCCAACAAGCCTGAAAGGTTTCACGCCTGAAGGAACTGCTCACTATACTCCTCCCACCGTTTCACGACGACACTAGGATAAAATGTGATGCAGGCATCTAACAGTGAGACACTTCAAATGGTTCGGTTCGAGTCATGATGTAATGATTTTGTTGACTAAATGTTATAATCAACAAATTAAACAGTGCTCCTCCAGGTATTCCTATATCTCAAGTACTCATTCCCAGAAAATTTAATAGCTAATGTGGCAACTATGTTTACAAGAGAAAGAGATGAAGCAACTGGCGCTAACACAATGTTGCCAAGTTGAAATACCTCATTCTCCCCATAACTTCACTGTTCTCATTTCTCAATATTATTGGCAAGGCAGTGATGCTTGTACTAGAATCAATAGAAAATAGAACCAAGTAAGCACTGAATGTCACGAATATCTACACTGTAATTCAATACGAAATGAAATGTCACCTACAATTTTGAATATTACACCAACAGAAATCAACCATCTAACTAATACAAATTATGAAATGCAATTCTTTCTACAAGCGTGTGTGATTCACCCTATACCCGCACGCAATTTTGTTTGGGAAGAAATATTGAAAAATGATAATGAATTGTTATAAAAATCCCCTCATAGCCTTTAATTGATCTGATGTGGGAAATAATTGTTGTTAGGTCAATCAAAACACAAATTAGTTAGTGTAATTCTCAGAGTGACAGAGTGTAACTGTCATTTTCGATTCAGTGGAATTGCCATGAAAAAATTCCAGCAACAGATGCGATACAGATGAGTTATTGTCAACGAAGTCTTAAGACAGGTATGAGAAGCACTACACGGGATTTATCGAATAGTGCAATATTAAAAAAGTGAAAACACCAAATAGAGAAGAAGTATTTTTGGCTCATTTCCTAGAAATGCATGAAACCTAGAGGCCAAACACTATGGGCTTCTCCAGTAAGCCTACCTACATAATGCTTCAAACGGTACACACAATAGATATATCAATCTACTCAGCATGAAATCGCCGGCCAGCACTCTGAAGATTCACAAGAACCGAGGTCCTATAGTTGTCGAGGCTCTTGTTAGCATGAACCTGGGGCAACTATATATTTGGAACTTCAAATTTTTCTTTCAACCTCATGATATGTACTTATATTTAGAGAAATAAATAGTATATTATAAAAAAAAAAAAAAAGAAGAAAGAGAATATATCACTATTGTTAGTTGTTCCTATTTGCAGGAATAATTGATTGAACATATCAATCAATTGTCAACGCTTGTAGAAGAAAGTTTGTTCTTAACTCATGCGGAAAGTCTTTCCCGCACTCGACTGCTTGCCCGAACTCCGCTTTGCGTCGTTCGGGTCAACGGCATTCGCGTGCGGGTAAGTATCACTGTCCGCACTTGTTAGAAAAATTACTATTTCAGTACCACGAATTGTAAGGTAGGTAGAGGTATTGAGTTATTTAACAGCATCATTTTGAATGAATATCCGACTAATCCTAATTTTCTTTCCGAATTGGCATCATTGTCAAGTCCAATCCAAATTGCTCGCGCACTGGCGTCACACGTTTCGCGGCCATGTCTGATCCTTTGAATTCGCTCGTTCATTTTGGCGTTTTCAATATTTTTTTATAGGATGAATTGATGAAAAAAAAAATCACAGCCATACAGGGTGTTCCTTAATGACATGCTAATATTCAAGGGGACAATTCTTGAACCCCTTTCAAGAATAAAACTTCATATGTATGCCATAAACGTTCTAACTTTTGAGATACAGGGTATCAAAGTTGAAAATAAGCATAGATTATTTTTTTGTAAACCCTGTACTGCTTTTCGGGATGAAGACATGTACCAAATTTGGTGAAGATGTCTACAATATTATCTCAGTTATTATTAAAAAACTGTTTTTTTCTCAAATGATAAGACTTTCAAGACATACATTCATAGGAAGTTTTCATCTTAAAATGAGTCAAAGTATCACCCCCTCAAAAATTCGCATGTCTTTGAGAAACACCCTGTATATTTCGAGATATGACTGGAAACGCTCATTGGAAAAATTCAAATGTATAAGTCAGAAATCTGACCAACTATCAATTCGTTGAATCAAACCAGGAAGAACGAAACAAAAGAATCAACAAACACACACACCTAAAATGGAAGAAAACCTCCTTGTCGTGCTGTATCGTTTCGATGAAACCGAAACCGTCTTTTAATGCCGCTATGAAGCCCTGGTACACCTGTCCGTTGCTGCTCCTAGAGATGCCGTGTTTGATGCCGTTCTGCGCCGGTTGCAGTATCTCCACTTCGGTAGCTATAAACTCCTTGTTTCTCTTCACTTGGCTTATGTTGAACTGGACCTGGAACGGAGTTTCACGAAATAAGACAGGAGGACTCGTAACTATACGATCGTGACTAGAGTCACTGGATGGTATTAGTTTGATAAGAGTTCGGACACAGAAATGACAACGGTTAGGGTTTTTAAATGTTTAGAATTATCAAGTTACACACCTTGCATTGTGACAAGAGCACCATAGTCGTCCCGCGCTTTTTCATTAAAAATTGTTTGAATTTGACAATACATTTTATAAACGTCAGAAATGAAATAAAATTTCATAATTATACTTTCGAGAAAAGCAGTTATGGAAATTACTTGGTGTGTAATGAATTGTGTCAATTCTGGAAAAAATGAATATCATTTATTCAATTTTCCAAAACAAATATCAACCATTCGCTTATGGAAGGAAGATATGAAACGGCCTGTCGGCCTGGGTGGAAAATCAATTTGAAGACGAGTGAAATTTGTGAGGTACTCATTAAAATTCACTTCTTAAAAATAATAATAATAATAATAATAATATAAGTTTATTCAAAAACGTTTACAAAATATACATTGGAATAAACATATAGGTAATTTGAATAAACTGGGAAAAACCTTAGGAAGTTAACCTTGTAGTAAGGATAAAAAATAAATAAATGTACATAGGTCAATAAATATTTAACAATATCAAGTTATCACATTTGAAAATTGTCTCATTAAGAAATGAGACAAGTATTCAATTCATAATATATAGTGTACTGAGCATTTCATTCAATACGCATAATTATTTATATTCATACATACTTATTCACAATTATTATTAAAATTTATCTAATGATATTATTAAATGTTAATTAAAGAAATAAAATAATTTTTAGGGGTTTAATATCCAGTTTTTTATTTTTATTGTATAGGATTGTAGTGATTTTGTTTTTATAATATCATTTGGAATTTTATTATATAGGTAAGGAATTAAAAATTTAAAATTTCTACGTCCAAATGACTTGTTTGTTTTATATTTCAATGTTATTTTTATTTCTTATGTCATAGATATGTTTTTTAAACTGAATGTCCTTTTTATTTTTGAAAATATGAATCAATAAATTGTAAATATAGAGTTGATTTATATCCATTTTCTTAGATTCATTATATAAAAGTTCAGTTGGAAACAAATAATCTTTTCCATAATAAGTTTTTAAAATCCATTTTTGTGCAATTTCCAATTTCCTCAAATATATCTGCTTCACTCCACCCCATCCTAATATTCCATAAACTAATTGAGATTGAACTAAAGCATAGTATATCATTTCTAAATTTCGAATATTCAATAAGTTTTTCAAATGTTTGAATTTAGGAATGAGGCATCTTATTTTCTTAGTGACATAATCAATATGATGATCCCATTTCAGATTATTGTCCACCATTATACCAAGGTATTTGATACAGTCAGTTTCCTGAATTTCAATTTCTCCATTTATCTTGATAGTGCCTAAATTTGGTTGAGAATTTTGATAGGAAGTAAATGTCATATATTTTGTTTTTTCATAATTAATTGTTAATAAATTCTGATCAAACCATTCTTTAATAATAGGAAAATCATTAATTACTTTGTTTTTCGATTCACACCAATCTTTGGCAGAGTAAAAGATAACAGTATCATCTGCGAAAGAATGTATAGTACCAGCTGAATTTAGTTGTAGTAAGATTAGAAAGAAACTATATTTTAGGCTCATTTTCAAACAGAAGATTTCAAAATTTGTTTGAGAGAATCTGCTGTTGCTGAGAACTACAAAACCAAGTATTTGGTAGGTCTCGTCAAAATAAACTACTTTTTTTCTATGAAATGTTTATCGAAAAATGATTTGTTCTCTGTATTTCAACACATTTATCTTGTAACATAAACTGTGATTTCACGAATTTGTATGCAGATGATACCCTATTAGCTATTAGTGGTGATTCACCAAATCACATTGTGAATAGGATGAATATAGAATTGTCAAAATTAGAAAACTATTTTAAAATAAATAAATTGAAACTTAATGTTCAAAAAACAAAAGCTATGATCATAACAAATCCGTATAAGCACAGACTCATAAATACAAATGATATTAGTTTAGTTATCGAAGGCGAAGAAATAGAAATTGTACATAACTTTAAATACTTAGGTGTTATGTTAGATGAAACTCTGTCATTTAAAGAACACTTCAACATGATAAAAAATAAGATATCAAAAAAACTATTCTTCTTTTCAAGAATAGCAGCAGTGCTACCCATCCAAACTAAAATAACAGTGTACAATACTATTATTCGACCACATTTCGATTACTGCGCTACAATATTGTATTTATTAGATAATAACTCTCGGTCATCATTACAGAAACTTCAAAACAGAGGAATGCGAATAATTTTGAAATGTAACAGGCGCACCTCCATCCGTAACATGTTGGAAACGTTACAATGGCAATCTGTAAATGAAAGACTATCAACCTTTGCATTAATTTTTATCTTCAAATTATTGAAGGGCTTATTGCCAGATTATCTAGACCAGTTCGTTATTTTCAGTGCAGAAATTCATGATTACCAAACGAGATCTCGTAATGATTTTCATCTAAACAGAATGCTTACCAGTAGGGTTATGAACTCAATGTTTTATAAAGGACTGAAAGAATATAATTCTCTTCCTCAAAGCATAAAAGAATGTGAGACTGTTAGAAACTTTAAAAAATGTATTAAGGAGTACCTGAGACAAAGAGACTTGCCATGATTATTTTTATTTTTCTATATTATTTAATCAAGAAACTGTTAGTGTTATGCTGTGTATTGTTATGTTGTTTGGAATTGTAAATATTAGGATGTATCCTATATTGAATAAATTCTATTCTATTCTACCCTGTATCTCCGAAATGAAGCATTTCCGGACACAAGCTTATATAGACTTTATTTCTTAAAATAGTCTCAGGAATACTTCACTTGAACGTACTTATGTTACTTCCTGTATATTGAGAATACCTACCTTTAATTTAATATTAATAACTTCATGTTTTATACCTATCACTGGAGTACAGTTTGACATACAATAAGGAATTATAGCTATAAGTTTATCCATATGTGTATATTTTCTGATATTAAAATATTGTTACATGCATTCTTTTCATTTGTATAAATGTTGTTCTGCTAGAAGTGGGTGTTTGTACCCTATTTCAATTGTCCATCTACGGCTATGATTGATTTGACAGAAAATATAACCTCTAAAATCGTATCTGACAATCAGGCGCTACTAGGGAAATCGAAAAGACAAAGAGCAGAATATATATCTCATTCTTTTATTCACTCAAATCATTGTATTATAGAAAATAGAAAAGGACAAAAGTTCAGCTGTGTCCGAACTCTTATCAAACTAATACCATCCAGTGACTCTAATATAAAATAGTTCGACTAGTGTGTACAACCCCATTATCTAGACCCATAACTTTGGACTGTATTAACTTCATTAATAGCTCAAGAACTAAGCGATGAAAAAACGAAAAGGCCGAGGAAAACGAACCACAACTCACCTTGTCCCCCGCCCGTGGAAACTGCTTCGCATTGCAATCCTTCGCGTAGAACGCTATCGACTTCTTCGTCCCGTCGACCGAGTACCCGATCGACCCACTTTCGCTCGCCCCCTCGCCGCCCCCCGACCCGTTCTGCCCGCCCTTCGACGGGCTCCTCGAGTTCCAGCCGCTGGGCGGCACGTCGCTGGTCACCACGCCCGTATGCCCCTCCTCTATCCTCACCTACAACAAAGGCACTGAATAGCAAAACATCTGAAGGGTATCTCTCATGCAGTAATGAATTTGCGCCTTCGAAGTGCCCAGCGGATGTTTGGTTAGATATTTGTCATTTTCATTTCATCATCTGAATAATCTGAGACTTACGAGTCCGAAAAGACGGATTCAAATAGTTAATATATATAGATATATATATATATACTATATATATAAACAAAGGAGTTCCCCAAGAATCAGTGTTGGGCCCATTTCTGTATCTTTTATACATTCAAAACATTTCAATAATAAATTTAATAGGAAACTATGCCATATATGCAGAGTTGGTGCCCTAAGATGTCCAAAACTCATCCCACATATAGCAAATACCGTTGTATGCTCTTACATTCTTAGTAAAATGAACTATCTCATAAATATTTGGGGTTCATGTTGCAAGAATAATGTCAACAAAATATCTGTACTAAGTATATTAAAAAGCATTAAAAGTACTGTATCGCCTTCCATATGACACCCCATCAAATCAACTTTATGAATAAATAAATAAATTTTCTTTGGAAGAGCACTATCTGATAAATACCCTCAAAATTTCTTTTGATATTATCAAAAACACCTCAAATCTAACTTCATATTGGTAAAGAATTCTCAAATCCATGAACATCATACTTAACAATATGACATGTTTCATCCTAATGCTGCTAATTCTACACTCACGGAGCTATCTCAAAATCCAATAAATTACCTGATGATATCAAAAGTTGCACAAATATCACCCAATTCACGGTCAAGAAACATATCCTCTTGCAAAGAGAAAATCAAACCTGAGTGAATGATTTCTCATTCACTAATTTATTTCATCATGTCATGATGTACTTTTCATGAGCTTTTTGTTTTATTATCAATTTTTTTTTTGATTCTGTTGTTTATTTCAATAACTATAATTTAATTTGATAAGATATGAATCTGTCTGATTATTCATGTTATTCCATTGTAAATGTTAATGATTATATTTATATTTATATGAGATGCAATGTAATGCTTATAGCAAAGAATGAAATAAATAAAAATTGAGAATGTATGAATTATTGAATAATTAATATTTCTGAGGCTAAAATCGTATTTCAACATATGGCAACTGTGCTATGGTCTCTCCCTACTCAAGAAATTGTGACGTCAGTTTTTACTCGCAGTGAATTTTTAGCCGTTTGAAAATTACCGTGGCATTATAGTTGATTTGAGCACCTTAAAATCGAACGAAAAATTGAAAAAAAAAAATAGAATTGGAAGATATTTGGGTGATGATTCTATTTAAGAAATAAAAAAATTAGTTCACTAGCCTATTAGTGATTGAAAGTTAGTAGCATGATAAAACGAAAAAATATCAAAAAATAAAAGTTTTAACAGAAAGTTCAGATTCGACAGACATATGTAAAATTAGAATAAAAACAATTTTTCTTTTTAAACCTTTTTGAAATTCAAATAATTAAGCCTATTTTCAGCGATCAATTTGAATTAATATCTTTTGACATGTACCGAAAGTCACGTGACCTCGAACGAGTAGTCAATTTTTCAAATTCTTCAAAGCAAAACTCAACGCCCAAGTCGAATTCCGAAAGTTTTTCCCATATGATGCAGACTCCATGAATGACACTGTATATTAAATTTTTACAACCCTCACAGTGACATGAAAATCTCAATATTAGACACTTCCCCATTCTATTTATATTTCTCACCTCAAAGCGCACTGTGCCGGCCGGCAGCCATTTCATGCGGATGGCGCTCTGCCGGTTGTTCGACGAGAATATGGTCGCCGTCGTTTGGTCCTGGACGACGGTGAACTCGAACTCGTCGCCGATTTGAAGGTCGTCGGTCCGATCGACGTCGAGTATCTCGTTGAAGTGGAAGAAGAGTCTCGGCTCGCGTTCCACGCATTTGAGGAAGCCGAAGCCCTCTTTGATGGAGGCGACCACTCCTTGTTCTCGTTTCTCACCTGAGACGCTGAAAAGATGGACCGTGAAGCGTGAGGACGAGAGTGTGACATAATGTGAGAGTGTGACAGGATGTCAGAGTAGGGCATCATGTGGGAGTCTGACATAATGTGCGTGTGACATCATGTGAGTCCGACATAATGCGTGAAGCATGAGGACGAGAGTATGACATAATGTGAGCGGCTGACATAATGTGAGTGTGGCATCATGTGAGAGTCTGACATAATGTGAGTGTGACAAAGGGTTGTTTGGTTTGACGACGTATACATGGACGCCGAAACCCTCTTTGATGGAGGCGACGACTGTTCTCGTTTCGCACCTGAGACGCTGAAATGATGATCCGTGAAGCATGAGGGCGAGTGTGTGACAAAATATGAAAGTGTAACATGATGTGAGTTTGACATGTGCATTTAAGGAAGCTGAAGCCCTCTTTGATGGAGGCGACCACTCCTAGTTCTCGTTTCTAGCCCGAGACGCTGGAAATATGAATGATGGACCGTTCAGCGTGTAGATTAGAGTGTGACAATGTGAGAGTGTGACATGATGTGAGTCTGACATGTGCTTTTAAGGAAGCCGATGCCCTCTTTGATGGAGGCGACTACTCCTTGTTCTCGTTTCTCTCCCGAGAAGCTGAAAAAGATGAATGATGAACCGTTAAGCGTGTAGATGAGAGTGTGGAATGATGTGAGTCTGATATAATGTGCATTTAAAGAAGCCATACCCCTTTCTGATGGAGGCGACCACTCCTTGTTCTCGTTTCTCGCCCGAGACGCTAGAAAGATGACTGATGGACCGTTAAGCATGTAGATGAGAGTGTGACATAATGTGAGTGTGACACAATGTGAGTGTGACATGATGTGAGAGTCTGACATAATGTGCATTTAAGGGAGCCGAAGCCCTCTTTGATGGAGGCGACCACTCCTTGTTCTCGTTTCTCGCCCGAGACGCTGGAAAGATGAATGATGAACCGTCAAGCGTGTAGATGAGTCTGACAAAATGTGACAGTGCAACATAACGTGAGTGTGAAAAAGGATTGTTTGGTATAACTCATGTAGAAAATATTACCATGAGCCTTCCCAGTTTCTTAAAAGGACCCCGCACTTTCCTTATGGAGAATGGCTTCCGGTTAAATTCCCTGAATTTTTGGTATGATGAGGATTTTGACTCCCTTAGCAAAAGTGTCAATGGGCACAAAGAAATCGACTGACTAGTTTTCGAGATACAGGGTGTCAGATGAAAAGTGGAGCTTTCTGCTCAGAATTTTTAATAACTCCGAGAATTGACAAAACGAAATTCAAATAATTTTAAACCAACCAGGGTAAGTTCTTTCATGAGAATTGAAGATCCAATTGAAGCCTGGACGAACTTCCTCAATCTCGATCGAAGTTTACTGACATTTTTTTATTGACAGGGTGGTTTGAAAATAGGGGTACGTCAATCTCTAGTGCTTGTAATCGGAAAGGGGAGAGCATGTCATATATATATCAGACATTCTTTAATGTTGAGAACGTGGCATACTCATTTCATATATATAGGGTGAGTAAAAAGATACAGTCCAAGTTTCTTGAAAAAATGCGTTTTTTTTTCAATGAATACCCTGTATTTCGAAAAAGAATCGGTTAATTTTTTTGAATTTCTGATATAATGTACGATTTGAGGAGTCAAAGATATTGTCGGCTTCGGCTATATACTTTTGAATGTACGGATTTAATTGATACCCGATATACTCCATTAGAGTCCGAAATGGGCTATTTTCCAATAATTCATGTTGAAAAATATTCCGGCTAGATAAGTGCGGTACCTATTCCAAAAATGCAATACCTTATATAGAGGGTGAATGAAATGTTTTTCATTTGAAAGCCCTGTTTCTGAAGAAACTAGAGAAAATTGAAATGTATCAGAAGCAATAACCCTCTCAAGGTTGGAACTAATTCTACAGCATTTGAAAGCTATTTCACTTTGAAGAAGAAATGATCACAAAACGTACATATTTCTTTTCGCGGACTTTTGAATTTTGGAAGGTAAAATACCTTCACCATTCATTTGTTCATTGAGTACTCAATATCTCAATTTTGTAGTAACCGCACATTTCACAAAAATCATATAAAATATTTCTCTATCTGTCGCTATTTGGAACTGCACCCAATTGCCGTGTCGCAGCGATAAGTCGCTCATGTCAAGAGGCAGACGTTCGTTTGTGAACGTGGGGGTGTAACAAGTGAGTTACGTAGTTTTTGAAAGGTATCAGATTAGTATAGATGTAGTTTTCATTAGGTATTAGATAAGTATAGAGGTCAGATAATTTATAGGACGTCATAAAGGCAGATGATATTTTATCATTGCTCATGTAAGATGGAAGTAGAGGCCATGGCACCATATCATGAGCATATTTATATATTGAAACTATCATTGGGCACCAAAGATGTGTATACGACGCTATGAAAGTTCAGAGAACTGGAGATTTTTCCCACAAACTATGTACTTAGCCCACTCGACTGTCTATGTTTTTAACTACGTACCTAGCCCACTCGACTGCCAATAGGGACTAAAAAAACAAAAACAAAAAAAAGTTAAAACAATGCCAACATATTTCTTCTTTGTGGGAAATGTCGAGTGAGCTAGGTACGTAGTTTGTGGGAAAAAATCAAGACAGTCGAGTGTGCTTTTTTTACTTCCTTTTGTTTTTTGTTTTGTTTTCTATTGGCAAGTGATTATCTAGGAACTTGTAATTTTTTTAGTTTTTTCATCGTATCTCCCGAACTATTGAATTCAGAGAAAAATGTTATACGGATTTTTTGTAGATTCTATCAAAAGGAATAATTTTAGTTCTATAACATTTTCAGATATTTTCAGTTGTTTTCGAGATATTTGGAATTATCTGAGAATGAAATTTTCAACACTTTTGTTCCATCTTCCAATCAACAAAAGGAAAAAAATATTTCATGGTTCAGTGGAAGTCGATGAGCTTCATCTATCGATAATCTTTGTTTTTCAATATATCTTCATGATAATTTGTTTTCGATATAATTATATTGAATTGAAAGGATTTCAAATTTTGATGTTTTGATTTCCATTTGTTTTTCCATTTTCCGATGGATGCACGAAAAAATGGTTGAATAATAATTTGTTGCGTCATCAAAGAGGCATACGGTGCATTTTTGAAATTTGCATTTAGTCTATTGGTTCAGAAGATATGTCGTTTTAAATCGAACCGTGTTTTTCGGAAAATCTCCTTGAAAAACCCACTTGGAATTTCCCGACCCTGCTCAATTTCAATAGGCTCCATCTCTTCCTGATAGAGTTATTTTTCACAAAAAATGAAATCGATCGGACCACTTTTGTGATTTGTAGAGTGGTTACAAGAAACTTCCGGTGAAAAATCGAAAAAACCCGGAAAAACCACCTTACGAGTTTTCCGATTTCCTTCATATTTTAATGACTTGATATTGTTTTGAGTACAATAAGATGGCGAAATTTCAAGTCGATATGTCAAAGGGTTCCGGAGATATATCGATTTATGATTACCACAGAGTACAGACAGACAGACCACACACAAAAACCAAAGTTGCTCAAAATTCGATGGGGATCATTTTCTCCAAAGTAACTATACCTCTATCTCGCTTAGTTTCCGAGATAGCATTTGTGGCAAGGCCGTAGTATACTCCACTATATAGGTATAGCGTCGTATAACAAGTGAGGTACATAGTTTTTGAAAGATGTAGTTTTCATTAGGTATTAGATTTAAGTATAGAGGTCAGATAATTTATACGACGCTATAAAAGCAGATGATATTTCATCATTGCTCATGTAAGATGGAAGTTGAGGCCATGGCACCATATCATGAGCATATTTTCATATTGAAACTATCATTGGGCACCAAAGATGTGTATACGACGCTATGAGAGTTCAGAGAACTGGAGATTTTTCGTACAAACTACGTACTTAGCCCACTCGACTGTCTTGGTTTTTCCACACAAACTACGTACCTAGCCCACTCGACTGCCAATAGGGACTGAAAAAACAAAAACGAAAGAAAGTTAAAACTTTGCCAACATATTTCTTCTTTGTGGAAAATCAAGACAGTCGAGTGAGCTAGGTACGTAGTTTATGGGCAAAAAATTTAGACAGTCGAGTGAGCTAGGTAAGTAGTTTATGGGAAGAAAATCAAGACAGTCGAGTGTGCTTTTTTTACTTCCTCTTGTTTTCTGTTTCGTTTTCTATTAGCAAGTGATTATCAAGGAACTTGTAAATTTTTTAGTTTTTTCATCGTATCTCCCGAACTATCGAATTCAGAGAAAAATGTTTTGGAGATTTTTTGTAGATTATATCAAAAGGAATAATTTTGGTTTCATAACATCTTCAGATATTCTTAGTTGTTTTCGAGATATTTGGAATTATCTGAGAATAAAATTTTCAACACTTTTGTTCCATCTTCCAATCAACAAAATGAAAAAAAAATTTCATGGTTCAGTGGAAGTCGATGAGCTTTATCTATCGATAATCTATGTTTTCCAATATATCTTCATAGTACCCAATGAGTCGTTAACATTTTTTTTTTCATATTTTTCACTTTATTTCCTGTACTATTGGGTTTACAGAAAAAATTATGGGAAATAATTTGTAGAAAAAGTTTCATTGGATAACTTTGCACTCGTGATAATTTTCGATTTATCCATTTGTTTTCGATATATATTGAATTGAAAGGATTTCAAATTTTGATGTTTTGATTTTCATTTGTTTTTCCAGTTTCCGATGGATGCACGGAAAAATGATTGAATGATAATTTGTTGCGTCATCAAAGAGGCATACGGTGCATTTCTCAAATTTGGATTTAGTCTATTTGTTCACGAGATATGTCGTTTTAAAGCGAACCGTGTTTTTCGGAAAATCTCCTTGAAAAACCCACTTGGAATTTTCCGACCCTGCTCAATTTCAATAGGCTTCGTCTCTTCCTGATAGAGGTTTTTTTCACAAAAAATGAAATCGATCGGACCACTTTTGCGATTTGTAGAGTGGTTACAAGGAACTTCCGGTGAAAAATCGAAAAAACCCGGAAAAACCACCTTAGAGTTTTCCGATTTCCTTCATATTTTAATGACATAATATTGTTTTGAGTACAATAAGATGGCAAAATTTCAAGTCGATATGTCAAAGGGTTCCGGAGATATATCGATTTATGATTAACACAGAGTACAGACAGACAGACAGACAGACCACACACAAAAACCAAAGTTGCTCAAAATTCGATGGGGATCATTTTCTCCAAAGCAACTATACCTCTATCTCGCTTAGTTTCCGAGATAGCATTTGTGGCAAGGCCGTAGTATACTCCACTATATAGGTATAGCGTCGTATAACAAGCGGTTATTTTAGGAGAGTGTGACATCAGTTTCTGTCGGAGGATGATAGTGTGACACACGTGGGTAAGGGCGACAAACTAGGGCGTGCATATATGTTTTTCCATACTCACGTAAAACTCTCGTCCAGCAGCTGGATGTGCGTCGCCCTGTCCAGCGCGTCTCGCCGATCCGTCGCTATCTGGAACTGCACCCAGTCGCCGTGGCGCAGCGTGAAGTCGCCCATCTGGTCCTTCTCGCTGAACGAGATCTCCACCTCGGAGTGGTCGGGCGCCCGGTAGCGCACGCGTCCGGGCAAGGCGTCGTTCGGATTGCGGGGGCCGCGGTCGATCGGCTTGAGCACCTGGCCCTTGACGATGTCCGGCTTGAGGTCCTCGAAGATGACGGTGCCAGGCGACAGGCGCGTTATGTTGCACGCCACCTCTTTGCCCTGCCGGGATGATGAAGAGAGACAGGTGAGTTTTTTTTACTCATTCAGATAGTCCTCGCGAGAGTTGATGGCTTGAAGCAAATACATTTCAACACGAGAGACCTCATTATTTACGTTTTTGCCTGATCAGTCAACGTTCGATCATCCTTTTCCATCTCTCTTCCTTCGATAGGCGAGTGGACTATTTTTTCATCTCTTAAATAGAATCATTACTGAATGGGCCAGTTTCAGTGTAAAAAAAATTATTTCAAAGTTGAGCCTCAGCTGGTCGGGTTTGTCAGTCACTCATTGTGATTCTTGTAACGTTGGTTACGGGCCATGCATTACAGAGGAGAAATGGTCTGATGTTTTTGCAAGAACATGTTTCAATTGTGTTTTCTCACGCACATTCTTGAGTACTGAGAGCGAGGAAGATATGGACGCATCCAGAATGAATTGTTTTTCCGAGAACAAGTTGATTTTCATTCAATTCTCCTCCCAACCGAGATTCGGAGGGCGTTCCAGATTTGGGTCACTTTCAAGAAAACTCTAGATCTTTGATAGCCATCTTGAGTCAATTCTGATATTCAGATCTCTTCATCTGAAGTTTTATCTTCAAAATGAGCCTAAGATTTCCAAAATCGGTTGACGTGGAAAAAAGTTATGACTGCAAAACCAAAAAGTTGATTTTTTGAGATCACTCTGTAAATAAGAGAGATAAGAAGTTGATTCGCGAAATATCTCGAGGTAATGAGATCATCTCCATGCCTCTGTTGTCGAAGTTGAGAAAACAATTTTTTTCACCATTTGAGAGCCTTTTGAATATTCCGAAATTTTGCACAGTGTCGGAAAACACCATGTAGAGATTTTATGTGAATACCCTTATTTTTCAATGAAGTACCAGATTATAGCTGGAGGACTGGGCTATCGAACAGTGTGAACCAAATTCAAATTGTTCCAAACTGAAAAAAGTTATCCACATTATAACAGAGGCGACATTTTGGTGTGCGACGAAACTAGTGTTGAGTAGTTTATATGGAAATATTGGAAATGTTATAAAAAAAACACAGAATGCTTACATATGAACACAAATAAAGAGTAATTCTTTGAAAAAACGCACTGCAGCACTCACGTAACACAACTGACAAGACGTTCTTGCTTCCTTAATCAAAAATTACAAATAAAACTACCATATTTATTATTTAGATCGACCAGGGAATTCCTTTATGGGCTCGGGACTTCCCAGGCGCCAGCCGTGAAAATCCGATGTTGCCGATAAGTACAAGATTCTCCCTATTAGTAATATGTTTGCCCAACGACCGAACGAAAATACCCGAACTGCACCAGCGCTCGAACGTGAAACTAAAAATATAGTTTCGAAGTTATATCGAAGAGTGAATTTTTATAAAAATCTGTTTTTTACGTTATTATTAGATACAGAAAAACTGAAAATACCTTTTTATAGCAACTTGTGGAACCATCAACTTCACCACTGAATTTTTTTTCTTTGGGGATACGTTAAAAACTTCATTTACGCAAATAATTTTGATAAAGAAGAATAGAATGAAAAAAACTTTGAGAATCTGTGAGCACATAATCAGAGGCGTATTTAAAAAATATATATACAGGGTTGGGCAAAAGTATGGAACCAGGTGAATATCTCGGTAACCGTTTGTTAGATTTTTTTGGATATATGTACAGGGTGATTTCAAACCGTGGTGGATTTTAAAATGTTAACGTCGATGTTGCCACTTTTTCAATTATTCCGGAGTTATTATCAACTTCCTTATTTTAAATAAAACACCCTGTATTTGATTGGATTTTCAGATTATCCCTGAAAAGCTGATTTCATCGATCCATCACGCTTGGGGTCTAGCAAGAATAATTACTGAGATATAGGGTGTTCAAAATCGAGATTTTTCAACTTTAGGATTTTTTTGTGTCGAAACTATTCATTATCGGTCGATGCGCTATACCAGGTGGTTCAAAAATTAGTAGGAGGGGAACGGACTTCAGACGGGCACTGTATATGCCTAGCAAGCAAACAATATTATTCCGAGGATGGTTATTCCACTTACATTTCTCGTCTGAATAATATATTCCACGTCATCCCCTAATCTCAGTTCCTCTTTGGTTTTGGCTTCAGAAAAGTGGAAGAATATCTCCTTGACGACATCGGCTCGCTCGATGAACCCGAAGCTCTCCTTCATCGAACAGACGACACCTTGGTACTTCACCGGATGGGCTGGGTTCTCCAGACGTACGTGGCATGCACCGAGGTTGCCACTTCATAATAATAATAATATCAATAATAATGCGGAAAAAGCTATAGCAATGGTGGAAACTAATCATGATTTTGACTTGTTAACTCTGAATGACAATAGAAAGGGTCCATCTGAATATATCACTTAATTTCGAAATCAAATATTATAAAAAATTCGCAGGAATCAATGTTACCAGATGGCGCTCGGTTTTCATCGTTCCATGTCAAAGCCATGTCAAAACTGGGGGGAAACAAACCGTTACCACCGATACAACAAGGCCTGCATGCTCCGTGGGTGACGTCACTTAGTCAGGCCTAACCAGCGGCTCGAAACGACAAGCGCTTATAGCGCTATAAGGCGACCGCGTATTTCGATTTTAGTTTTAGATCATCATTGAGCCGATTTTGCTGTTTATTGAAGGGCTTCCTGTTCCGGTTAAAAAAGGATGCCAGTCGTCAACTGAGCCCTTCTTCGCACCCCATTCGATTTTATCATGGAAAAACGAAGTTTAAAAGCAAAAACCAGGATAAAACACAAATATCCACCTACAGCAACCCATTCGAATTAAATATATTGGCAAAAATTATGGTGAAGGTAAACTTCACACCTACTTATACAGGGCCCGCAGAACATAAACTTATCGTGAGATTGATCGAAAAAAAATTGTGGAAAATGTATTTCATTTTGATTGACATGCCGTTTGTTACAATTACCTATATTTATCTTGGAGAATTCCTATCACCTGAAAAAATAACCAGTGAGTGTTTTCAATTTTCTGTTGTTGGATTTTACACCCACGTGGATCGTTACACTTGAAACCGTAATTTTTAAGGGTAAAACTGCATTTATCATGCGATGGTTTTTTTTTGTGAAAATTTTTTTCGGTACTCACGTATTTTTGTCTGATAAACCGAATTTTATAATGAAAATGTGAACGAACCACTATTTATTGAGATATTTCAAGAAAAAGTTCGAAATTTCGCCTTCTTTCTCCCCTTGTGTTGGGGGCATTTGAAGCTACTTGCTCTTATTTTGTCATTGGACACTTTATATACTCATGATGTACTTCGATGGCACATTTTTATATAGAAAATTCAACAGGAAATATGATTTTTATGGCGAGTTTTTCATATTTAGTGAACAAGCATTCCAGATGACGACCATTTAATCAATAGTCAATCAAAATACGAGATGTCAAATTTCAATAGATTGCTTTCGAATGACATTACACACGCCATTATTTTGAATGATATTCTTCCTTCTTTTCACTAAATATGGATTAATCTCAAGAAAATCATATTTATAGTTGAATTATATATAAATTGACCAATATGATGAAAAAAGAAGGTGAAATTTGGAACTTTTCAGTCAAATATCTTCATGATAAATATCATGATAAATGCAGTTTTACCATTTTTGAGTAGAGTGTTTATAGTTCATGTTAATATGATAGTTGCAATTTGATCATTGGAATGAATTCTGCATTCATTGCCACGAGGCAAATGCCCGTTTTCAGAAAGAAATTTGAGAATGAGAATTAAATATGCCCGTTTATTATGAACATTCAAGAAAATTTCCTCGAATTCAGAGATGATTTTGTTGACTATAATATACGAATACAACTGCACAATCAAAGCTTTTCTATTTTTCCTCTACTTATACTTTTTATGAGAGAGTAATTGTCTTCTATTATTAATTCATCATTATAAATTAAGCTCTGTTTACTACTGAACTTAGATACTTAGATGGAGTAAAATCCTCGCGGTGAATTGCATATACTTACCCACATTTTCGATAGCTCCTCGTCTAACGGGAAACTAAAAGCATGAACTTTTGAACCACCCACATAATTCCCCCGACAAAAGGGAACACAACACTTGAAAGGCATTGTTATTTCGCCGATCACAACACAAAATATTTCACAAAACAGTAATTTTTCCGCCAATTATTTTGATGAATAAACAACAAAAGAATTCGGGACCGTTTCAAAAACATACGTGAATCACCGAATTAACACGAACTGACGCGTTAGTCGACAAGCGAGAAAATAAAACACTCACTTGGAGACGTCACGAGCTGTTTACGTCAGAGTCTGCTGGCCTTGTTGTATCGGTGGTAACGAACAAACCCAATCCTCACTCAATCCCATTAGTGCCATTAGCTTGTGTACTGTGTACTGATAAGAGTGATGTTTTTAAATTTCTTGACATTAATTGTCAATATTCGATCGAAAACGGTAATAATGCCTGTTGGATATGTTCTTTTGGCAGATATTTTGCTCTATTTAGATGGATAAAGCCGACCAGTAGTGAAAGGAGGAGCAGTTCTCCGTGCTAATCATGTGATTTTGTGTGAGGCAGAAGACTTCAACAAAAGGCACATTTTTGCACTTTGTCTAAAAACTTCACCGATGAAATCTTCTCCACATGAAGTAAAATTGAAGTTATGGTCCAGAGGAACTCCTGTAGAACAATGGATTTGTATTTGTTCATGCAAAGCAGCACAATCTGGGTATATTGTAATCATGTTGTAGCTGTTCTTGTATATGTCAATTGATTTGCTCGTCATAATTAGTTTGAATTGTTTGAACTATCTCCAATTCTTCACCCGTTCACTGTTCACTAAACTAATAAAAATGTGATAATGTGAAAAAATTAACCAACTCAACCATCATCACTACCAACAGTGCCAACACTTTATGTCATTGACAAGTTTGACTACAGCTACAGCAAGCTGAACGAAATGTAGTCTATGCACTTTATCCATAGACATCAGTTTGTTTTCCCCCAGTTTGAAGTTCGTATTATGTAACCTAGATGTCGTGAATCTCGCGAATACTAGTCCCGATTCTGGAACGGTTTGTTCCATGTTGTCTAATAATCTTTCAAGAATGAGATGGTCTACCTACTCTGTCCATGAAGTTTGTGTTTTCAGATATACAGGGAGAAACATCGACCCATTACAAAAATTAATATTTTCAAAGTTATCCCAACCATATGGAAAAATTTTCGGATTTCTTTCTAGAAGATATTATGAATGCTTGATGTGTTTTGCCGAAACGGTTTGGAGATTTTTCCGCTAGCATACTTCATTAGCATGCAACATCTTTTTTAAGGAAAATTTACGTTTTTTGAAATGTCTTCAATTGCAGCTGATCTGTTCATGAAATAACCGAGTTTGTTCATGATATCGGTACAGGGAGGGATTCATCACTTGAATTTCTTTGATATTGAGCGAATACCGATCTACAGGGTAATTCGAGATTCCAAAAAACTTGAAATTCAGTTATGCATATTGTGATTTCAACTTTGAATGCTCTATATATTGATGTAGAATGATTTATATCATTCCTGTCATCATTTTTGATCTACTGATGACATGTTAACAGAATATTTTGTCCAATATTGAAATCATATCGTTTAATTTCTTTCTGAATGTCAAATCAGTGATCTAGTGTTGTAACCTCAATCCTCATGTATCGAAATTTTCTTCATGAGCTATTATGCATTGATTTAAGTGTTCGCCACACCATTAATTGTTGTCTGTAATATACAAGGTATATTGAGAATTATTGCTTTCGCATGATACGGGAAAACATTCTGTTGAAATGCCATCAGGAGATCAAGAATGATAACAGGAATACGGAGCATTCAAAGTTCAAATCATAATATGCATGACTGAATTTCACGTTTCTTTGGTATCTCGAATTACCCTGTAGATCGATATTCGCTCAATTCAAGGAGATTAAAGTGATGAATTCCTCCCTGAATCGATTTCATGAAAAAACTATATTATTCCATAAACAGATCAGCTGAAATTAACCCTCCAGTGGTGACGTGGTTTTACTTAACATGGGGTGGTGACGTCGGTCTGAGAGACATTCAATTTTTTTTGGTGTTAGAATATATATAGACAATCAAAATAGAGTCAGTTTATATGACTCTACTCGAAGGAAACATAATTGGAAATCAGATTATATTATTAAAAAATACAATTCGATTCAAGATCCTCTTCATTGGTCATACATGATTTCATGGGATATTGATTGATTGATTGATTGATTGTCTTTATTACCCCAAGAAACATTTCTGTTTATGATAGGGATACATAAATACATATAAACAAAATAATAATAAAGGGTTAACTATAATGAATTCCACTCAGTGGAAACGAATTAATATTGTGTCTTATAAGATTAAAGTTATATTTCATTCCTAAGTAATCAAATCATGCCACATATTTTTCTTTCAAATTGTCCTGAGCAAGTATTTTTTAAGATTGATTTTAAACCTTCTTGCATCATGTATATTTTTCAACTCATTCGGTAATGAATTGTATAAAATTATTCCATATAGAAGTCTTTGTTGTTCTGCTCCTAATATGGATGATTTCTATTAGAAATAATATTGAGAATATAAGAAAAAAAAAAGAAAATCAGAAATCAAGAGAAAGAAAAGTGAAACGCTCACCGATTGTTGGTGGCGATCTGGAAACTGACTTTATCGCCGGAACTGAGCGTGACGTTGCCTTCGACGTCGTCTTTGGTGTAGGGCAGAAAGAAGCATTCGCCGCGATTCTCGTAGCTTATTCGGCCCGTCGTGTCGCCGGCAGAGCCCTCGGAAGATCTCACCTCGGTGGTCACCGTGCCTGTGACGCGTTCTTCGCTCATAACCTACAAAATTGCAAAAAAAACACTGTAGGGCAGAGATCACCAATTAGTTTGGTCCGTATGTAACAAATATAAATTTGTCGCGGTCCGTTTGGTAGATGATAACGAACAACCAAGATCTGAATTATCAATGAATGAATAAAACCAAAAGGGAGCAGAACATTTAATCATTAAGTAAACATCTAATTGAAAAAACGTAGAAAGTACATAATAATAATGCAAGAAATTACATTTTTTACTCTGAATGTGTCTGAAGTCTGGTGTTGAGTTGGTGCAAGCTATTGCCATCCTGGAGATGGTCATCGGTAAGACGATGTAAAACGCTACTTCACAAATATATGTTGATACAAACTTTATACAAATTTTCAAAGCCACATTTTTCAGTTCTGGGTATTTATTACCACACACAAATTTTATCCAAAATTCTTCGCAAACAACTTCCGAATTTTTGTGTTTTGAAACTGTATTTTCTTGGAAGTCGATCAGTTCCATCTGAGAACTGCTTTATTACTTCCGAAAACATTCACCGCTTCATTGCGTCATTCAAGATCGGGCTGTAGAGAGTAAATGTTACTGAGAATTACCACAACCTTCTCAATTTTCTCAAAGTCTGCGAATCTGTTTTCGAATTCCGATTTGAAATTATTAATGAAAGTCTTGTATTGGCCGACCTCAATTCTTTCTTTGCCACTGTTCACTATTTTCAGATTAGGAAAATGCAATAATTCATTATCAAGATCGTTTTTCAAAAAATCAAGTTTTCTAGAAAAACTTTCCACTTGTAAGTTCACATACGAGCTTACCTTTCCCTTGAAGTTTAAGGTTCAGGTCATTGATATGTTTGAAAATGTCCGATGAGAAAGCAATGGTAGCCAAATTTTCTTCATCGCTAAGAAATCTTAAATAGGCGTTTGCTGAAGCCTGATCATTTTGGGAAAAAAATGTCTTCAAATCTTCTAAAATGGCGAAGAATCTTTGTAAGACGCAGCCTTTGCTTAACCACCTTACATTGTTATGCAGCAGTAAATCGTCATATTGTGCATTAACTTCGTCCAGAAAAGATTTCAATTGACGATGTTTCAGTGATGATTTGGCACGCAGGAATTTTACAATTTTGATCACTTCTTGCATCGTATTTGGGTCCGCACAAAATAGGTCGGCGGTCTGGATCCGGACCGCGGTCCGCCATTTCGTGACCCCTGCTGTAGGGCGATATTCGAACAGTTTGGGAATCGAAAAACTGTACAGATACGGAATAAGAGGAATCGCTCTCGCATGGATATCCAGTTATCTATCAAATCGCTCACAATTTGTCTCTTTGAAGAATTCTCGGTCTAAAGCCAAGAACGTAACCCTGGGAGTGCCGCAGGGGTCCATCCTCACTCCGATACTTTTTAACCTCTATACGAATGATATAAATCAATTGAATGTTCCAGCATTCCTCACCTGTTATGCTGACGATACCTCGATAATGATTTCTGATAGGACGGACAAAGAACTATTAGGCAAAATTGACAACACTTTCTCTATTCTACAGGAATGGTTTGCAAACAATGATTTGTTTCTAAATAGCAGCAAGACTTCATCAGTTAGATTCCATACGAGACAAAAACAATGTAATGATCTGAGCTTTATGGTGGGTGAGTCAACCCTAAACACGAATCAGGAGGTTTTTAAATTCTTAGGCGTATTTCTTGATGAATGTCTCACCTGAACACATTGTAAAAAAAAATTGATGTTATAAATTTTCAATTCAGGACTCTGAGTAATCAAATATCTGATGTCACTTCTGTCAGTCTAATTCTGTGATTTGATTTCAAAAAATTGCGAATTTAGTGGTTGTTCAGTAATATACGTGACCGCGAAGTCGAATGGAAGATAAAAGGACTTGCAGTTCTTTCTCGGAGACGGTATTATTGACTCATTTCTCGGAACTATAGCACAACAAAAGCCATCAACACTGTAACTATGTGATATATATCCGGGAAAAAAGTACTCACTTTTTTCCCACGGGAAAAAAGTAATTTATGGAAATTGACATTTTATAACCTGGCAACAGAGATGAAATGCCAAACTTTTATCCCGTCACAGAAAAAAATTTGTTTGAATTTGACAATACATTTTATGAACGTCAGAATCAAAATAACGATTGAGAAAAAAACATAAATGAGAATATCTTGCTGTGTAATGAATTGTGGTGATTCTGAAGAGAATGGATCTCATTTATTCGATTTTCCAAAGGAAATATCAACCATTTTTTTATGGAAGTAATGCATGAAACGGAATGGATGGAAAATTAATTTGAAGACAAGCAAAATTTGTGAGGTGAGGAAAACGAAACCGGAGGAAATCAAGTAAATTGCAACGTGATATATCATTGACGATTACTTCATATAGATCCATAATTATCTTTTCTTCTCCTTCTTCTTCGAACTACTACTGGGCGCTCAGTGAGGACATGCGATGACGTTTCGTCATCTTCCATGCACCATCTGCAAAGGGGATCAACTTTGACCCCAATAAGCTCTAGGTGCCTATTGAGGTGGTTGTGCCCCGTTAGGAGCCCCACTACAATTTCAAGGTCTCGCCTGTTGAGGGATAAAACCTCTTTTGTGAGCCTCTTCGCAGGTTCCTTTATGTGGAGCTTCGATTGTCTCATTCCTGGTGTGTCCTGCCATATTTTGACGAATTGCTTTTGCAGCTGTACCTCTATGGAGGACATTGCCAGACTGTTTGGAATCCCCAAGATCGGACCCTATTGGATTGCAAAGCCAGTATTGCAGCTTTGCTGTTCGAGCATATAGTGATTGGTCTACGACCTCTCATAATCAGTTTTTCTTGGACACAGGTAAGTATTGCGAGTACTTCACCCTGGAACACTGAGGCATACTCGCCCAAAGGAACCGAGATTTCTTTACTTGTTCCTTCATTGTCTACCCCTGCACCTGAACTGCCCCCAAATTTAGAGCCATCCGTGTACCAAATTGACTTATTGGGAGGAGGCACGCCATATGTTGTGTCATTCCATTATTCCCTCGTAGGGATGACAATGTTTGGGGCTTTGTTGAAGTTCAGAATCGGCAAGGTACTGTCCCTTCTCATCATGCGGATGGGACAGTTTTCCATGTGAGGGAGTGTCCGTGATCTGCTTCTGTTCCGACCCACTGGTTTGCACCGTTAAGTCGGTAAGCAGTTCTCATGGTTGGTGTTGTATGAACAGGTGTAGAGACGGCAGATCTAACAGAGCTTCAAGAACCCTGGTAGGCGTCGTGCTCAGAGCACCTGTTATTCCCAGACAGGCCAGTCTCTGGACTTTATCCAGTTCTCTTATGCCATAATTATCTCTTTAAGAAATATAATCATTTTGTCTTATCGATTCTATAACCTAAAATTATAACACCAGCCCTTCCGTGAAATACCTAGTGAGCTAGTTTGTGTGGTTGGTTAACTATTACGTCATAGTCTGGAATACACTTTGAAGAAAATGGACTGGTTAACTTATTGTTGACCCGGTTTGTTTGGTTAACTTCCACGAAAAATGACTAATAAATTCATCCGAGAGTATTACAATTTTGAATGACAATTGATAATTAAAGTAATAAACGGACTTCGTTTATAATGTTTTTCAATTGAGTATGTGTTTGGCAATAAAATGTTTGTCTTGAGATGTTGATAAAATGAGAATATTTGAACATGTCAAGAGATAACAAATATATACTATATATGAGAAAGCTTTTTACATTTCATCAAGTGAACAGCAGTGACTAACATACTCTATTTGAGATATTTCTCTCTGGAAATTTTTGTATCTCTAATGTCAAGATCTTATGCTGATTCTAAATATCAACGTAAATTTTGCAAAATGATTAGTTTGTTTTCCAGTGAAGAATACCATAACAAGAATCAAATAAGCATTTAGTAGAACAAATTTTTTTCTCTGGGAAATTGAAAAGAAAAACTAAATACATACGATTCCATGTCATTTAATTTTCTGTAATTACTTACTACCTCTGGGGCAATTTTGGTAACTGCGCTGGCTATAGGTTTGCCGGTGCGTCTGTCATAAGTCATTTCGAATTCTACGGGGTCTCCAATCTTCAGATGCTCGATGTTGCCACTGAACTGACTGAAGTGAAAGAACAGGCGAGCTTGCCGCTCACAACACTGAATGAATCCATAAGAATGCTGAAATGAAAATTTAGTTTCTTCATTCGTTTGGGCCATGGGCACTTTGCCCTCCATTAATTGTTAAAAATGTCAATTCATATTGAATAATATTATTGTTGCCCCTTTTTTTCATTTCCACGTGAGTACATAACCTAAGATATAATTTTGTGTAACTATAAAAAACTTTTCTTTGTAGAAATTGTCTTAAAATGCTTCTTCTGATGATGGACTATTGATAGTCCCAAACATGTTCAGATACTGATAATTCTGATAATAAATTTGTGGAGATGACTGAGTGTGTCTTGCATGAATTTATTCACTTCACTTTGAGATACCATGGACTTCTACCATTGATTAGAGATTTATTAATATGATGGTTGTAAATAAAATAGTATACAAACCTCGGTAGGAAATTTCATTCCTGTCGCGAGATCATAGCTAACCTCGACGATATGCGTCTCGGTTAACTTACTAATCTCATGACAGGAATGAATCTCTTCCCACCTCGGTGTTTAATGTACTATTGGCCAAGTATAGAAGTAGCAGAATCAAGATGAAATATTTCAATTGTCTCGTGTGATCACTCTGAATTTCTGAGTTTCTGATTGGATTTAAAATTTTTGTTCATGATATTATATGAAACTTTTAGAGTATCTATTTCATACAATTCATCCAATGTAAATTTTTCTGTTATCGCATATTGTTGGGATATCAAATGAGAGGCAATTCAATACTTTCAGAAATTTCTTATAAAGTACAGATATGAAATAATTTTTTAAACAAGATCCCCAATTGTATATCATATACATCTTTGGTTAATAAACCTTCAGTAAGGTTTTTTCAGAGTATGAAGTATTTCAATAACTCCATTTTTATTGAATAAATAGAAAAGGCGCAAAGTCATTTTCACACAATGTTCATAAAATGAACAACAATGGTAAATTTCGGGAGAAAAACAACTACTTTCCCGAAGACTTGTATGAATGAATACTGATACAAGTGATTCTTTCCTGAATGCCTATTGATTTTGATTTAGCCAGACCACGCTAGACACCTACAGACCGGTTTCGAGCTCTTTGATTCTCATCAGTGCAGGGCAGTCTCCAGCCAGCAGCCCCAAGACCGCCCACTAAGCGTAGCGTAGCCAAAAAAAAACAAGTCGGCATAATATTCCCTCAGAGGCGTCCTATAGACAGTATGAAAGCAACGCCATCTGAGTAGAAAAGAAGTAAAGAAACACTCCAAAACCAAAATTCTTGAAGCACCAATAATGGGAGATACTTTTCCTATGAGGATGTCAATATGCTTTTCCCATGTTAATTTCTCATCAATCCAAATACCAAGGTATTTGGTATGGGTAGTTTGTTTCAAACGTTCATATTTTATTCTAATATAAAGATCAATATTTTGTTTATTTCTTTGTCGAAAAATTATATATTGGGTCTTATTAGAATCAAGAGAAAGAAGATTGGAATAAAGCCATTTCTTAATTTTTTTCAAGTCATCATTTATGATATTTTCTAGAACTACTGGGTTTTTATTCTCATATAGAAGCACTGTATCGTCTGCATATATGGTATAGTTTCCTATCGAAATTCATTCTTTCGATATTTTGAATGTATAATAGATAAAGAATTGGACCCAACACTGATCCTTGAGGAACCCCTTTGTTTAAATATAGTATCTTAGACTCACAGTTATTAATTTTAGTTCTAATAGTTCTATTTTCAAGATATGATCTCAAGAGATCGTGTCCAATTCCTCTGATTCCCATTGAAGCAAAGTATATTGTGGTCAACTGTATCAGAAGCCTTTTTCAGATCCATGAAAATTGCTACTACATAATTTCCTTTGTCAAGTCTGCCCTGAATGAAATCGATTACTTGTAGCACTGCTGATTGTGTACCACTGTTTTCTTGAAAATAATAAGTCCGGAAATCTCCAAACTCACCAATAGCTTCTCGATAATGCCAGTCTCTCTGGTGCCCAGATTCGACGAGTTCGACGAATCGTTGTTGTAGCTGCTGTTGCTGTTGTTGCCGTTGGAGAAAACGCCCCCCGCGTTGTTGGAGGAGCCGTCGCCGCTACTGTTGAACACGTTGTTCGTGTCGAGGGAGAAGGTGCCGATGGGGAATCTCGGCGTGGTGTCGGTGGCGCTCGAGGAGCCGTAGAGGCTGTTGTTGTACTGTTGGGGCTTCTCTTGCAGCATGGGAAAGTCGCCGAAACGAGAGGTCGAAGTCGATCGATTGAAGTTGTATGCCTGAGACGGTTTGCCTAAGACGGAATCGATCTACAGTTCTCAACACACTAAATGGACCACTCATAATTTGACTCTATTTCGAAGACCTGTATTTTTTGAAAAAAATGACCAATCTTCCTGCGTTTTTCGATACCAGATGTGATATTTCATCGGCTTCAAAGAGAGCTAGAACACTCTGGAAGAGTCCGCAGAACAAAACCTACACAGGGTGTTTTGTGGAACCATTACACTATGGTCTACATTTCCAATGCAGCCAGAACTCGTGAATTTTTTTCTGATCAAAAGACAGTCATATTATGATACACTGGGACCTAATCTCCAGAGCTGGGCAGTACTCGAGTACAAGTACTCAAATATTGTACTCTGAGTACATTTTGTGTACTCAGTACCCAGTAGCCGAGTACATTTTCAATAAAGTAGTAAAGTACCCGGTACTCGTACCCGTAGCATTTCGGGAAAAGTACCCGGTACCCGCGTTTATTAAAGGAGTACATTTTCCGGGTACTTTTTGCAAGAATGAACTTGTCTCTGCATATGCGAGTGCAACACGGGAAACCGCTGTTATATGTTATATCATCATTATCAGTCAGCACTTCAATCAGAACCAAACGCGGAGTTTTTGTTTTGTACACTGTGTAACAGTTATAGAGTCATGTGTTTTTTGTATCGTTTCTGTTGTTTTCTTAAGACTAAACCACACTAAGCTAAGAGGTAAGGGTATAGTATTGCAAGTTAAGTTGTTTTGTTTAGTAAATATGGATACTAATACTGATGCAAAATTTCTCAATTCTCTATTCAAACTTACTTGAAATGAGTACTCGTGAAATTCGGGTACTTGTACTCGGAGTACTTTACTCTGAGTACATCCAATGAGTGGGGTACTCGGTACTCTGTACTCGTTCTTCAATTATAAGCAGTACCCGGTACCCGGTACTCGAGTACAATTTATCAGTACCCGGCCCAGCTCTGCTCATCTCGGGACGTTTTCGTGATTTCTCCTTAATTGGCCATGGTATCAAAAATTCGATTTTTTTCCGAAAGTCTTGCATTTCATGAATTTTTTCTCTAGAACTCCACTTGAGCTGACTATTGGGAAGAACTGTTCTCATGTTTTGTGGAGGACAAAGAAGGGCAATAAAAGCACTATTGTGGAAGATATACAGGATGTTAAGAAATTAGGGGAAAATCTCATTTCAGTAAAAAAAATCAAAAATGGTGACTAAAACCATGGCCCATTCGATTCAGTATATTTAGAAACGGCCTTCTCGATGTCCATTATTCATATTAGACTATTAACTCGAGACATTTTCGAAAATTCGCCTCTAATTGAAATACAGGAAGAAAATTCAAACTTGTTTCCTGATATCGATGATTCTTGTCAACTTATTTCCAATATTTATTGCCCAAGTATGACACACAAGAGTATCGTTGTTCAATATACCGAGTGTTTCACAACTTAACTGACAAATTACGAACTCTAGAAAACAATAATGATAGAAGAATGTATTTTTTCATGAAATTTGTAATACCCTGTGGAGTGTAACAGTCACGTTATAAGTTGAAATTGAAAGTGCACCTCAGCCCAAGCTTTTTTCAACATTCCTCTTTTGGATTTTCCCAATTATCTTTCCTATTTCTCCAGAAACACAATTTTCGTGCCCGCGGCGGAAATACTCACTACTGATCCACTCGTTTAACTTCACTCCATAAAATCATGTTAATCTATAAAATTATGTTTCTGGAATAACAGGAAAGATAATGGAGTGAATCCAAAAAAGAAATGTTGAAAAATATAAGGCATAAGTGTAATTTCAATTCACTCTACAGGGTAGTACAAATTTCATGAATAAAACAAGCTGTAATTGCTACACCCGGTATGTATAAAAAAGGTTCTTATCCAATAGTTTTCACACCAATGTTCAGATGGAAATAACCTGTCATTCAAAACAAGAATAGTCCAAATTGGACTAGTAGTTTTGACGAAAATTTACCCGAAACTTTTGGCTATTTTTTTGGTGGCGCGATAATTTCTTGGAGAAGGTTATTTCACTCAAAACAATTCGAAATATATTTTTGTTTGTTGTCGATAATTATCGACCATGCTCTATCAATACAAAAGCTGATTTGACCCACCCGTGACCAATTAACCTCATTTCTCAGCGAATCATTTTTTCAACATTTATAACGTCAATAATTATTAGTATGTAATTATTATTATTATTATTATTATTATTATTATTATTATTATACTTTATTTCAAAAAAAGGTTTACATTTTATATAAAACATATAACAAAGAATGAAACAGTGTCACAAAACATTCTGGAAGATCAGATTTCTGTATTATCATTTATTTTCCAATTCAATCATTTAATAGTCAAACAAATTCAACTTGTGATTGTATCTTTCTAGCTCAACTTACTGTCATAGTATTGGATTGAATGAAAATTATTAAAATTTAAATGTGAGAGATACTATTCTCGGTAATATTGCATCAAGTTGAGAAAAGTACATACAGGGTGGCCCTTTGAAAACGAAACAGAGGCTCTATAGGTCGCCAAAACCGGATTATGAAAAAAAGCTGAAACACGTCAGCTACATTTTTGAGGGGGACATCGTTCTAAATTATTTTCAGCTCTGCGGCGTTGCCGCTTCTAACGAAAAGAAGCAACAACTTGGTCATTTCAAATGGAACACCCTGTATTTCATTGCATTTTTTTATACTCCCCAAAGAACTGATTCCATCAACGCACCACACTTGAGATCTACCGGCAATGATTACAGAGCTATAGGGTATTCAAAATCGAGATTTTTCAACTTTAGGATTTTTGTGTCAAAACTATTCATCATTGGTCAAAGCGGCTCACATGACCCTATCTCGAATTCCGATTCACTATCTTATTTAATTGGAACAAATACAGGGTGGTTCAAGATTCAGAATTCTGATCACCCTTTATCTGTCCCAATTAAATGATAATAAATCAGAAGTTGAGATAGAGATATAAAAGTCGTTTTGACCAATCATGAATAGTTCCGACACAAAAAAATGCTGTAATCATTGCCACTAGATCTCAAGTGTGATGCATTAATGAAATCAGCTCTTTGGGGAGAATCTAAAAAGGCAATGAAATACAGGGTGTGCCATTTGAAATAACAAAGTTATTGCTACTTTACGTTAGAAGCGGCAACGCCGCAGAGCTAAAAATAATTTAAAACGATGACATCCTCGAAAATGTAGTGGCCGTGTTTCAGATTTGGTGACCTACAGAGCCTCTGTTGCCGTAAATCTTTGATTTTTTTATGAATCATATGACTTAATGTAACTGGTAATTTGTTCCAAATCTGGGGAATTTTGTATAAATGCTTTTATTTTTATTTTTTTTTCAATTAGCGACAATGCTTTTCGATCATGGGCATTGATATGGCTCTGAGTTGTGGGGGCCAATGCGAATATCAGGATGAAATTGAAATATCCCACCTACTTAATCTACTCACAATCTAGACTGCTATGTCATATTATTCCAACAACCCGACAACCTCATTCCAATTGCTCTTCTGAACTTCTGCTCAATGTGCAGGAACTTTTCTTGGTGTTTGGAAATATGAGTAAGAGTGAGTAAGATATATGACAGGTACTGTATGCGCACGCATCTCGTAAACGGATTTTAAAAGCTTTGGTAGTCTAGTCTAGGAGTCCGGACACAGCTATACTTCTGTCCTTTTCTGTTTTCAAAAAATGCATTGATGATTGAATAAAGGAATAAGACATATATATCGAACTCTGTCTTTTCAATTCCCCTAGTATCAATGATTGTCAGAAACAATTTTGAGGGTTAGATTATTTGTCAAACCTTTCATAGCCGTAGGAAGAAGTGAGAAATAGGGCTATTTTAACTAGAATAACTATAGGTCGCGTGCAAGAACTGTCAGATGACCGACCCTGGAGGCAAAACATATTTGTTTACAAGTGATCGAAATAGTTTTCCACAATTATTTTGGCATATGAATCGTATTTTTCCGCTATTCATCAATTTGCTAATGCCATCACATTGTGCTGTTGTAAAATGCACAAAAACTGCAGCGGAAGATGAAGAAATCCGGATGGTACATTATGATTCAAAAGTAAGTACCTACTATAGTCACTCACATAGTTTTCATTTTTGAAATTTGGTTATTTCTCTGATTTCTCATCGGAATTCCTTCTGCAAAAGGATCAGCTAATAGAAATATACCTGAAATTTCTAGAATAATGCAAGAAGATCGGATTCATGCAATCAATCGGTAGGACTGGTCTGACATGCTGACGATCGTGTGTGTTGTAAACATTTTCAATGTATTAGCAGCATTAGCTTGTATTGCAGAAGTGGCAGAAGGAATTTTAATAAGGAATGACAACATTTCATAATGCTAACTATGTGAGACTACTATTTACCGGAAAAATCATATTCCCTAGTCTCTTGCTGCATTTTTTGTGCATTGTACAATAGCACAATGCGAAGGCATGCTTGAATTAATGAATAACGCAAGAAACACGATTCGTATGCCAAAATATTGTGAAAAACTATTTCAACCTTTTGATTCCTCTGTGACCAAATAAAAAAGTGAGGTTGTGTTTCAATAATTCACAGAAGAATGAGGTTGTGTTCCAATATTTCGCCTCCAGGGTCGGTCTTCGTGCACGCGACCTATTAGATTTTCAAATAATGAACAACAGGGTGTTCAAATTTCGAATCGATAATTTTCATAATCAATTCCTGAGATGGCTATTGCAAATTGTCGTCATCAGAAATTTCTTCACTTCATTAGATATAAGAAAGATAATTCAAGTGTTCTACGTGGTATCAGATATAGCCAAGAAAATATAGTTGTTTTCTGTTGGGATATAAAAAAATAGAAGATATATAATTGTTTCAATATAATTTTAATTGTGTCGGTTTCCCACCTCTTCCTGCAGTCTACATTCACCTGTAAATTTTGAATTTGATCTGAATTAAAAACACCGTGGACTGATGACATAGCACATTGCAATTTCTCTAAATCTTCTAGTTTTGATTTCAAACTTTCAATTTCTTTCCGCATTATCTCATTTTCATTTTCTTTCTCTGCGATCGTATCATTCAGTAATTCCCAATACGATGACGACGGAACTCTTTTTTTGAACGTCTCTATTTTATAAATTGACGGAACAGCGGACTCTTTCAATTTGAAATCCATCAGCTTGAAAAAATCTCTATCAAAATGGGCCTAAAATTCATCTTTCTTGTACTGTTTTTTCAAGTAAATTTGAATATTTACATCATATTGCGGATTTCTTGAAATTAATTTTCCATTCTGGACGTTTCATTGCATTCTTCCATGACATTATCTTTAAAGGATCATTCGGAAAATTGAATAACTTGAATCCCTTTTCTAATGAATTATCGCAATTATGTACGCAGCAGGACATTGAAATAATTTAAAATGCTAAATTTTGACGGTCATAAAATTTCAGTGACAGTGACAGAAATTCGAAATAATTAAAAAAAGCGGGCAGGACGACTATGGTGTTTCGTCACATTGTCAGGTGGGAAAACCAAATAAAACAAAATATTAAAAACCCCAACGGCTGTCAGTTTTGTGTCCGGACTCTTGTCTAAGGTATATACAGGGACTCTAGTCTAGTCCGCAGTTTATATCGGAAATCTTTGCTTCAATGTTGGACAGTGTCATCGTATTTGACAGTAAATTAAACCCTGTCAGTGTGTGGCTTGCACAACAAAAATCCAAAAATCTCTTGCTTTTCTGAACTTCTGCTCAATGTGCAGGAACTCCTCTTGGTGTTTGGAAATATGAGTAAGAGTGAGTAAGATATATGACAGGTACTGTATGCGCAAGCATTTCAAAAATGGATATTAAAAGCTTTGGTGGTCTAGTCCGCAGTTTATGTCAGAACTCTTTGCTTCAATGTCGGACAGTGTTATTGTATTTGACAGTAGTCGAGTTTGGCAATTCCATCCGAGATGCGAAGGATTTATTTGTCATGTGACCCAGGAATTAGAAAGATTAATTGGAATAAACGAACGGTGCAGAGCGCTGTCATGACAACGGATTTATATGTGGTTAGATTTGTTGTTTAACATTAATTTTCTCAAGAATTTCACAAAAAGTGAATAATAAAATAATACAACGCACTTAAAATTTGAACAATTCACCACTCAACCTCACAAGTTCAGATTAATCGCTTTGCTCTGTCAAAAGTCTCGGAGCATGACTCGGAGCATGAAGATCGTCGTCGGATCGCTCGGATTTTAATTGCCGAACGGAATAGATTTACTTCCCATATATCTACACACACTGGCACAATTAGGGGAACGGCCAAAATTTTACATCAATTTTCTTCCGAACCGATCGCTCGATTCAAAATTTGTTCTTCACGAAATGTAGCTTCATTTTTCACGAATACATCTGAGAAATAATTACCTCCAAACGATGAGTCTTTCCATCATATACAGGGGTGTAAAGAAAGTACGGATTTTTCGGTATTTTTTCAGACATCCTGTGGACTGAACCACTGATAATTGAAACGATTTCTCAACACCAAATTGGAGCCCAATCTATTCCGAATATTTTCGTTTTTTATTCATCTTGATATCTCAATTATTCAAGAAAATACAGAGTTTCAAAGGAAAGGTGGATATTGGTATCAATTTTACACCTCAAAACTCAAATTGGATCTGAAAATGTGTCGTTTCTTGACCAACCTAACCTAACCATGACTGAACCTCTGCCATAGGAGACAGAAGCAGTAAAATCAAATTGTTCATTTTGTTCACCTCGGCGATATAGTCTTTCCCTGCCATCTATTGAATTGGTGCAGATGGGGCTCTCATATGTTAAAAGAACATTGGCCCACTGGTCATTTCCAATTAATGCTACAGCCCTCGCCACATCATTGGGAGTCAAATCTCTCACGTTGAATTTTCATTAATCAAATTTATGAATTGTGAATCGCTTGACTTTGACAATAATCAATGACATTAACAAAATAGCCAACGTTGATTAACAAAAATTGCATTTCACCAAAAGAACATTGGAGCAACTTTTATCACCCCTGCATATTCATGAGAGTATTCGTATATGTGTACGGTGAACAATTCCCATCTTGAAGTAAAAATCCTCACAGAAACAAGTTGAAAAACGACACGTTCTCCCCAGTTCGAGTTTCGAGGTGGTAAAATTAATACCAATATCCACCTCTTCTTTGAAACTCTATATTTTCTTGGATAATTGGGATATCAAGATGAATAAAAAACGAAAATATTCGGAATAGATTGGGCTCCAATTTGGTGTTGAGAAATCGTTTCAATTATCAGTGGTTCACTCCACAGGATGTCTTGAAGAATACCGAAAAAGCCGTACTTTCTTTACACCCCTGTATATGATATAAAGACGAATCGTTTGGAGGTGGTTATTTCTCAGATTTATTCGTGAAGAATGGAGCTACAATTCGTGAAAAACAAATTTGAATCGAGTGATCGGTTCGAGAGAAAATTGATGTCAAACTTAGTGTAAATTTTACCCGTTCCCCTAATTGTGCCAGTGTGTGTAGATGTCACGAACGAACGACACAGATTGATCTGAACAGTCTCATGTCAATACCGAACTCAACTAGTAAATTAAACCGTCAGTGTGTGGCGTGCACAACGAAAAAAAAAAAAAAAAAAAAAAAAACTCTACATATGAAAATTTTCGATGATCTTACCATTAGCAGTCTGAGATTTGAAATCCATGATGCTAGAGTTTTGAGAGATGGTATCAGGGGGCGGCTGGAAAGTCTTCCACTGAGGATTCGTGGACATGGTTATCAGTTCAGTACAATGACTTTTTGCTTGCTTGCTTACTTCTTCCCACTTCTTATCGTTTCTTAAGTGTAGTGAATATCACAGAATGGTTAAGAGTCGGTATTTATATAACAAATACTTCACGAGAGTCAATTATATGGCAGCCGATACCATGCAATCAATCAAAAAAATTACCCACTTTGATAATTAATCACAATATACAATGTTCACAATGCTTATGAAAAAATAATTCAAAGGTATAAAAAAATACAATCCAATCCACAGTCACTCAAAATTTGTATGAAACAGATGAAAAATTAAATAAAAAATCCTCAGATGTCTTCAATGCGTGCTGGGTGCGTATTGTGCTGTAATGCTCATAATTTTTTTTGTCTCCAGGAAGGCCAGTGGTTGCGCTGGATACTCTTGTTACTTCAAATTTTCTATGCTAAATTTTGGAGTTCTTAGTTACACAAGCTGAAATATAAACCATTAACAGTTAGGTAAGTATACAGGCTGATCCACAGTAGAAGGCACATTAGACGTTTCTGGAGAACGTACCTTGGGATTATTCTGGGAATTTGATGCCTTGGATAATTAATTGTGCTCTATCGACCTAAAATATTCTCAGCGCAGCGACGTTGCCGCTTATATTGAAAAGTAGCAACAACTTTGATTTTTTAAACGGGTCACCCTGTATATTATTCCATTTTCATATTCTCCCTGAAGAGCTGATTTCATTGACCTATAACACTTAGGGTCCAGCAGTGACAATTACAGAGATATAGGGTGTGAAAGATTTTTCAACTTTGATTTTTTTGTGTTGAAACTATTCATAATGGGCGTGTACACCTTAGTAGAACTTTTAACTCAAACCATGTTTATAATGATCCTTTTATACATAAATAATTATTGACGACATAATTCGATAGAAAAATTAACTGGAATGTTTTATTTTTGAACATAAATAATAGTACCTTCTGAAAACGGACCCTCTTATGACGTAGAAACCTCATCTCGCCATAGTTAAAACAAAAAAACCAAACGCCCGACGGAGACTGAGGCAACTGATATATTAATTCTTTCAACTGTGATCTCACGCTAATTCACTCTGTCAGAAATCATATATCATTCATCTCTGTCGGAATAATCTTGTTTCAGTATTAGGGTTTTGACGTCACATCATCGCCTCGTTTTCAGAGGTCCGAAAAATCGGGGATTTCAATAATTTTTTATAAAACGTAGGGAGCTCACAGCAAGAAACGGTTTGCGGTGGTGAGCTAGTTTGGGTGAGTTCTATCGAATTATGAAATAAATTTTTTTTGTGATATAAGCCCATTGGTCAAAACGGTTTCCATCTCCCGATCTCAACTTTTTATTTACTATCAATTGATATTTAATTGAAATACAGGGTGGTTCAGAATTGAGATTTTCAACGGCCCTATTTCAATTAAATATCAATTGATAGGACATGAAAAGTCAAGATAGAGACATAAAAACCGTTTTGACTAATTATGAATATTTGGGACACAAGAAATTCTTGAAGTTAAAAAATCTCGATTTTTCACACCCTATATCTTTGTTATCATTTCCGCTAGACCCCAAGTGTAATAGGTCGACGAAATCAGCCTTTTAGGAAGAATCTGAAAATGGAATAATATATAGGGTGTCTCATTAAAAAAATCAAAGATGTTGCTACTTTTCAATATAAGCGGCAACGTCGCAGTGTTGAGAATATTTTAGGTGGATAGAACACAACTAATTATCCAAGGCACCAACTTTTCAGGATAATACTGAGTTGCATTCTTCAGAAACGTCTAATGTGCCATCCACCATGAATCACACTGTATATTATGAACAACTATCTATATTTGAACTTGGAGATTAAAGTATTTGGAGTATTATATGAAAATATGAATTTTTCATACTAAAAAATTTGTCATTCAGACCTTTCAGATAGGAACTTGAACAATGCATTTCATTCAGTCAATGATGAAGAGAATAATTGCAAGTGACATCAATATCAAAGGATGCCTCCACTTCTTGAAATGTTATTGAACACCCTGTAATAACTGAATAGATGAACCCACTCACACTTTTTCAACAAATACAGGGTTCCCCATATCCATCTCCAAAAGTTATTGAGCTAAAGGGCTTTTTAGTTACAGAAAAAAATAAAGCAGGAAATAGCAGTGGTGTTCTTTGATTTTTCAAATTTTTTGAAGCATTTTCGCTGAACAAGACTGAAATAAGACAAATCAATTTATCAAGTAAGTTGATATTTTCCAGATATTGATAAAACCCATTTGGGTAGGTAACTATCCTGTGTTCCAAATGCTCAAATATGGATAAATGTCTATAATTTTTTTCTGGAAGAAGCTATTTGTTATAAATCTAGAAGTATGGAATGATCATCTACTCAAGTGACTATAATTAGCACAAATTAAATAGCCTGATGTTTTTAGGGTGGAGTTTTGATTTGTGTTGCACTCTTGTCTATTTGACAGATTATTAAACCCAGAATCAACCCAGAATTATGAATTATACAGGGTGTTTCACAGGTAAAGGGAAACATTTCAATGGTAGATAGGGGTCACCAAGGTGGTTCTGAAAATACCATATTTGATAGGTCTTAGAGTTTTCATAACGGAGATACAGGGCGATTTATCGATTTCGAATAATTATTCATTCGTCTATAAGTATTGAACTACCCAGTATATTTTTCTAAAATTTGGTATGGAGCTCAAACTTGGGACGTTGAATTCATGCACCTATCAGGCGAAGAGAAAATCCAGGATCGGCTTCAGGAAAAATTCACATTTATTCGAAATATTAAAATAACACACTGTATGTAATAATTGACACAGTTATTCAAAGGAATCGTAAAGAGGAGGAAAAACTGAACTGGATTTGATGCTTTTTGTTTTCCCGCCATCAATTCTCATCGTAACAAAAATAAACAGAAAGCTGAAAGTATGTCAATTTGAAGAGTATTGAAATTATGAAACCAGTGTCAATTATGATTATTCGATATATTTTAGTCAAAAAATCGCTCGAAAGAACTTACTAATTCTCACAGTTTTCATAACGGAGATACCGGGTGAATTATCGGTTTTGAATAATTATTCACTCGTCCATAAGTATAAAACTACCCAGTAACATTTTCTCAAATATGGTATGTAGCTCACTTGGGACGATGGATTCATTAACCTATCAGGCGGAATTATAATTCGATAATTCACCATGTATCTCTGTTATAAAGACTATGAGACTTTTCCTGAAGCTGAACCTGTATTGCCATTCTGCCTGATAGGTCAATGAATCCATCGTCCCAAGTAAGCTCAATACCAAATTTGAGAAAATATTACTGCGATGGGTAGTTTAATACTTATGGACGAGTGATAATTCACCCTGTATCTCTGTTATAAAGACTGTGAGACTAAGTAAGTTCTTTCGAACGATCATTTAACAAGAATATATCAAATAATCATAATTGAAAGTGGTTTCATAATTTTAATACTCTTGAAATTGACATACTTTTAGCTTCCTGTTTATGATTGTTACGATAAGAATTGGTGGCGGGAAAACAAAAAGCATCAAATCCAGTTCAGTTTTTCCTCCTCTTCACGATTCCTTTGATGAACTTTGTCAATTATCACATACAGTGTGTTATTTCAATATTTCGAATAAATGTAAATTTTTCCTGAAGCCGAACCTGGATTTTCACTTCGCCCGATAGGTGAATGCATTCAACGTCCCAAGTTTAAGCTCCATACCAAATTTTAGAAAAATATACTGGGTAGTTCAATACTTATAGACGAATGAATAATTATTCGAAATCGATAAATCGCCCTGTATCTCCGTTATGAAAACTCTAAGACCTATCAAATATGGTATTTTCAGAACCACCTTAGTGACCCCTATCTACCATTGAAATATTTCCCTTTACCTGTGAAACACCCTGTATATAAAAAATTAGCTATAATATAATGATAAACACTGAGATAGTTGCATGCTTATATATTATGATCAACTATCTACATTTGAAGTTGGAGAAAATAGTATTTGGAGTATTATATGGAAATGTGAATTTTTCATACTCAAAAATTTGTCATTTGAACCTTTCAAATAGGAATTATATTGAACAATGCATTTGATTCAATCAATGATGGAGAGAATAATAGCAACTGACATCAATATCAAAGGATGCCTCCACTTCTTGAAATGTTATTGAACACCCTGTAATAACTGAATAGATGAACCCACTCACACTTTTCAACAAATACAGGGTTCCCCATATCCATCTCCAAAAGTTATTTAGCTAAAGGGCTTTTTAGTCACAAAGAGAAAAAAAACAGGAAATAGCAGTGGTGAGCTATGATTTCTCAAATTTTTTTAAGCATTTTGGCTGAACAAAACTGAAATTAGGCAAATTAATTCATCAAGTAAATTGAAATTTTTCAGATATTGATAAAACCCATTTTGGTAGGTAACTATCCAGTGTTCCAAATGCTCAAATCTGGATTTCTGGAAAAAGCTATTTGTTATAAATCTAGAAGTATGGAATGATCATCTACTCAAGTGACTATAATTAGCCCAAATTAAATAGTCTGATGTTTTCGGGGCCAAGTTTTGATTTGTGTTGCACTCTTGTCTATTTGACAGTTTATTAAACCCACAATCAACCCAGAATTATGAATTATATAGAAAAAAAGTAGTTATATTATAATGATGAACACTTTGATAGTTGCATGCTTCCTACCTACTAGGTATACCTACCTGGAATACCTATGACCACCTACCAGTTTTTTTTTCAATTGCAGGTAAATATGAATAATGAAACTTCTTTCAAATTCTATGAAATATTTGAGGTAGGTAATTCAAAATATAAGTATCCAAGTAGAGGTAAAAGTGCCTGAATGAAGAAAATTCAGAATTCAGGACAAGTGTCTACTGTGTCTAGAGGTAGAAGGTAGACAATGGTCACATTATTGATTTATTTAGAGTATCCGAATCGCCTAAATAAACCTCCAAAGAGATTTGAATGGTTCAAAAATCAATTTGCAATGGAATTCGGAACTTTCTCAGTTTATTTCTAGTAAAGTAACCATATAATACTGCGTAGATTATGCGGCAGGAAGGATGCATTATAAAAAGGGTTAAACACATTTTGATTTTCACTTGTTACAACATTAAAATGAACTTTACAAAGCAAATTATTGTCTTAAATCATAGCTAATAGGTTGAGAAATAGTTGTACGTACATTTTAATGTGAATTTGGTGTTATATTGCGAAAATTTGTGAAAATTTCAACTCACCACGACACAGCACAGCACTGACGACATGCCGCCATGTTTGAATGTCAAAAATCTGTAAAATCGAGAATCTAGCAGATGAGCACAGTGACATTGCATTGAGTTCAAGAGATCGCGGTGGCGAAGTTGTGGATGAAGTAAACGTCAAGAGTCAAGACTCAAGAGTCAACATATTTTGGTCCTGTGTTTTGGTCATCTTACTCATCTTTTTTTTCAGTCATGTCAAAACTACTCAAAAGGCAAAATGAAAATAATTAGGGCATTTCCGCTGTGGAGTTCGAAATACTACACATAAAAATGCCTCCAATATTAACCGAGTTTGTACTTATACCTGGTATGTCCGATTTTCATTTTTTATGTTGATACACTGCACAATCTGAAATCTTCTACCTGAAGCCCTGGGATTTGTACAGTTGTATAGCAGATATGGAAGTTATATTTCATGAGAAGGTTAGTAGGTGAAGGACCTTTTATTTTACCATTATACTGATATCCTATTTCAGCAAGAAGGTTCATTATGTGCTCAGCACTGCCTGAACTCTCTTCTTCAAGGACCTTATTTCACTGCAGTAGATTTAAGTACTTTAGCCCAAACATTAGATGAAGAGGAGAGACAGAGGATGGCAGAATGTGGTGAAGAAAGTGAAGAATACCAAAAGTTCTTGGCACAACCATCTGGTAACATGGATGACAGTGGCTATTTTTCTGTGCAAGTAATAAGTAGTGCTCTACAAGTATGGGGTTTAGAATTAGTGCCTTACTCAAGTACTGATGAACGTATCAATGCTGATCCAAGTAAAATGTCTGCCTTTATATGTAACTACAGAGACCACTGGTTAACCATAAGAAGTATAGGGAAGCAGTGGTTTAATTTGAACTCTCTGTTGTCCAAACCTCAGTTGATTTCTGATACATATTTGTCCTTGTTTTTGGCACAATTGAAAAATGATGGGTACTCAATATTTGCTGTACTTGGAGATCTGCCTGAATGCACTGCCGATGAAATTTTAAGGAATAATCCTATCTGTTCAGCCCCACGACCAGTTCTAAAGACAAATATCTCCAATGAGAGTGACCCTGATATACAAGCAGCCTTACAAATGAGTCTAGAAGATGACCAACAATGTTATACACCAGACAATGAGGCTAGAGAGCTTCAAGAGGCTTTAAGATTGAGTATGCAGACATTTAATAGCAGCCCAGAAGAGGATGATGAAGAGAGTTTACTTCGAAAAGCAATCAATATGAGCCTTCAATGTTAACAAGTATTGGAGAAAGGGAGTTATCACCATAATACCTTTGTAAATATGCTTTAGTTTCTAATCAAAAGGTAATTGAACATGACATGTAAAAAATGTAAAGAAAACTTGCCAAATAATGTTAGTAATGCTATTTATTAATAATTAAACAATAAGTAAATTATGTTATTATACCTATCAAGTCATTTTCATTATTATTGAGCTTAATGATTGAATTATTTCATAATTACTATTTACTTTGCAAATCTAGATGATTATTTTTCCTATTTCATCACCCCCAATGAAGAACCAAAGAAAGCCCCCCACGCCACCAATAGGTCCTTTCTTTTGTAGGAGAAGCGAGCACTACATGGAGCACATAGCATTACTCCTACACTCCCTGTAATCTACACTGTATTTGAGCATTCTTTTGAAGGTGCATTTCACACCAGTGTAGTTTATCTCCACGTGCTGCTGGTCTTGGGCAAGGGCACAGTAGAGAGCTCTCTACTGTGGCAAGGGAGTTTATTTATAATCCTTGGGTCTTGGGCGCGCAGGTTTGACAAGTTTCGTATTAATTTTTTCCCTATCTCGACCTTTGTCGGCATCAACGCAGTAGTAGATAAATCCATTCACAGAACTGAAACTAGTGTTTTAGTTCTGTGGTGACATTCCGAATTCAACGTGAAGAAATGGGAAAATGCGCATGCGTAGCTGTCAATTTCTACGTTTACGTTAAGGTTTACGTTAACGTTCATGACAACACTTCAACTCTCTAACACTGAACTGTTCAGTGCTCTCTAATGGAACAAATAAAACGCAAACGCAACTAATATTGGATAGATTGACAGATTGACACTGAGATGTGAGCTGAGATGATTGACACAAATTCTGGTGAAGTGATAAGTGATGTGATTTCTTCTCTTTCAAATGTAGGTATTCAATTTAAATTATTCATTATATGGGAATTCTAGTATTTATAATTTATATAGAAATTTCAATTATAACAATTCTTATTTTGTATTGGTGAATATTTTCCATAACTTGGGACTCAGAGCACATCAAAGTTCCTAATTAACTAGAAAGGAAAACAAAATTTACCTAGCTGTCATCTTTTTTGATTGGTTTGTTTATTTTTACTTCCATGTAGACATTCCACATTCCAAAATGATTTCAAAATTTTAATATAATATATTGTTCATCATGAATGTAATGAAAATCACTTGTACAAATTATATTCTTATATTTAAATTTTCAGATTGATGAAACCAAGTGGTAGTATAATATATAATCTAGATCCACATTCCATTGAAGAGAAATTCTACTGCCATGTACCTGAGGTGGCTATAAATTGACCATGTTCCACACAGACACAACTACACATAACTAATCAAGAATGAAGGTCAAAAACTGAAGAATACTTTGGTCAAGGTAAACAGCATTCAGGAATATAATATGGGAAAAACCAATGGACCAGTGATAATCACAATGAGTGTATTATAATGAAGTATAAAGAATGGCACATACCACTCATACCAGATATATAGGAATAATGATCAGTCACTTCATCATTATAACAGTATAATGTTCACAAACAAATTAGGTTTCAACTTTGTTCTCTAGTTCATAAAAAATCAAAATCATGGGCCACAATATCAATATCATAGTGTTATTATTATTTGGTTTAGTAAATCTTTCTATTAATGCAGTTATAAAAAATAACAGAACATACTACCCAGAAGGTTTGTATTCACCTGAAGATGATGTGCAAATTTTGACTGTGATAAACTTTGATGCAACTATTTATGGTAGTGAAAAAGCCTGGATGGTAGAATTTTACAGCAATTGGTGTGGTTATTGTCAAAGAGCAGCACCAGTTTTCAAAGAGTTTGCTACAGACATCAAAGGTTGGAGTGATGTTGTTGGAGTTGGAGCTCTGGATTGTGCCAATGATGTCAATACACCTATATGTACATACTTTGAGGTAACAAAGTATCCCACATTCAAATATTTCCATGAGAACTATGAAGAGGGTCCTACAAATCTAGGTTTAAGAATTATAGCAGACTCTCACACAAATGTATCTGAACACAGAAAGAATCTTGTGGACATTTTAGAAAGTGAACAGTTCAATGGAAGGGGGCAAATATTCCCAAATCTGAGACCCTTCAATGAAACTGAATTGAACAAGTTGTTCAACATTCCTTCTCCTAATTTAACTTATGCCTTCTTAATCATTCAAGAGTCCACTGATGATATTGGACCATCAATCACAATGGATTTCCATAATGTTGACTCAGCAGTAGTAAGATACAGTTATGTGAATGACACATTTTTAAAAAAAGACCTTTTCCCTGCCTTGTATGTGATAGAAAAAGATAGTGGTCTACAATTTTTGAGTATACCATCCCCTAGTAGAGAGGGCTTCAAAAAAACAATTGTTGAATACTTAACATCAAAAAATGTTACTTTACCAGAAGAACATTCCTACAGAAATAATTCTCAATTTGAGATACAGGAAACCACCTCACAAAATGACACACTGCTGAGGCAGAAAATAAAAGCAATGGGTGATGTTGTTTTTCAAGGAGATTTGGAAAGTTCACTACGTTATTCCTTGAAGCATGAGGTTGGGGGTGCAAAAGAAATATCAGGTGAGAAGCTCAAATCTCTGAGAGCATATATAGATGTCTTGGTGAAATATTTTCCATTCAGTACTAATGGAAAATCCCTACTGAATCAAATAAGAACATATGCATACTCCAGAGATCATATAGATGGAACAGAAATTCGGAAACTTGTAGTTGATGCTGATAAACCTGGTAAACATGTGTTTTCATCACCCCAGCAGTGGTTAGCCTGCAGAGCTAGTGGATCTGCCCACCGTGGATACCCTTGCAGCCTGTGGAAAATGTTCCATTATTTGACAATCAATGCTGCAAATGCTGAATCTGGAGTCAAAGACTCGAACCCCAGAGTGGTTTTGGAAGCTATGTATGGATACATCAAGAATTTCTTCAGTTGTGAGGATTGTGCCAATCATTTTGTGGAAATGGCTGGTAGACGGGAATTTTACAAAGTTCCTTCATGGAATGAGAGCATCCTTTGGCTGTGGAGGGCTCACAATGAGGTCAATAAGCGTTTGAGTGGGGATGAAACTGAAGATCCTGAGTACCCCAAGATTCAGTTCCCTTCCAAAGCTTATTGTCCACAGTGTTATAGGGCAGATGATTCTTGGAATGAAGCAGAAGTTTTGGTTTACCTGAAGAAAATGTACAGCTATGAGAATATTCGGTATATGGGGTCTGATCCACAAGTTCTCCATTTTGATAAGATGCCTATGCCTTCATCATCAAAGAATTTGAAAGCTCTTGGCACAAGTGAGTATTTTTTTCTCATATATTCAAATGAGGAGTGCACTGTTTTTTTTTGTTTTTCATGTAGTTTTTACACTTAACTACCCATTGACATTTTGCACAATATTTTTGGATGGTTTTGATTGTCTTCATCACCTCAAGAAACGTTGTTTTCAAACATATTAGTAATTGAAAAAAAAAAATGATATCTTATTATTCAAATTGAAAACATTTCTGCTGCCTGAATATTTTCATTAGGATGAAGGGATGAAGGTTTTACAAGAAGTTATATAAAATAAAGTATTCCAGGAGGCATCTCATTCCGGGTATTTACGGAATATTTTTGACGTAGGAGATGGAAGCATGTGATCTGGTGTGACCGATAATATTCACGTTTTGCAATGATGAACATTATAGGGATGCCCTTTCGTGCCCTCCAAAAGATAATCGTAATTCAGAAAGTATAACTTCTTGTGTAACCGTATTTTTTGTTACCCTCTTCCATCTTTCTCTTCAATGCTAGCCACCTGGCCACATTGAAATATAGAAAGGTCCGATAAATCTATCCTTGTCTAACCTCTAGTCTGCGCCACTGAACTATTTTCGATGTTATTCGTGATAGAAAATAACATGTCACTCCACCTGAAGGTTAAAAACTTGAACTCTGAGCGGATTATTTTGGGTCTTGATGATGTGACCGTTTGACCAATAAGCACAAACGAAAAACAAATATTAACCAATGAAAACAAAACAACTTTCAAGAACTCCGATAGGTGGCGTACGCTTGTTTTTTATCAAGAATAATCATCAATAATCATTCTTTCCTTCTGAATTGACATATTTCATTTGGACTGAACTGAATCAGTTAACATGCATTATAACTAATCAAATTCTTTCTAAAGAACACATAATAACTGATTCAGTTCAGTTCTAGTGAGATATTTCAGTTACTTCAGATTATAATGATGTGATATGTCAATGTCATAAATGTCATTGACTGATAATAACCTTTAAAATTTTTGAGATAAAATAAGAGATATCATACTTATTTTGACATCTGTTGTTAATATCGTTGATTCTGTAACGATCATTCTGTTGAATCAAAAAATTGTTCAGTGGCACAAACTAGATGTTAGACAAGGAAATATTTATCGGACCTCTCTATATTTCAATGCGGCCACGTTGGTAGCATTGAAGAGAAAGAGGGAAGAGGAGAGAACTTTCCTCTCTCTCTCTCTCTCTCTCTCTTGTTCCAGGTAGAAAAGAGCTCAATTCAGAAAGCGTCAGTTCTCTGCTATTCAAGTCCTAATTTTCAACAGTTTTGGACGACAATAAAACATTATAAATTCATTTTCCATAAACAACAACTGAATTGCAGTTTTAAACAAAAAGATGTGCTGGGTGCGCCATTTACTTTTGAATACACTCAGAAATTATTTTCCCTTTACCGCCTGGTCTTGAGGGCGTAAAGTAGAACTTTAGCGTCCCGCATGCCTGTATGATTCAGGGCATCTATGTTTTAGTTGTGATGATCCATTATCTAATATCACAGTCCTCTTGATATTTCTGAGATGCAAATACACTCAGTTCCAAAAAAAGTGACGCACTTGATATTTGACATATCTTCTTAAGAAAAAATAGTAGGCCGATTTTATTGTTGGTAGGTAGTGCATTTGTCTTTGATAAAAAAATAAAGAGGTGAAAATTTTTTCAAAGCCTTGATGGTGGTGGAATAACTCGAACCATGATTTATTATTAATACCCTATACAAAAGAGGCTTTTTTTGTGAGCATTTTGTTTCTTTATTCATTGATTTATCTCTAAAATTTTTCGAATTACAGCTTTTTTGCTGATACCTTACGCTTATCCCACAAATTAAATTTATTGACGGATCAGATTACTCAAAATTGATTGGGTTGTACTCTGGTTGGATCAAATTGCCTTTATAAAAAAAAACTAATGCCGTTGCCATAGCAACTAATTTGTTGTATGCCTCCATATTTGACCATTTGTCGTTGTGTCATTATTTAAGTGTCTTGTTTTATTGACTAAAATTACATAAAAACGATGGGCGTAGTAAACGTTGAGCCGCTCGTGCAGTCCATGAAGCAACTGCTCGTAGAGCAATCCGCAATCGCTTCTTAAGATTGCGGATTTTACGGAATCGATCCAATACTGCGGTAAATATTCAGCAAGATCTTCGCCAAATTCGTGGTGTTGCAGTAAGTAAGCAGACGGTAAGTAGACGTCTAAAAGAAGTTAATTTAAAAGCTAGGAGACCTGCAAAAGGTCCCAAATTATTGCCCGAACATCGTGCTGCTAGAAGAAATTTTGTTGAAAATTATGGACAGTGTCACCTCTTTGTTTTTTTTTAAGACAAATGCATTACTTACCAGCAAATAAAAAAAAATAAAAATCGGCCCCCTTTTATTTTTTTTTTAGAAGATAGGTCAAATATCAAGTGCGCCACTTTTTTTGGAACTGAGTGTAGTTATTTATATAGATCCTAACGCCTGGAGGGTAATATTCACCAAGGGCATTTGGCCCGAGGGTTGAATGCTGCCCAATGGGCATTACGATCAAGTAACGCTCCTGGTGCATACAAGATTTTATTTTTCATGAAAACATTATCTTATTATAATGAAAAATCTATTTTGAAAAGCGGTTCATCGCTCCTAGAATTCAATTTCCACTTTTCTTATCATGGTATGCATGGCATTTGTTGATATTTTGACGTTTGTTGAATATTGCTGTCATCATTTAATTCAGTGAATGTCATTGCTGCTTTCTTTGGCTATATTCCGAATTCAACTGACAGTACTGAATCTGCTGATTTTTCATTCCATAATCAAAAAATTCACTGAAAGTGACAGATTCTCGTGAGCAGACATACTATCCATTCCAAATATTTCGACTCAACATTCTGCTGAAATTGCTGAGTATCAAAAGGTAGTGTGGCTTCAGTGAACTGTCATTATTTCAGAGGGGGAAGGAATGTAACATTCATTTCCATTGTTTATGATATTATTTTCAATATCAGAAAATAGCTGCTATTTAAATAATATGCTGAGAATAAAATGGAGTATGAAGTAGTAGAGGTTTCGAAACAAGAAGCAGCATTGGCTAAATAAATCACTAAATAAACCTGGGATGTCTACTAAATTCATCATCATTACGTTTTCCATGAATCTTTCAATTCTCAATCTGGTGCATCATAAAAAATAAATGGCAACAAAATGTCCAAGTATTCTCTTCATCACTCGAGCTTGAATCGTCATAGTCAATAATCTTAGAAACTATGGAGGCTACAAGAATCGATTGCTCTTCCATGTTAAATATTGAATATCTAGTCCAGATAAACGAGAAACTACAGACTGACAAATCTCACCAGCTGATCAACTGCTGCTGACTACTGATGAAAACCATGAAAACGTGTCCCGAATTAAAGCACTGTATTTTTGATTTTATATTTCGGAACACAGATTTTCAGCAGATTCAGTGGATCTACTGACAGTACTGACCAGTTGAATTCGGAATATAGCCTTTGTGTAGTCTTATAGAAATAATGGAAATGAATAGGAATGTATCCAAGAATGTCATAAAAAATGCAGACAAGGCTTCGATTAATTCATTGTTGGAGATATCCAGACTTGTACTTTCAAGAATTGGTATGTAATTTTATGAACTACAGAAAAAATAATTAGCAGGCGTTATGATTCATAATGCCATCCATAATGATTCGGGCGTTATGGGTATGCTAATAGCTGTTGCCAAAGAATTATTGAGCATGTGAAAAATAAATGATATCCGCTAAATAAGTTATCTGTGATGACATAAATAGACAGCAAATAATAATCTATTCATATTTCGTTACCATGGTAACGATGATTCCATCAATGATATATTCCTTACTTTACTGCAGTCATTATGTATTTCTATGGTGCTTGAGAGGTAGAGAGGTATTCACAATGAAAAATCAAATACAGTGTGTCTCACTTTTCATGGAAACACCCCTGTATCTTACGTATTCGTTGGGTTAGGATTCTGAAATTTGCTGGAGCGAGAGGAATACCAAGAATGCACTCCATGGCCAAGTGGGGTCATCTTCAGTGATATACACTGCTCGCCAACAGCCTTGTAACCACCCCAATTTCCGGAAAATAATATCAGGAGGCAAAATAGGTTGAAAATCACTTCGGATTCGGAATCAGGACACACTGGGTATTGAAATAATACCTACTAATATTCTTAATGGAATCGACAAGAGGAAATCACAAAATTATCATTATCGTCATTATAATAATATAACCAATTCACTTTTACGATTTTTATGTTGTAAAACTTTCATCGTCATGTATTATTGTTATCTATAATCTCTTACAAATGGAAAAACAATGTTTCTTTTATAAAAAGCAGTCAGTTTATCCATATAATTTATCTTTTTATACTCCCGTAAACTAATTAAATATCTGCCACCGATTTCTTGATATTGTTCATTATACAGGGTGTTAACAAATAAGTGTCCCAACGAAAAACTGTAGATTTCTCATGAAAAAATAAACATTTTTTCCCTTTCCCCTCATTGAGTTCTGTGGGTAAAATCAAGTGGGTCTATGTTTCTATCTCACTTCCTCGAGTTGTTTGACAATTGATTCCATATGACATTCAATAACAACGTGTGAAAAGTACAGGCAATTCAGGGACTATGGAGATGTTGAAACATGTTGAAATACCGGGTGTTCCAAGTTATCGTATATAGTCAATATCTCCCTTATTTGACATGATGTTTGAAAAATTCAAAAACTGCATTAAATGGCATTAAACTACCTTCCTAATGACATATAAACGTGTCATTCAATTTGGAATACAACAATAGCGTATACTTGGTATTTTTTATTGATAACAACAAAAATATCAACATTTTGTGACTTGTTTCAAGTTACTTAATTATCCTTATGAAAATGAAAAATTACCTCCGCTCATGTTTTCTGCTTCAAAAAGCCGATGCTTCTCATGTCAAAATAATTTTGAACACTTACTGTGCTTTTCAGTTAATTTTTTGATTCCCAGAGCAGATATTTTAGTTGAAATTCATACTCCATCAAACGTTGCTGTTTTTGTTATAATAATAAAAACATACCAAGTATATGCTATCGTTGTATTCCTTATTATAGGATGACACGCAATTGTCAATGACAATATACAGGGGGTGCAATTTGAAAATAAAAAGTGGGGGATAGCTGCCAGAGAACTGTCAAATGTAATAGATTTTTTATATGTCACTAGGAAGGGTACTTCAATGCCATTCATTGCGATTTTTAAAATTTTCAATTATCTTGTCAAATAAGCGAGATATATATTGCCTGTATACGATAACTTGGGACACCCGGTATAAATAGTTAGAGATTAATTTTGCATAAAATAATATTATTCATTGATTGATTAGCCTTCTTATCTCAAAGAAATTCAACTTATTCCAGAATATGTGATTTTTTCCAGTTATGTACCTAATCAATTATTTTTCCATTATTTTCAGATATCCCCCTAGTTATGGCTGGAATGTTGGTGTCTTTTGGATTGAGGGGGGAATAAGACAGCTAGTAAAAATACTCAAATGATTTCTTATACTATTACTATTAACAATAATGATGAATTTGAAGATACTATACCCACTAACTTGCTTCATTTAACTAACATGAGTACAGTATTAACAATGTATACTAAATACATCCACAGTAATATTTGTGTGTATTTAAAAGGTAATTATAGTATTGAAATATTTTTCCAGGGAGATTTTGAGTAACAGAAAATAATTGTGATATTTTTTACTATATATTATTTAATTTTGACACAAATGCTTTGCTTTATATTCAATAATATGACAAATAATATTTCGTTTTCTAATTTTTTACCTTTTTTTCTATGAATTTTCTCTACCTGTAATTGTGATAATAAAATATGATGACATTGTGAACAATCTATCATTGAAGATCAAGAATATTCCTATGAAAACTAGTAATTATATCTTGACACATTTTCCATTACCTTCAACCACAAATTTATGTGAATCTATTTATACTCCGATTGCAAATTGCATTGTCGTTATAACAATTATTGATATGAAATACTTTACCATGACTGAAAATCGTTTCATCTTCAAGGATAGATTTTTATTAAAATGTTACCTTGACAATCTCATATATTTTTCTAATTACGCTGATACAAGTTAACAAATGGAAAGATTCTTGATGAAAAAAATTGGTGGTCTCTATGTTCAACAATCAGCCTAACTTAAAATTTTGGACCATATTTTTTTTATCTCTTGGAGCGCACGAAAGGAAATTCCATAATGTTTGAGGAACATCGTGCGTACCTAGGGTGGATAGGAAAAGGAGGTAGGTTTTGGAATTGTTTTTTCAACCCTTGGGGATAACAAGTTCTTGAGAATACTTCCATTGGCAAAGAATTCCAAAGCTTGACATCTTTCAAGGTTGACAACGAAAGGATGTGCTGACTGGGCCTGTCAAGTTCGTCTGACTGGAATTGCTAGTGGTGGAATGATAACAGAGATTTCTGAAGAACATTTCCCATGGCAGTATCTATTTAGAAAAGTGAAAGGTTGCCGACTTTTCTACGCCGCATGGATCTTCTCTGGATGCAATCTAAGAGCATCAGAGAGTATATGTTGGTGTGCTGAACCCCATATGTGGAAAGAGTATTCTAAAACTCCCCGTATCTGTGCTTTCTAGATCATGAAACTGGCAACAATGCTTACCTTTCAAAGTGTAAGCCAATATGTTTATTAGCCTTCTTTTTCTCTTATTTCAACCTATTTTTCATTAGAAAATCAATGTGAAGAATTGATCAGATTTCATTTCATAAGGTTTTTCCACTGATAGACCGCTATACAGGGTGTCCCATCATCATCATCACCATCATGTATATTTGAAGTACACACTTAACGTAGAGACCTCCACGTAGATTTTAACTTGATAACGTAGGCACGGAAAATAACATTTACCGTTGACCTCATATTAACGAGTAACTTCAATGTTTATGTAATTGATCATTAATGGCCCCTATCAATAGTCCAAGAGCCTACTGCAAATTCCGACCGTCATCTGATAACGAAATGATATACAGGGTGATTCACATAAAAACCGACATAGGGCAGGGGCATGTAGGGGGTCCCAAAATATGGCAATTTAACGCAACTTACCTCTATACCAAGTTACTTCCCTAAGGAGTTATAGGCATAGCACTAACAGCATGTCAACTTGCTCGTTAAAAGAAAACTTCCCGTTCATTTTAAAAACACTCAAACAACACCCTAACAACACAGGGATGTCCTAGGTACGTCCCTTTTTTGTCCCGCGGTACAAGGACATGATTGGGGCATCCAGGGGATGTCCCGCAGTGGTTGTCCAGTGGACATCCCGGGACGTACCAGAAGGACATCCCTAGGATGCCTCTTTTTGTGGAAAGCGGATGTCCCTGGGACGTCCCTAGTATGTACCATGTCCCGACACAGGATATCCCAGGGACGTCCTCGTAGAAAATGAAGCACGTCCCTGGGACGTCCGTGGGACGTACTCGTGTTGTTAGGGCAATTACTTAATTGAACAACTCACTTGCCTCATTGTCAAGTTTGACGTTTATTTTCATAGCCAACTTTTGAATTTTCGATAATTTTAAATAACACACCTAGAGCGCGCGTTTTCAGTTATTCGAGTTTTTGATGAAAATGATGAGGTTTTTCGAAAAATTACTAGAGTAAGAAAAGTTTTAGAATTGAATTGCCCACAAAACAAAGCAAAGATTTTTGAAATCCATCAAGGGTTAACAAAATTATGTTGAATATTGATGGTGCGCCACCCGGTATACCATTTTTACAAATTTCAATTGAACTCTAGTTACTGTCAAGTAACGCCCTAAATACATCCACGAAGTGTAACAAATTTGGTTGCTTTAAGTTCAAGAATAACGAAGATATTGATTTTTTTTCAAAATTTATAACTTCACTTTCAAAGCCTATATCTCCTTAGGGAAGCAACTTGGTATAGAGGTAAGTTGCATTAAATTGCCATATTTTGGGACCCCCTACATGCCCCTGCTCTATGTCGGTTCTTATGTGAATCACCCTGTATGTCCCGAAGGCATGTAAAACCATTGTAGTTTATCGAACGGCACGCCAATCACTATCCTGAGCATGATTGAAAAATTGCTGATTGCTTGATTTTTTCTAATGTTCTGGTTCGCACGAAAAGGGATATCCTGTAATGTTCAGAGAACATCGTGAGAACCAAGAGAAATAAGGTAGGGATTGGTGTTCTTCTTGAATTTCTGGAGGTTATATGCCTCGGGGAACACCTCCCTTGGCAATGTGTTCCAGAGCCTCGCTGTTCGTTGGATGAACAAGTCTTTGGAAAGAGATGTTCTGCAGGTCTCCGAAGTTACCAGGAAGGGGTGCGAAGCCTCAGCTCGACGGGTTAATCTCGCGGAGACTGCCAAGGGAGGAACAATTGTTGATATTTCAGAACAGCATCGTCCATGGAAATATCTATAAAATAGATCCAGTTCGCAAACTGTTCTACGGTGTATCAGAGAAGAGAGTGAGTTTGTGAGCGATGCCCACGAGACGAATTGCCCTTTTTGGACAGAATCCAACAGATTCCGGGTATGTTTGGGTGCTGCACTCCAAATATGGGAACAGTATTCCAGCACAGGTCGGAACTGTGCCTTATAGATCATAAGCAGCTGACTGAAAGTGAAATAGCTCCTGGGCCGAAACAGAAAACCAAGTTTTTGGGATGCACACTTTCCGCAATTGAGCTCATGTGATTTTCCCAAGAAAGGTTATTGCTGCATAGTTAATACCAAGCATCGAAATGGATGTCTTCAAAGGTATGGTCGTTAGTCCTGACATGCTTATGTTTGGCACAGTGAGATCGGCTTTTCTAGAGAAAAGGCATGCTTGTGTTTTGTTTGCATTGAAATCTACCAAGTTATTGGATCCCCATTCGAGAATTGTTGCCGAGTCCATATTTATGTTGTCATTTTGTCCCTCATTCGTTTCTGATTTGCCTGGCTGGTATTGGAGCCCTGGAAGAGAAGGCTGTATGGAGGGTACTATCATCCGCGAAGCTGTGTACTGAACATGAAGTTGCTTTCAACAAATCGTTGATATGGAGTAGAAATAGTCTTGGTAGTCAGATGAAAATCCGTCGACCACATGGAGAGACCTGTTTGAGAGAAAACTAGCTAGCAGAGAACATAGCTGGGGAGGCAAGCCATAAGATGGAAGCTTGGCGAGGAGTCCGTGATATAAGAATTATGCCATTCAAAACCAATTGAATGGTAGATTTCAAAAACTTACCTGTACCACCCCTCAGTCTGAGCAAAGTCCAAAGAGCAATTAGCGATTTATTTGCTGCTATTATTCCGGACATACTTCCGTCATGTGATAACAAGTTGAACCAAGTAGCAAATAAAAGAGAATGATGTCGCCTTCGCGAATATCCAAACGTGTCGCGAATCAAACTGATCTTAGTGACAGAGCGTCAATACTTCCTATACGCCCCCTCTGAGGATAATATCCGATGGCCAGTGTGAAACTCAACATGTTCGATTAGAATACTTCTAGTGTGAGCACCACAGCATGAGTTTCACACTGGTCCATCGGATATAATCTTTAGACGAGGGCACGTTTGGATATTCGCAAAGGGACATTTTTCCCTTTCATTTGCTTTACGTTACAACTCATCGTTATCACATGCCGGAAGTATGTCAGGAATGTTGGGAGCAAATAAACCCTTGTGCCGTGGATTTCGCTCAGACTGAGAGGTGAGGGGTGACGGGTGACACAGGTAGGTTTTTGAGATCTACCTACCATTCAATTGGTATCGGATGGCATAATTCTTATCTCGTTATCAAATCGCGCAATCGAGTGCAAATTTCCGCACAGTGCAATTTTTTTCATCATTTTGCTCAGGAAAGTGATTGGAATAGGTGCCGTTCAATGAACTACAATATTTTTACTTTCCTTTGGGACATATTCGCGGGAATCAATGTCACCTGGTGGAGCTCGGTTTTCATCGTTCCATGTCAAGGCCACGTCAAAACTGGGGAAAAACAAACTCAATCCTCTCACTCAATCCCATTAGTGCCATTAGCTTGTGTACTGTCGTGTTCTGATAAGAGTGATAACACTTTATGTTATTGACAAGTTTGACAACTACAGCTACAGCAAGATGTATGCAATGTAGTCTATGCACTTTATCCATAGACAATAGTTTGTTTTCCCCCAGTTTGAAGTTCGTATTATGTTACCTAGATGTCGCCCACTTCGTGAATCTCGCGAATATCATTTCGTTATCAGATGACAGTAGAAAATCTGCAGCCGGCTCTACTACTATAATGATCAATTTCTCTATCAATGCACGATTGTAGCGTAGGCAACCAAACATACACCGCGTTATGCTATAACTTACGTAACCTGCAGTTAAATCGAACATATGGATTTCATCGAAGATTTTACGTTAACGGTTTAGCTTTTCCAAGTTTCTGAAACGATTTATTTACCCGTTTTCCTAACAGAAGGAATTCATACAATGTTGATTATTTAGACAAGTGTCACCAATGTCAGTGACAAGGCTACTGGGCGATTCTTAGTAGTATTCGGATGGATGATGAATTCGTGAACCAACACATTGATGGAAAAACAGATTTCGTTGTGTGTCAGTCGTCATGTATCTTCAGAATTAGAAGAAGCTGATACAATTTCATTCATTACTCTATCTTCTAAAATCTCTCAAGAATCTCAAAATTCGAAAATTCCTCAATATCTTCTTCTTTAAATACAAAAGCGAATGTTTGTCAGTATGTCCTTTATAGAATCGTAAACGGCTTACCGATTTCACTAAATCTTTTTCTGATGTTTGTTACTGTCAGGAGAATAAGATTCCTATGAGAGAAAATTAAGAAATTCAAGATCGGATCGGATATGGTGGAGGAGTTTTGTAATTATAATCGGATTCCATTCAACATTGGTATCTATTTGGGGGTTTTTGCGGTCGGAGATTATATATGAATATTTTGTCAGAACAGGAAAATTCAAGATGGCGGATTCGATATGGCGGATGAGTTTGGTAATTATAATCCGTTTTTATCCAAAATTGGTATCTGAGGGTTTTTGGGGTCGAAGATTATGATTCTTTTGTCAAAATTGGAAAATTCAAGCTGGCGGATCCAATATATATGGCGAACTAGTTTGGCAATTATATGATGCGATTCTATTCAAAATTGGTATCTGGGGGTTTTCGGGTTTGGAGATTATGATTCTGATAAAATCTGATGGTTTGATTCAAAATGGCGGATTCAATATGTCGAATGAGCTTTGTAGAGTCCCTTATAACACACCTTCATCCATTGGACATCCAATGGATATCCTCACCCGGACACCCTGGGCATCCATAGGATAACCACTTTGTGTACACAGGACATCCTATGGATGTCCATAGGAAATCAGCTTTCCACATTTTAGGACATACATACGTTATCCATGATGGACATCCATTTGGTGTCCATTATGGACATCCATTTGGTGTCCATTATGGACATCCATTTGGTGTCCATTATGGACATCCATTTGGTGTCCATTATGGACATCCATTTGGTGTCCATTATGGACATCCATATGGTGTCCATATATTGGTCATATATACCAACCTATACGTATTCAAAAGACAGGTTATATTATTTTCTTTTATTTCAAACATTGTTCATGGGTGAAACGTAAAGTATATACCTAATATGATAAAAAAATAGATAGTACCTACTTAGGATGATGAATTGGAAAAGAATTGGTCCAATGCACTGGCAGCACAAAAACTGAAATGCATATTTTGCATTGTTTCTGCATTGTTTTTGAAAAAATTCAATGCATTCTGAATCTGTCTCCATAATTCCTGTTCATTATTTACTGGTCTGAAGTACACCTTAAAATTTATAGGTACTGCTCCCCATAAACTATAGTATATTTCCTTTGCCGTTTCATCTACTTATATTATCTGAAAACTGTTGAATGAAACAGCAATGGACATTCAGAGTGTAATGTGGTGGAGCCTCATCATGCAAGAGCCACATGTAGTGAAAAAGGTGTTCCATAAATTTTTATCGTCAGTTTGATGAGCAAGATAATTGGCCTCAAGATGAAAATTCCTCAAACTGCGAAATTGTCAGTGATTCTTGCCCACACATCATCTGTTGTCGTATCATTCAAGTGTTTGTCAACATCCGATGAATTGTTTTCTACTTTATAGTAGATACGTCGGAAGAACCTGTTTCAAATCCTTTTCCTTCTGTTCATTCTGGTGAAGGGTGTTTTACCTACCTATCCAAGAAATATGTTATGTTATCGTAACAATTCGCAATTAGGAACACCTGAATAGACACAGAAATAATAAGAACTTACTTGTATGACGGCCGTTTAAAGCAGGAAACTGGGGCATAATTCAACTATAAAATACTAGTAATCATCATGAAAGTCCACCAAAATGGAAGAATGAAATAAACATAACCTATATTATGTTTCGAATTCTGACAGATGAATTCAGATCTTCTTCTTCTCATTTCACTCTTCTCAAAATTTCTCGCTACAATGGACATCCCGACAATACACTTATGGATGTCCAATATGTACTGCCAAGTATCCGGTATGGACATCCAAGTGGCTATTCGATGTGCGTCCATGGACATAGATAGGCTTCCAGATGGAGTACATACTAGATCATCAGCTGGATATACAACAATGTACATCAAACGATAGTTCCATTTGGCGTCCATGGATGTCTTGGACGGCAAATGGATATAAAATGGATGTCGTCTGGATAACGTGTGTTATTAGGGGTCCGACCACGTTAACTTTGGGACAGCATGTGACGCAACGCATATGCATATTCAATGCTTACGCGACCACGTGCTGTCCCAAAGTTATCGTGGTCGGACTCTAAAGAATAGTGTTTCGAAAAACTAATGAAATATTCGCTTTCATAGATAGCCAATCTGAAACGGACTAAACGGAGTAGTAAATGAATGGTAGTTTAAAGAGACAGATTACCGAACTGAAAGGAAGTAGAGAATTAATAGTAGTTTGAAAATCTAGAGAAACACGCTCTTATCGTTAGTCAAACTAAACATTCAACTGAAAAAATACTTTCTAGAAATAATGTGAATAGCAAAACAACGTTTGCCGGGTCAGCTACAATCAATAAAATGACTCGAACTTGATTCAATATTTGTGTTTAGTCTTTCTTTCGAATGTATTTCAATAAGTAGTTTTCAATAAATATACCTAAAATGTGTCAATTGTCATGTCAGTATCCTCGGAACCTCTGGATCCTCGTAAAGTGATTTGAAAGTGCGCATTTTATTAACAACAGTTTGATGGATTTCAATTTCGCAACAGTTCCATGGATTCTTCGATCCATGCGAATGACAAAATGTTGGAATGAAAAACGCACCCATCCATAGTCGACGAAAAAACTGTTTAACCAACTCGTATATGTTGAGAGGCGATTAATGATCTCGAACATTAACACGTTCGCTTTGCTCGCACGTTAGAATATCTCGATCATTAATCGCCCTCATTAATACACTAGTTGGTTAAATAACTATTACGGATTATCCTTGAATTAAGAAGTCATCAGTGTCATCGTAACGTGAAAATTAATTTTTGTTCTCGGTTAGTATTGGTCCTTTTCTGGTTGTTTGTTTTGATCTGAATATTTTCCTGTTAAAATAAGCGGAATCCTTGAAGAAGAACTTTTTGGAAAACCGGGCTTCAAGAATCTCAACCCAATAGGCCTCTTCATCTAGATATATTTTAAGACGCATACGCTCGTTTTAAGATCCAAAGATTTATTGGATAATGCGAAGGTGAAGTCTCATTGGCTATATTTCTAACACAAAATGGCGGGTATTATTGACGTTCTGTCAAATGTCAACCACCATGGGCATTCGTCATTGAGAAACAACAATAACAACATGGTATTCTTGTTTTCATAGTCCTGGTGTGTAATAATTGTATTATAATGATTTAGTTACAAAAAACGCTACTTATTCGTTACTGAGGAGTGTGGTACTATGGTCACAGAGTGAACAAACCTTACTGTGGTGTAAGTGTTTCGGTGAAAATGGCCGCCACTGTCATTGGATGCGAGATGTTAACAGAAATAGTCATTCGTCATCTAAAATAAAAAGGCCAATGGCATAATTCAGTTAGCGTACGTTGATATATTTGAGGAGTTTGGAAGAACGAGAAATGGGCATGCATAGCTGTCAATTTCTACGTTTACGTGGTTTACGGCAGCGCACGTCAACACTCTCCACTGGTTCTAGGAAATTGGTATACAATTAAAAATTAAAACTCAGTTGTTACATATAAATATTTACTTCCTTCACTTGTTAAAGACAATAATTAATATTAGGATTTTAGGTGTACACAGTCTTACGATATACAAAAATATTCAAAAATCGTATAGCTAATAGTCTTTTCAAAGGCACTGATTTCAATGATTGAAGTCACATCTAATAAAAATCATCCTCAAAAGTTAGAAAAGAGTAAAACAGTCGGATCGATTGGTAACCTTCAAATAAGACACATATTCATTTGAACCGATAGTATACCGATAACGGTATATCTATCACAATACAACAACTCCATTAGATTTATTTACAAGATCAACAATTAAAAAAGTAGAATCGATTATATAAAAATATTCAAAGTCAAGATCTGCTATTCTCAATTGACAGAGTGAACCTCCAAAGTTTAGCACCGAAACAATGCTAAAGCAAACATCAAGTCCCGTGTTCGAATTCTCTGTAGCCTTCGGCGCCTGTGAAAATCACATCGACCCAAATCCGCATGGCTTCTGGCGATGGGGCCATCAAATAGTAATGACGTTCGTGGGTTTTCACTATGAACGTCAGCTGAGGATTTGGCGATTTTATGCTGTTCAGGTGGTCCAGGTACACCTCTTCTATAGCCTGAAGACAATATACCATTAATGTCTCCATTGAGCTCATCAAGAAATAATACAATAAATCAAATGAAGAAATTTTGTATTTCGTGTGATTTGTTTTTCTACAAATGACTGCAGATTGTTTTCCATGACACTTAAATAGGCAGCAAAGGTGTACTTCCTCTGCAAGTTGAAGTAAAGTAATTTGGAGAAGAATATCTCTTAGAATTTTCTGAAGAATTCAAAAATTGTATCAAATACATCAGGGTGTTGCTTTGAAATGAGAAACAATCGAACAATATCAATGTTATATGACACACCCTGTTTATAAAGTTTTCATTAGATAAGGTAGACACACTTGAAAAGTCAAGAATTTACGAAATTAGTTGTAATGATTGTGATAAAACATATATTGGCCAAACCAGGCGTCCTATAAAAACAAGCTTCAAAGAACACAGCACATTTGAAATATAGTAGGTTAGATAAATCGTGTGCAGTCGAACATATGTGCAATCACAATCATAACACACATATCAATAACCTCAAATTAGTCAATCAAGTTAATAATGTTAGAAAATTAGATGCATATGAAAGCTTAGATATATTTAAGAATAGTAATTGATATATCTGACACATCAAAAACACTTTTTTCATGTTCTAGGGTTGATTTCCAATCATTTCGATAAAAAAAATTGCGCTAGCTCTTTAAATAAAAGAGGGAGGGAAGGATGAATAGTACTTTGAAAAACCTCTCAATACTACAGTTTTGTGAAACGGAATTCAACGATCTTGGTCTAATTATGAAGGGTTTTTTTGTTTGTTCCAGATGAATCACAAATCAAGTCGATTTAAATCCTGTAGTGGCCGCTAGACGGCATCGTTTGAAAAATCGGACAATTTACCAATTTTTGGGAAATTTCAAATGCAACCATATATTCATTCTACTCTTATATGGAAGTAGGGCAAACGAGAAGGAAAATGGTGAAAACCGCGAATTGATACCTCTTGAGGAACCGGTGAAATACTCGAAATTATATTATGAAAATATTCACCACAGGAATCTAACTTCAATAATCGTAATCAGAAATATACAGGATATTTATCTATGAAACTATGATTTCAATAATTCATTTATTTTGGTTTCACAAACTGCTGTTATATCCCACAATAGTGAAGGAGACTCTTAGTAATGACATAGCTAATTGAAATGTAAGTAGTGAGTATAGGCTCTGGAATGAGAAAAGGCAAGTTGGCTTTGAATGAAAGAAACGTCAAAATATAATTGAAGTTCCATTGGAAGTTTTCACTGTTCATTGTGGATTGCTTATTCGTCAAAATGCCGATAACGAATGAGGAGGCATTTGACATGCTAACAGTTTGAATTTTAATATTATTCCGAGTATTTCTCCGGTTCTTCAAGAAGTATCATCTCGCGGTTTTCACCATTTTCCTTCTCGTTTATTTTTACTTTCATATCATAGCAGAAAAAATATATGGTTAAATTTGAAATTCTCGAAAAAAAAAAAGGCAAATCGGCTGATTTTTCAAACGATGCCATCTAGCGGTCACCACGGGATTTAAATCGACTTGATTCGTGATTTATCGGGAAGATCTGAAAAAAACCCATAATGAGACCAAGATCGTTCAATTCCGTTACACCAAACTGTAGTAATAAGAGTTTTTCCAGAGTACTATTCACTCTTCCCTCCCTCTTTTATTTAGACAGCTAGCTAGAGAGCTAGAGAACATGGAAAAAGTGTTTCTGATATGTCTTGATATATCAAATTTCCATGAAAACCCGTTTTTTAAGTTGGCCAATGCAATTATGCCCCCTAAAGGCTGTCCTGGAAACTTGAAAATAATTTCCAGAAGTGCTACAACGGCAACAAATTTCAATGCACCATTGATGGGACCGCTCAGCCACCAACGTATATGCGCTTGCAAATCAGTATCGTGGAGGATGAGTTTTTCGAGCACTTTCCAAGTATCTGACCGTGAACTATAAACTTTAAATGCGCACAGTTTGTTGTTCGCGGTCAGATACTTGGAAAGTGCTCGAAAAACTATGGGACATAGTAAACTTGATCTGTGTATCATCCGCGTACATATAGGATTTACATCCAACAAAACAACAAGTAATACCACAGGTATATATTGAGAAAAGAATAGGTCCTAATATGGAGCCTTGAGGAACTCCAGAAAAAATGTTTTTCAAATCTGAGTTTCCTGAGCTTTCAACAAATTGTGCGCGATCTGTGAGGTAACTCTTGAGTAAATTACATGAATCATGTGAGAATCCAATGTAATGAAGTATAGCGAACAATAAAATAGAGATTTATGGTATTAAACGCCTTTGAATAATCCAATAATATATGTTCATATGAACTTTATTTCTTGAAATGAGCTAAGGCGGACCATATCCTATATTTTAAGCTATCAATTAAATTACACCCTGTATAATAAATGATTGAATAACACATTGCATACACAAGTGTTATAATACTTGTGAATAAATAAGAATACCATCTAATTTAATAATGAGAGTTGATTTATAGACAGATTGATTTATGCATCAATATTATAGGAACATATTTTTATAACATGAAATTGATATTTTATAAGCACGTCATGAAGAATGAAGCAGTTCCTCAATAGGCGTTCAAATAATAATAATTATTATAGGATTATTGACTTGAGTTTAACTGTGTCATTTGGGTAGTTGAGGTTTGTATTTTGCGAAGCACTGCTTTGTATGAGTATCGATACAAAACATCAACGAATATCAAGGACCCCTCACCTGGAAATATGCCCCACCACGGGGCTTCTTTTCACTCTTGTCCGAATAATAAGTGAAAGTGTGCTTGGTTCTGTCGAAGACGAACCACCTTCTCGACCAACCATTCAATTTGGAACCTTTCTTGTGGAGGAAACCTCGACATGTGCTCGAGTTTATGTTGACATGCGGACACAAGACCACTTGATGACCTGGAAAAATAGTACGTTATTTTATTTGCATCAAATGTGACACTTTGTTTGACAAGCGAAATTTGCGTTTGCAAGGCGACGCGAACGCGAAGCCGAGCACGCAAGTTTTGCGAGTGGGATGTTACATTGAGTGTTGAAATGATTGTATTGTGATCACTTGCTCAGATCGTCTATTCACGAGCACTTTTCCCAAATGATGAAGGAAACGTGCACTATAGAGGTTTCTTGATTTCATACCAACTCAGGAATGTCTGCAAATCACCGTTTCTTCAACATTTCAAGTAAAGTACTGATTATGCAAAAGTGCCCCCTTGCGGGGCCAATTGACTTATCTAGAAAATCACGAAATTGTTTCAAGATGTTGACTGGCGGGGCAATCCATCTGAATGAAGAATTCATAATTTCACAATTTTAATAAAATATCTGCATTATATAAGAAGACATTGAAAGTACTGTTTACCATATGACAAATCAATTATATGAAATAACTGAATCATTCTCATTAGAAGAACTGTTCAAAATTGAAAATATGAAAATTACATTCATCATAAATAAAAGATTGAATTCCAATTTTATTTCAACACGAAACAATGAAATTCATGATTACCAAACTAGACAACATGGTTTATTTCATCTTAATATCGCTAATTCTTCTATAGACCAAAAAAGATTCACCCACGCTGCACTTCTCGAATATAACAAATTACCAGATAAAATAAAAAATTGCAGAAATACAATAAAATTCAAATACGAACTTAAAAAAATTATCATTTCTGAACGAAATAGATGATTTTTTCTCCAACTTTTGATTGTTGCTCACCAATATGAAATGATTTGTCAAAATATAATACTTAATGTATTCAAATATTATGTTATTTATGAGTTTATTATAATTGTATAGTTTTAGGTTGTTATTGTTAACTATACTTCCTTGTACCAGAACTTGATTCTGACTGGAAGTCACATTTTCAATAAATAAATAAATAAATTATTGTAGCAGCATCAATGAGCAGACGATTTCACCAAATCTCGAATGACGGATAGAACAATTTTAGAACAATTTTTTTTTCACACAATATTCGAAAAAGACTCCATAGCAAATGGAAAAAACTTCACGAACGATCAGATTCCCACAAAATAGCAAAATACTTACTGCAAGTAGTGGCAAAATTCAAACTATTTTTGTCAGTAACGCGCAAATGTGTACGTGTACTACTTTTTAATGAAATCTGGAACATCATAGGCAGGTTTACACCATACAAACCTTGTACGACTTGTTTATACACACAACCACGGTTTGTATATCGCCTGAACTTTATTAAATCCACAAAAATGGATGAAAATACAAAATATCGATATTTCACATCCTGTCTAAGGAAGGTCCTAAATTCCAAATTCATTTCGAGATATGGGTTGCCTGCAAGAACTGTCAAATAACCGACCCTGGAGATGAAACATTGAAACACAACCTCACTTTTCTTATTTGTTTACAAGTGATTGAAATAGTTCTCCACAATTATTTTGGCACACGAATCGTATTTTTCAGCTTTCCATTAAATCGCGCATGCCATCACATTGTGTTGTTATAGAATGCACAAAAAATGCAGCGAGAGACGAAGAAATCTGGTTGGTACATTATGATTTAAAAGTAAGTACCTACTATAGTCACTCACATATAGTTTTCATTTGGAAATTTGGTAATTTCTTCTGCAATAGGAGCTAATAGAAATACTCGTGAAATTTCTAAAAGAATGCAAGAAGATTGGATTCATGCAATCAAACGGGAGGACTGGTCTGGCAAGCTGACGAAATATGATCGTGTGTGTTGTAGACATTTTCATACTATTAGCTTTAGCTTCTATTGCAGAAGTGGCAGAAGGAATTTTAATCAGAAATGACGAAATTTCATAATGAAAACTGTGTGATATTATTATTTACCTGAAAAATCATATTCCTTCGTTTCTCGCTGCATTTTTTGTGCATTGTACAACAGCACAATGAGGAGGCATGCCTGAATCAATGAATAGCGAGAAAAAAAACGCGATATCCGTATGCCAAAATATCGTGAAAAACTATTTCAATCCTTTGATTCCTCTGTAAACAAATAAAAAAGTGAGGTTGTATTTCAATGTTTGACAGAAGAGTGAGGTTGTGTTTCTATAGTTTTCCTCCAGGGTCGGTCATCGTGCACGCGATAGGCGAATCATGCTAACGAGTACGCCGTCTACTATTTTCAAATGTATGTCTATTATGAATATATAATACCTACTTCTTGAGGTGATGGTAAAAAAACGAACACATTTTAAACTGATTATATCTTTACTCATGAACAGTAAAATTTTTAAATACCTAGTAAAGAATTTTATCAATCAGGGTTTTGATGATTGTGTTGTAAAAAGTCAAGTAGAAACTGTATACCTAAATTCACCTTCGAAAGAACATTTTATTCCAAAAAAGTATGCTGGATTTTCTTTTAAAAATATCATGCTATCAGGGGAATATCCCAGCCATATATTCGAATTGGAAATCAACATCCCACACAGGTTTTCATGAGAATTCTTGTTCAATAAAAATTACAGCTTATGTATGTTGGTAGGTATATACGAAGTTCAACTAGAGGTAGGGAGGTTATCTAATGTTGAACAGAAATAATATAGTCCTCAATCAAAACACAATAGACCGCTGGAAGATACAATGTTCGAAAATAGACAAATAACAAAGCTGCACGTTTGAAAACTCAAAACGAAATGAACATAAACACCATTACCAAACAATGTAAACAATCCTCCAATGGCCCATAGAGTAGTACCGACATTCGCCGTTCTGGCGCTACGATCTTAATCTCAGTCGCCTATACGGGAGCTCCTAAATTATTTCGCTTATGTAACACTCTTTTTGATCACTAATGTCATAACTGGAAAACTTCGAAAAATGTCGAACACTGCATTCCGATTGACGACCGGTTGATTTGAAAAAAGTTATCGCATTTTGAGAAACGTTGAAAATTCGAGTGGTCCACTCAATTCTTTGAGCACTTTATTTACCTGCCGATTCGATATGCTGCCTCAGATCGAGGTCCGACCCTCTGATGGGTAGGTATCTGGTGAGAGGTCGCTGCTTGTCGCCGACCTGTTTCCGCTTCTTGTTCAAGGTTCCCACCTCCACGCTCATCTCGCTGGTCTCCGATAAAGGCCTGGGGGAGTCCGTGTCTTCAGCATCACGAGCCTAAAACGAAAACCAAAATGTCAGTCGGTCAAGATAGCCATGACTATAGTTCCGAGATTATCTTTCGCGGAATAGACTTTTCGCGCTCGAAGGATCTCGAAAGGTTATGACCAGAGCCGGATTTAGAGGTCTGGAGGCCCTGGGACAACAAAAGAGTGGAAGCCCCCTGGCACCTAATTGTTGTCCATATAAAATTAACAATAAAGGACCCCGCACAAATCAAATGCAATTTTGATTTCTGTCAATTTAACTTAAATTATGGGGGAATGTAGTTCAAAGTGTGCTAAACTAAAGTCTCCATGTGGTCAAACGATTTCTATAAGTAGTTCTCGTGCTACGCTCTCGTGAATCCTCTGATGCTACGTAAAGAAAAAACTTACGCACTTGTGAGATAACGAAATCTAATTCAGAAATTCAGGAAGTTTGCTGATTGGTTAAGCTATATTTCATTATTATATTTTACATACGTTAACATCTCTATCTACTGTCATATCATTAATCATATCACCTGTTCTTTGCGCTACTCAAGGCCACCGCAGGTGGACGTGAAACAGGTACTTTGGCCTCTTTGTATGACCCTATACATACAGTGTGACTCACTTTTCATGGAAACACCTCTGTATCTTACGTAATCGTTGGGTGAGGATCCTGAAATTTGCTAGAGCGAGAGATATACCAAAAATGTACTCTATGACCAAGTGGGGTCATCTTCAATGATATACACTGCTCGCCAACAGCCATGGAACCAACCGAATTTCCGGAAAATGATATTAGGCGTCAAAATAGCTTGAAAATCACTTCGGATTCGGAATCAGGACGCAAAATACACTAACTATTCATAGTTTTTCTAGAAAATTTTCAGTTCAGAAAAATTAAATTTTGTCTCACTTCTCATGGAAGCACCCCCGTATCTTCCGTAATTATTGAGGTAGGGTTCTGAAATTTGCAGGATGAAGGGAAAGTCCAATGATAAAGTCAATTACGTAAGATACTGAGGTGTTTCCGTAAAAAGTGCGACAAAATTCAATTTTTCAGGAAAAATATGAATAGTTGATGAATTGGGCGTCCTGATTCCGAATCTGAAGTGATTGCTCGTTGGCGAGCAGTGTATATCACTGAAGATGACCCCACTTGGTCATAGTGCTGTACCCCCTTTGTAGATCATTAGGTCGAGTTTTTTCTATACGTAGCTTCAGAAGATTCACGAGAGCGTAGCACGAAAACTACTCATAGAAATCGTTTGACCCCATAGAGACTTTTGTTCAGCACACTTTGAACTACTTTCTCCCAAAATTTCAGGTAAATTGACAGAAATCAAAATTTCATTTGATTTGTGCGGGGTCCTTTCTCGGTCCATAATTATTTGCGAAACCAACTAAAAACAGGGTGTTCCTTTAGTACGTGTTCACAATTCAGGAGCATGTTGCTGACATTTAAATAAGAAGAAAAGTTTGAACAAACATATGTCCGCAAGTTATTCAATCAGAGATACAGTGTCAAATGTTGATTGTTATTTCGGTTTTTTGTAAATGAATTCCAAAATAATCGAGATATTCGGGTGAGATACCAAATTTTACTCTATTATCACGTTCATTTCTGAATTTACTCAAAAAAAAACGGGACAAAGAATCAAACCTTGACGCTTTGTGTCTCAGAAATGAAAAACTTGCTGACATATGATTATACAAACTTTTCTTCTCATTTACGCGTACTTATCATTATTACCTGTATTATTATATATAGAAAATTGTATCTACTTCAACTTTCTTCATGGTGGTCTTTTCGATAAAACGTGTAGTTTCCGAGTTACGGGCAAAAAACTGAAAAAAAAGTACGAAACTTTCGCTGTTTTCTGCGAATATCTCGGAAAATTTTATTTGCAAACTTCAGATGCGGATCCAGGACGATCAAAAGCATATCAAACCACAGAGAGACCGACATTATATATTCACAAATATTTATATTTATCTCTACAAATGTTCCTCACTCAGATATTCAGATTTTCGTTGAAGATATATGATTGACTTACGTTTAAATTCACCACTAAGGAAAGCATAGCAGCACATTGGGGATTCATCATCAGTTACAGTCACGAATTTCAAGGTTCAACTGTGTAAGGGACACACCTCATAAGTTACTAACATCCACAAAGTTTACTCGACTGTATATCGATTTACGATCATATTTCTAAATATTGTTGAAGTTATGGTCGTAATATTATACTTATAATACGGGGATGACTATACCTACGGATTCTGATACACCTCTATTCATCCTTGTTCGTGTAGCAAAAAAAGTCAAAGATATGGATATTGATGAAACGCTACAATATCCGGACACATTTTGATTTTTTCCAGTTTCACCGGAAATGACACCATCAGAGTTTCGAAACTCTAAATGGGACACCCAGTATAACATTCCATAGTCAGTTAGGAATTATTATCATATTACGAGTTCAACGATTTCAGGTCTAATGGAAGATATTGGAAAACATTCCTTCGATTTGTCCAACATGTGTGACATGTACAGAGTGACCCATTTGAAAGCGAGCCGCCCTCATAGATTTTTTTATTCATAGACCGATTTTGACGATTCTTTTCAATGTGGAGGCGGAAAAGGCCTATTTTCGAGCTGAGCGGTGTCCACTTTTTCAAAAAATCAAGGCCCTATTAGATCACATTCGGAGGTTGAAAAATCCAGAATTTATATTAGCGACTTTTTTATCTGTAGCAAATTTCATGGAAACATTTTCAACATTAACAATTCTATGACCAAATTACTGGCAAGTTGTTCATCATGCTTTGAGAAGCTTTTCATGTTGTAATATTCATAGTAGTTTAGTTCAGTTAATTTACCCATAATGAAGTAATTCACAACAATAGTAGTAGGCTTTGCAATTAATTACTGAAGTCACACCCCAGCGAGCACAAACATCCCTGGGATGTTTTGGGATGTTTTGAAAATGTTGGCATGAAGATGTTATTTTGAGACGTAATATATGCACTGACCAAAGAGGTCTTTGAAGGATATTGAAGTATTGTTTTTGTTCTTCTGTGGCATTTCTTTGTTTGCCTACTGACTGAGAGGTATCCCTGGGATGTTTTGGGATGTTTTAGAAATGTAGGCATGAGGATGTTTTTTTGAGGCGTAATATGCACTTCCCAAAGAGGTCTTAGAAGGATATTGAAAGTATTGTTTTTGTTCTTTTGTGCCCTTTCTTTGTTTGCCCCACCACAACGTCTCATGCTTACGGCACAATACGATGAATTCTGATTTGTTTCCGATTTTGTTCTTCTTACGCTTACATCACGCTGCTAACGAACAGAAAGGAATTTGGTGAAGTTTATTGTGTTAGAAGACTTATTTAGTTTGTAATAATGACCATCAGATGCAAGATGTGTTGTTCGGTGCCTCAGTGTAATCAATATATAAAAGTACGAATTTATCAATACACAGCTTCTCCGCAGTTGCAAAATTATGCATTGTGGAGAACATTTCAAAAATTGGGAAACCTATTTCCAATTATATGTCTGTTCGAGTAAGCACTACTCAGAAACCGATTAAGAATCAAGAAAATATTTCTATGTTCAATCTATTTTTAATGCATTTTTTCATTCAAGGGAAATGGAATCCTAATGCAAAAGTTCATTTTGACAAAAGGCTTCAGAAAAGTACCTCGAAAATGGTTTTTTACAGCGATTTAATGTGCGCAAGACGCGTTGAAAATGTGTTGCTGTGTTCATGAAAAGGCTTTAAAAAGAACTAGGGAGAAGGTAGTTTTGTGACATATCAAGGACATCTCGATAATTGCCGCCTGCGGCGGACATTGGCTGTTCCATAATAGTTCTATTCATGTGTGAACAGAACATCGCAGTGGAGGTTCAATGTCTCGAAATCTCGTACTTTTAACATCTCTGAGATGTTTTTGTGCTCGCTGGGACTCCACAGATGACCGCAGATTAATAGTTTCCACCCAGATATCTCGACTTAACTCTCTTAGATTTTTTATTTTAAGAGGGTTTAATGAAGAAAAAGTTGAAAAACCCAGAATTCAACATCAATTCGAAGAATGTCTTTATAGGAATGTCTGTATAAGAATGTCTATTGAATGTTGTTACTTGTCAGTAATGTGTTTCACTATACGTCTGCGCTACATACTATCGCAATTAGGCCTGGGAAAAAATATCGAAATATCGATATATCGATATATATCTTCTCAATATCGATCCGTCCTTTTTCCTCATAGAAAAAAATAGTGTATAGTACACGGGAAAAATTATTAGATTTTACCTTACGGTTTTTTGTTTCCCGATGCTTAGCGTAGCTAAAATCTACTACATTTTTACCTTACATAATAAATAACTATTGTATTATAACCGTAGAAAAAAATCGAAGACTTCATTATATTATCCTGCTCATAGTCGGGACAAGAATTAACAGATGATTTCTAACGCAGTCATCAGTAGGACATAACAAAATATATTAGTCAGCAATGTTGATGCTTTATTTATGTGCTGACAGATGTGTCTAACCGCTGCCAGGGTCCCAGAATAAGTGTTTAGCAAATCTATCTCAATGAATGAGTTGTAGGAAGGTATGAACTGTATAATCCAAGCAAATCTAATCATCTAAACGCTAACAGATGTTCAACTTTTTAAAGAAAAAATAATTTATTTGAACAGTTAAACGGAACAGATGACGGATTTATTCAATTTTAATTGTCAATTATGTAGAGGATGAACGCTAATTTATCTATACTTTCGCGATAGAGCGGAAATTCGAATTATAAATTTCCTTTGAAGAAATTCGACTCAGAAATGAAAATGTGATGAGCAGAATAAACTCGATTATGGAATTCTAAACTTATCACCCTGAATTACTAGTTTACTTGAATGATTTTAAACTATCAATGTTAAGCGGAGTCCACAACCAAACTTTTTACGTTTTGCTTTTTACGTTTCGTAATCTGATTGGTGAATCAAAATCTGGAAATGAAATGA